AATCTATTTCCGGTGGTAATAAACGGTATCACAATAAGCAGTGGTGTTATTGTCTTAGTGTGCACATTTATATTTTGATAATAGAAAGACGATCGTTAACATGAACTATCACAAGATAAAACATCACATAGTTGTACTAGGCCAAAAAAAAGTCTCCGGTTTCTGGTGTGGAGCTTGTCCAAAAAGTGGTGCGGCGACGCGGCTTTTTTTTTTTTTTACCCGACTTTTTTGCTTTAAATTTGCTTCAAATGTCGGCTGATGACTGCAAATGATGCCCGACTAAACTTAGTGCAAATACATGGGAGTCCAGAGAGGCCACATAAAGCTTATTCTCGATCATAACCCCATCTAAAAACACGTTGAAATTGCGCAGCAGCAGAATTCCAGTCAAACCAGTGAGTTTGGCGGTTTTGAGACATCATCTTTCATTGAAAAAAAAACTTTTTCATTTTGCCGAAGCGCATGGCTACGGCGACGCGCGCGCATACCAGAAACCGGAGACTTTTTTTTTTTGGCCCTACATACATTTTTTTAACCGATGGTTTTGTGCATCAATATTTTAGTAAATGCTACACACGGTTCTTCTAAAGTAGTTTAACACATAAGAGTCTGACATTTGGAGCGATTACTTGAGATGAACATAATAATTATAATGATTTGGAGTAGTAGGGAGGGGACAAATTTTGATAAGATTTGGCAATACCTTTTATTCACAAAAGACGATTTTTGGGTATTCGATTATTGCGTTGTGGTATTCAAAATATATTTCAGCTCAACTCAAGATCGTGTGGGATCTACCTCGTTGAATAAAACATGACGTATTAGTTTAAACCCAACTCAGTATCATCTTCACGGAGTCGCCATATAAATCCTTAATAAGATACTATTATTTGTCCCCTTAAGGCTCGCTTGATACGGACAAGCCTATTACTGCGAGCAAGCGAATATAGTGCCAAACAGTGTCGCTTATGAAATTGGGCTTACGTGTGTATAGATATCTGCCTAAATATATTCAAGTTACATAATTAGAGACAAGAGGTTGGCATTTGTATAGCATCAATTGGTGCAGGTCAGTCGCTTAAATGGTTTTCATTTTCACTGTACACGGTTTCCCGTTCGTGTATCCAATTAGGAAGATAGGCGGTCTGTTTGCCTAAAGTGAGCAACCAATTAACCCACTATAACAAAATGACCAGCGGGAACGCCTGTCTTTCGTGATATGTAAGCTAAATGAGATTATTTCACGATCACGCATTCACGAGGTTGCCAGAGAGAAAAAAAAAGTGCCGCGAAAAGTGTGATCTAGCGGGTCAGGGAAGATCCAAGTACCTGGCCGAAGAGGGGTCGTTCCACCTTCAGTTCCGTTGTACTTCGTCGCTGACGTTAAGTCGCAATGACAAACCGCTCCAAGCGCCAGCTTTGATGTTACCAACTCTGTCTAATCGTTTGTGATACCGCTCTTCCTATGATACAAATAAGGCTATAGCTGAAAGTACCCGGCAGTTAAAGTTGGTCATTTCTCTCTTTATCTGCGTAATTTAAATGCACAAAGGACCATATGCTTTTGGCTTCTGGGGGCTTGAAAAAAACTAATTTGTAGAAACCAACGATCCTTCACCTCCCACTACACTAGATTATGGAATGCTCTCCATGAGAACGTTATATAGGGATCGAAAATTCTGAAAATGTACGCAAACATTGACCAAATATATTTTTTAGTTCGGGGTGAGCTTCTTTGTGAAGCTAACTCCAACTATCTAGGGAATATAAATAATTTAAAAAAAAAAGCCGGATAACAACTAACCTCCTGAAATGTTGGCTTAGTAAATATTATACAATTTGAAAACCCCAAAGAAAATATATCCACAAATGTTTGGTCTCGTATAAGTGGATTCGCTCGGGACATAATTATCTCATGCAGCCGGTTAGCACATGTGACGTTGAGGGCTCGGTTTATGGGTAATCCTTGCAATATTGATTCAGTGGAATTTACGCACCGGGCACACTTTTTTTTAAAACCACCTTCATTGTTTTCTTTCAATACAATACCATTTCAGGTGGATTAATTTCACAGGGTATTCGGTACCAGCCTTGTCTTCACTTTGAGCTTTTTTAACATTATAAATCGATAGGTTCGTTTCTGTGTACATGACGAATGTTCCACCATGCCTTTAAGCCACACTTAAGTTCACCTGCATTATTTATTATTTTCTCATACCACCATGCTACACAGCGATTTACAAATGCTGGTCATAAACCTTGTGTGGGCAATTTTTGTGCATGATTAAAGTGTTTATATTAGTTTATGTCCGAGTTAATTGTAACTGGGTTTTCACATATTTTGGAAGTTAGTCTATTGACTTGTTATCCCTTGTACATTTTGCTCTCGTAATTTTGACCTAGCTGTGGCTCACTCCAATATTACAAACCCAATTATTGGGTTCAAACAATTACTCTGTAATTACAGTGACAAACAAGCAATCAATGCACTTCCGCTACTCGGCACAAAGTCCCTTGTATAATCATCTGTTGCCATGGCTTCCACATTTTGCGGTAACTGCCTCAGTTTGTAGGGAGACAGTACGTCTGCCCTTCCATTCTGAGCAACTTGCGGTAAAGTGTACCGACCCTGGCCTTGAAGACAGCGTCGGACCAATCGTACTTAAAGAGATCCACAAGTAATGTTTTTTTCGTCATGCTCCATAACACAATTATTTAAAGTTTCAGTCTCGGTGAAGAAAGCATTACTCGTGAAATGTTTATGCTGATCCACGGCCTTTTAAAACAGACTGTCGTGATTTACAACCTCGCTCCCGTGCGTCTACTTCATTTTAACTTCGGTCTCAATGATGTATATTATAGGTACCCTTTGTTCTTCGTTTCTATTTGTACAAGTAATTGATTAGATTTTGCTTGCAAATGGATCTAGTACTTATTGATATGATAACAGCATCTTTAAATATAAATTTGCACCCCCATTTTTCTCTTTGCGTTCTATTATTTTCATTGCTATCTCAAAAATGTACATTTTCAAATGGACCACAAATGGAAACTGACTAGGTGAAATGGGGGAACCGCCAACATAGGGCTGGTCAGCTCAGTTGGTGGAGCATCAGCACGGACATCCGGAGGTCGCAGGTTCATACCCCGCTCCAGCCAATTTTGTCAGTTGCCATTTGAAGTTTGAAACATCATTTTTTTAAATTGAAGTCCCAGGAGTTGTTTTAGTCAAGTACCTACATACCACATTTAAAACTGAATACGACATCACTCCGTTCCTTCCCTAATTGCTATATTGGAGTTTTGGATGTGCACCTAGTGCAGATAGCACGCTACTCGAATGTCATTGATATGACTATGAGTGATTCGCTTATTTTATTCTTTAATATTTGCGTTTTGACTTAAAGCCAGGCAATTGTGCCCATTTGTCGTTTTTCAAGGTACGAGATTGCTTGATATTAATAGCTTAAGCCTAACTTAATAGTGCTGCAAAATTAAATTGAAATAACTGAACAAATGTAATATCTTTCTTCAGCACTATTGCGGTACCTGCAAACAGTCTCCATGTCGCCAGTTCATTTAAGCCGTTGAATTTAATGACCATTGCACTATAGTTCATCATTATGTTATTAATACAAATTTATTAAAATTGAGTCAGAAGACAGCCTCCCCCTCCCCGTCCGCCCTTGACACGGGAACACTTAACCTCCCCACCCACGCAAGGCAACCTTTATGGAGAATACGAACTTGGGCATTGACTGCCATGCAGATGATTTTACAGTTGTTGTTTGTGTGTGGATGAAACTGGCGGCCAAAAAAAATAATAAATAAAAAAAAATCAAGGTAAACTGATTAGGTTCACTTGTTCAATTTTCATGATATAAGTTGAGCAAAAGAACTTTACTTAAGTTGGATTTGAACCTGCGCTCATCCAACTAAGCGACTCAAAACAGAGGATGGATAGCTCAGTTGGTACCGTGCATATACTGTGCTCTGATGATATTAGATTTTAACAGCACCAATTAGACTCTGGTAAAGCTTTCGCTCTTTCAATCCAAATTTTTGGTGACTTCAAAAATATATATCTTGTCGTTCCACTTACTATTTGCATTACGAGGAATACACAGGCTAAGTGCAGCTCGGACGTCATGATAAGTTTAAAGGTCTCTACGTTATCAACCGAATTTCTGTAAGGGAATAGGGTAAGGAGGGTGAATTTCTGTCACGGTTTTAAATCATCGGTCTATTTTCCATTCGACCGTACTCCGTGGAGGGATTTGATTTAGTTCATGCATCCTGTCCACTGTGGAATGGGACTGTAATGGTGGGCGATGTCTGTGAATTATGCGAGTGTAAATCACGGCAGACGTGCCAGTGAATTCTCAAAAGGAATGATTAGGAATGATATTGCTCCACTAATCAAATCACTCCTCCATTTGGTTGCATTAAACTGGAAAAAAAAGAAGTAATTTTAAAGTGACTCTGACAGAAACGAACAACCGTGAAGATATAAGAACGTAGCGCTCCACCACAACTGATCAATCTTAACCATTTTCGTTCATGATTCAGCTACATTCCGGGTATATTCTGGGCCACATGGTCATGTTATTGGGTCGAGTGACGTAAAAGGTTTAATATTAGAAACCCTCAGAGACGAGTTTGGGGGACGTATGAGATCAAAAAATGCTGCTAATGGAATCACAATCATGTCACCTGACAAGAGATGCACGTAGCCGATGCAAGTAACCTAAAATGGTGGAGTAGTCGACAGCATGTTCCGGATCGCGATTTGTGTTTCCATACCACATATGCGCCACTAAAAATTGCTGGCCGTGGGTCACAGGTTACACAAAATCTATCCAATGAGAACTCAAGTAAATTAGAGGTCACAATCAATTCCCTTGGATAGGGCGATGGGTACTAGATAAGTGGTTGGCCACTTGTGTATCAGATGAAGCCTTGAAAGTTTTTAATCAACTTAGATTTGTTTGTCTTTGTTGCAGACTGCCTTAAGAGTAAGGAGGGGCGAAGGCGGGAACCGGCCGAAGCAAGCTGGGTGAGACAATGGGAGGCAGGTCCGTATCACTCATAGGTGTCGTTATCGTGGTGGTCACGATACTTGTTGCATTCACATGGGCAGAAACGGCCAACGGATCTCTCTCACAAAAAGTCAAGGTAACAGTTGACTTTTCAGTAGTAAACAATGGCATAATTTTATAGTGCGACTATCATTGATTTGCCTATCACATGATTCGTTTCTGCTCAAGAGACGACTTATGTGATTATTGTGCTATTCAAGGGATTGATGGGAAAAGAATATAACACTCAGTAGTACATTTGAAAGATTATTGAGACCAGTGTTTTATTGGTCACGACGCGTTCTGTAAGTTTGTTCCAAAGGCGCACGATTGAGTGGATGAAACTTCAATCCAAGAAGCCAGCAGTAACTTGCTGTTGACAAAACGTGTATAGTTGTACCACAAAAAAGTAATCAATGTTTTCAATATCAGACGTCAAATATCTTGTAAAAGCAAATTGTCCACTTCTAAATATATTCTTGAGGCCTCCTAACTACAACAAATGGCCTTGAGGGCGCTGTGTTAGATAAACGTTCAGTATGGTGCCAGTGGGCGACGATCCCTATGTTGTCTGGCCTATGTTTACTAAGAGTTATAATTAATTTTCTAGTATGTTAATAGAATTGTTTCCCCAATCAGTTTGATATTTTGATTTCCAATAGCTTATGTTGCTGGGTTTAATTGCCTTCGAGAAAATAAACAGCATATATGATATAGAATCAACACAGTGTGATATTTCCCCACAGATTCGCAGAGAGGGCCGTGAATCGGATAAGTACTGGTCCAAAGATGTCGGCTTAACTGACCAGCAGTTACGGCAACTCCTGGCCAACAGCCTGACAAACTCATACAGCACTGGGGAGGGGGAGAGTCAGACCCGGCCAGCCAAACCGGGCTATCGCTTGTATGGCAACCGCCTCAGCGACACCAACCTAGGGATCGATGGGAACGAGGAAGACGAGGTCGAGACCGAGGTCACGCCCAGGGGGTCTGCCCTGAGAACGAGCAAGCGGAACGGGTTCTTCTATGGCAAAAGGAACGGTTTCTTTTACGGCAAGCGATCGGGCTCGACCCTAGAGAATGCAAATCAAGTAAGTACATATCAATGAAGTTTGTTTTAACAAAAATATTGCCTCAGAAGTACCGTCTTGAATTCAACATCATTAAAATAAATTACACAGCAATTAACATTAAAGGTTTTGATTTCGTTTTCGAAAAAAAAATTACTTGGGGAAATTTAGGGCATTTTGTTTTTGCCGGATTTGGAAATACCTATATTTGGAATATTAATATTATTGCGATGCTTATTGCAAAGGTCGGGTTTAAGAAAAAACATCATGAGTTGAGAAGTCAATAAGTGAACCAAAGACCCAATCTAGCATGACTGGCCCCTTCATGCTGGCCTGTCATTCAAACAAGGTAAACTGACCAATCACATCACGATCTTTGGTCAGCTGACCATGGTAGCTCAGTCAAACCCGGTTAACAGGCTCCCCGAGAAACCTAAGAGGGTGGGCTTGAGTTCCAATCTGAATCTTGACAAGAGCTGTTTCAGTATCTTCTATTTGCATTGATTGAATTGATGTTACCCCACAGCTTACAAACCCTTCTTTTTCTTTCCACAGTGCACCCAATGTGGGCCACAAAACAGTGGCCAGTGTGTCATGTTCGGCACCTGCTGCAGCTACGCCGCCGGGGGCTGCTTTTTCATGACGGAAGAGGCCCTGCCCTGCGTGACGTCAAAAACGTCATCAATATGTCAGCTCCAAGGAGCACCATGCGGTAGCGATGGTTACGGCCGCTGCGTCGCCGATTCCGTCTGCTGCTCGCCGCAAGAGGGCGCTTGTCATGTGGACGTGGCCTGCAGCAGCAAGCCCACATATCAATAAGACACACAGGATAAGATTAACCGGGGAATTCAATCGATCAATTGGGGTTGAACTTACATTTGTTTAAATAAACAAATGGGATTATTTGGGAGCATACATCAAGAAGTCAAAACAAATTAATGACAACAACAGACAAATGTTAATTTTATAGCGGCAACCATTGTACGTAGTGTCAACTGTTCGAATTAGACACGAAAAATTATTGTATTGATGTGAGCATGTCTCTTACCGTTCCTTGATAAAGAGACGATAAAGTTTAAAATGAGGACAGTACTTCAAATAATCGACTGACTTTATAAAAGTTATGACAGTTAGAAATTGAATATATGTCGTGTAACAGTCACACGAAGCGTCAAAAAATTATCCTTCGGATTAAAAACAACATTGTTTTATTCAACTTTTTTCTTTTATGAAAAAAAAAGCTATTTTGAGCAATAGAGGGCGCTATAAGGACGCCATGTTCGGGCTTCAAACAGTCGACGTAAGGTATTGACGTAAGTTTCCTTGCTGCTACGATTAAAAAATTATATATTTACAATTTTTTAATTACGAGGTTGAAGAAAAGTTGCTTAATTGCTAAAATAAACATGATGATTTTACCGTATGTGCCCACAGAACGGCGGCTTTACAACGTCCCCTTTCGCTCAAAATCGGATGATTGTCTTTTGGACAAATACAACATGAGTACTATAGCGTTTAATCGTTGCGCCCAAACTACTTTAAGAAAACTATTAATCTTAAACTTACCAAACCAGTTTTTGCCAGTTTTTATTCTCAAATTTGACATGTAAAAGGTAACGACTGACAAAAAACGTGTGTTTACTTAAGCGGCAGTTAATTTTTTTGCAAACAATGTAGTTTGTAAAAATTATCTTAGGATATAAGCACCAGTTGCATTTATTTCAAAGCAAATGCATTTCAAAACATGCAGTTACGGTACAATAGTGTCATAAGTATTAGCAAAAATATTCATAGATCGAAAACCGACGTCTTAGTATATTCGTAGATTTGTTTTAACATTGGAGTTACTTTTCGGACTTGAGTCATTATGTAACAAAAAAATAGAAAAATATTGCCTGATTTCATAGCCATTTTTTTAAATTCTAGGCTTGGAAAGCATATTGCTTATCTCGTACGAAGCACATTTTTTCTTCTTTTTAGCAACATGTGAATACTTGTCACTGTACACCAAATGTGACCATAAGAAAACTGCGACATTAAAACAAGGACCCATGACAATAATTATTAAAATGCACAGAAAAAAATGTAGCTTCAAACAATTTGAATATTGTTGTCCTTAATTAAACAATAGGCCCGTAGGTTTGTGTTTACTTTGCACTACATTTAGTTTGTGCTTTAGCACCAATTATTTTGATTCTAACAATTTTGGGGATTTGGGGAAGAAGACAGGTGGCCACAAAATTAATGTCACGTGACCAACACCAGAAGGATTTTCTCCTGGTTCAAAATCAAGTTTGGCATCGTTTTCCTTGACATTCGAGAGTTGACGTAGGCCGCGCCTACGCTCGTAAATAGACTACACCGGTGAACAATTTACACAATGCTCGTTAACGGTTTTTGGCTGCCTGACACACGATTTATCGAGAGACGTCGGGAAGTCATCAGCTCAAGGAACCAGACTAATATTTTGATTACAGTTTAACAGATATTCGACATGTGCTATGACTTTCATTGCAACCGTAGTGACGACACCGTTGCAATTATAAAGATGTAGTAACATGAGTTTACGGTGAATGGTTAGAATAAAGACTTAATGTTGACATCTAAAATTAATAATCGTAGCGTATATTTCGCTGTATGCTATTAGAAGAATTTAAGTGTCCTTTGATTAGAAACTTACAAATGTACATGAAAGTGTTTTATTGTCCACATTGAAGCAGAACGTAATGCTGTACTTTAAAATATATGCTCTTGTTGTTTTTTCTGACTGATATTGGGGTAAATAAAATTAGGGAGCGCTGGTTCCCTTTGTGCCAATGTACAGAGCATTATTTTGTCACTGGTTGCCGTGCTATCTGTGACAGTTCTGCCAATCGGAGGTTTTGTTTGTTAGTGTGTTTTTTTCACTATAACATCAGCATAATAATTTGTGACTGGATCCTAAACATGCCTCTTAAGGAAAAATTTGTCATATATCAGGGGTTTTATTGGGGGGGGGGCATTATTTCTCTTCATTTTGATATCTCACTCAGTGTAGCATCTACATTCGGGTGAAAATGTTCGGTCCCTTTAAATTCCATTGCCTGGGTAAAATTCTATTGAAAGGTCAATTACCAATTGCCAATTAAAAGAAAAGACAAACCATCAATGAAGTATTATTTCCCAGGGAAAATAATGTGCAGTGAAGACACCTGTTTAAAGAAAACAATCTCGGGGAAATCTCATTGCTTTTGGCGTGATTCAGAAATAAAAGGAAAAGCTCTGGGAGGAGGCGGCAGTGTCATGTTAAATGACAACGACCAGCACTGACAGATTAATGGTTTCGAGAGCAGTCCCGTCGGGATTTTTTATTTGCTTTTTTTAAGCGAGGAGGGCAAGACATTGGGCAGGCTAAGAAAAAGATCTTAATGGCGAAAGTGACTGCCCAACTTATAGGTCAGTTAATAAAAACCTGGGAGGTCTGTAAGGAGAAATGACGGGGGGAGGGGGGGGCGGGGATCCTTGGGGATGGACCAAGGTACGGGTGCAGATGGGGAGGAAAGGATTAGAAATAATTTTTCGTTAACCCTGAGAGTCCAAAGGGCGGATCTGGGGACCCTCCCCCCTTTTGGTTTTACTGTGATGTCGTAATATAGGCAGGCACTGCGTACACCACCATCTTTTCCTTTAAAAAAATGATCAAAGTGGTCAGAAATTGCCTCAGATCGCTCCACAGAGCATCTAGAATCCAAAAACAATTTCCCCACGCCGTATTTTTTTTGATCCACTTTCTGAGGGACCAAAATTTGTTTTGGCCCGCCCCCCCCCCCTAAAAAAAATGCGTTCGGGATCCGCCCTTGAACAGTCCTGAAAACCTGCAATTTTAATATGATTTTCATACACCCCCTATAGGTTGAGGAATGTCGCCTACAGTTGCAAGACAGTTTTGCAATCATTTAATCAAACATTGTCTCTCTCTAAATGACGCAATAGTCCGTACGTATGTTAGCCGTACAGACTGACTGCCTACATTTTAGAATGTTTGCTTCATATTATTCCCATATCTATTTGATTTTTGAGAAGTTGAGTGGAGTCAGTTACAACAAACGCATTCACGCAGCAATAGCTGGGTAATATAATCAGGGAAAGCGTCTGTATATATTCAGACACAAGATGGCGCTGTTTAAGCCTGACAGAAGCTGACACTATCAAACACCAGTTTGACAGAGCCTTCGGCTGAGGCCAATTTCACAGCGCTGCAAAGCAAAAAAAATTGCTTAGCACAAAAAAAAGTCTGGCTTATAACAGCAGGTTATCAGCCAAAACTCCATGTGATTTTCATGCTAAGCGAACAACAGGTGAATACTAATCACGAGTATATACATCACATGGAGTTTTGGCTGGTAACCTGCTTTAAAAAAGTACGCTCGACACCCCGGGGACGAGGTTGGTAGCATATAACAAATGGAATTAAGTTAACGCACACCAAGCGTTTATCCAATGGGCGCTAGTAATCAGTGGTGAGCGGGCGTGTATGACGTTTTTGCTAACGAACCGGATAGATTTCGTGCAATTAATTAGGCTTCATGTAATGACATTTTGTACTCGAGGAGTTTAATTGCTTTCACTAGAAAACAGTTGCAACCGTTCTCAGTAGAACCTAATCAATTATTTAAATCCGATCTCATAATTTAATCGTGGCAAGAACTGCCTGGCGTTTTGGTGAATTAGGTTCTTTATTTCTCCATTTAAAAAAATAGAGGCTCGATGTAAACTTAAACTATACACATGCCAGTAAAATTTAACATTACAGAAACTGCTAGCAGGGAGCAAAAACGTGGTTAACCTATAGTGTCAAATACTTTAAGGCCTGCACTGATGTACTATACCTATGGGTATCTTGAAAAGCGCCCCCAAGCGTCGAATAATCCCCTCCACCTTTCCTTGTCTGGTTCCCAGATCAAAAGATTTTGACTATTCCTGATGAATCTTAGGTCAGCTAGCCACCAGTAATACACTGTATTACAAATATATTTCACGTGACTTAAACGGGAGGAATTCCTCCTTTTTCCGAAAATGTCCGAAGTTTACCGAATTCATTTCGCCGACAATCGTATATCGCCCGGGTATTTCCGAGTATAATATAGGTTTTATTAACTGCTAATTGCTTATTAAAAACTTTTTAAAATTAGTTGATAATAAATATTCATTGCTTGCATTTAGAAAACTTGAAATTCAACGACGATTTTGTGCCTCAAGTATGCACTCGGATCGTACACGAAAGGGCGCACTTTTTGCTGCGTCATGTACTATTTTGAATTTGACGACCGTTACTGGGATTTTCCAAAACTTAACTTGGCGTGGTCTCCATTAGGCTGCACCTGCTAACAGTGCTATTTGGGTGCCTAACTTTGAAGATTCCAGGTCAACATTAGTCAATAGTTTCTTACAGAAATATCAAACTGTATTATCATACCGGTATACATGAAGCAAGTGATTTATTTTAAAATGAGATTGGAACATTCAAATTTTACTAGTGATAAAGCGAAGTCGGAAACGAAGCCGAGTTTTGAAAAAGGGCCGTCAATGTCGTCATGTTTATTTTTTAATAGCCACGGAGGCTGCATGACCTACAAGTTAGACGTGTGGGCGTCGGGGGAAATTGTCAGGTCAGTGAACCAGACTACACCTTTCCAAATTTCCGGCCGGAAAATTTCGTAGATAATTTAGCCTGAAAGTTCACCCCTGGTAAGGTAGTGCACTTCCAGAACCCTCGAATGAGGGAAACTAATGTGCAAAATTAAAAAAATTTCAATTATTTGGGTAAATTGATTTCTTAAGAAAATCTCCCTCGAAAAAAAGGGCCTTTGTAAAATTGTATAGCATCTCAATTTATGGAAACTGAAAAAATCGCCTGACGTGAAAGAGAAGTCGTGCCAACAAATTGTCCTCTCACTTCCGAAAATCTAAAATACATGTGGACCAGTGGAACGCAGTGTACTCGTACAAAGATGAAAATTATGAAACAAATTTTGGTCATTGGGCGGAAACTGAAACTTGAATCGGAGACTAAAATGTCTCTTAGGATAAACATTTTTTTTAATAAACTTTAAGTGCTCATTAGCATTTACAAAAAAAAAAATCTAAAATGACTGCTGATAAAGAATTCAATCAAGCCAGCCCGACTAAATCTAGAACCCATGGGCTATATGTTGGTAAATCTTAGCGTCGTTTATACAGTTTCGTTCTCACGCAAGTACGTGATGTGAAAACAAACGTGAACCCCACTCCGAGTGATTTCTCATCATTTTGTCTCGAGGAATACCAAAATAAACTTCCAACATGAATGTTTCTTGGGGTGATGATTACGGTTTGAAATCATTCTGTCAATAATATTATAGCAAGAAGGGGGCAACCTAGTGTACAATGCCCATAGGCGGGCCGCGCCAGGGCTCCGGAAGCTCGCCGCGTGACCTTTTACTTTCATGCTGTTGTTCTGGTCCAATGCAATGTAAGTACTCATTCGAAGTGTGTTCGCCCAAAACGGCTGTTTAGTGTTTAGCTATTCAATTCTAACATCAGTACTACTCAGTATAATTATGGCCCTATACCCCAAACAGCCGTCCGCTTTTTCTGTTGATGCGGCTTCGTATTTTTTCGATTATCTCACGTCTTTTGTGAGATTAGTTTTCTGAAAGCCTGCATGTTTTCATATATGATGAGGAGTCAACAACCTGCACGGCAAATCCCTTGGGAATTGGACACACTGTGGAAGAACAAATCGAGGCTTGTGCAACATGCAAATAGGAATCAGGGACAGAAGCCTCATTCCCGATTCGCGCGCCAATTGGCTCAAAACATATCACACAGGATATTGGCAGGAATCATCCATGGTCACTTGAAAACAGCAGATGGGGACGGATTAAATTCTAATAGCTTTTTGATTAATGTCCTCACCGATGTAACACATGTTTTTTTCACCAATGATTGGACAATATGGGACCCTCTAGCCGCCCCCTAAGCTGTACGTATCTTTCAATGCGTGTAAGACAAGTCGTCTTCTATATCAGAACATTGCAGTGGCGTAGCAAGTTCAATTTTATTGGGGGGTGTAAACAATTCTTGAAAAGGGCACTTGGACATCCGTGCTGAAATGTAGACACATTTTTTTCTCCGGACACTTGTATGGGGGCGCTGTTCAAAACCGACGATAATGCACACTGACGGACATGGTGCTTTTCAGGGCGGCGATAAATGCGTGTAATTAAAAAAAAAGGCACCCGGAACGGCCGATGGCACAAAAAAGGGCACGACTTCTTTTTCAAAAAGGGCACTTGTTCAGAAAAAAGGGCACTTGTTAAAAAAGGGCTTTCTTGACAAAATATTGGGGGGGGGAGGGGTAAGCGCTGGTGAAAAAAAGGCATTTGAATAGAAAACGGCAGTCTTTACAAAATATTTTTTGGGGGGGGGGGGGAATATCCCCTTACCAAAACCATGCAATACAATGCAATATGCAACCATGTCCTTAAATAATTATGAAGCACGTTGTAAAATATTAATAATATCTGTTCAGGGCAAAACCCGGCCTCAGCCACCCCTCATAATCCTGGATTTCAATGCATTACCCCCCCCCCCCCCGCTTTCTTATTAAATCCTGGATCATCCAGTTTCCTGGACGATCAGTGCACCTGCGGTCCATTTCAATTTTTAAAAGCTTCTTACGTATTCTGGGTCAAAAACACCTGTGTTGATTTTTTTTCTCTTTTTCATCGAATGTTTAATACTTTGGCTTTTACGAAACTCTGGCTTCGATCGTCTCCCCCTCCAGCCCAAAAACTACTGCTGGTAGAAAATTGACTGATTTTGTACGGGAGTCTCCTGAAGCCGAAGGCAAAGGCAAGATTTCGTAAACCAAATGATGACCCGTGACTCTAACCTATTGTAGATAGGGCCAAAGACCGCGCGGGACCTTTGCGCATAAAAATAGCACGGGAACACGTCAAGCGTGGTATTTGAATAAGCTTGGATTAGGCAAAAAAAAAGGTTCCGGTTTCTGGTCTGCGCGCGCGTCGCCGTAGCCATGCGCGTCGGCAAAATTACTCTGTTTTTTAATGCAAGATGATGTCTCAAAACCGCCAAACTCACTGGTTTGATTGGGGCCTGATGCCGCACAATTTTAACGTGTTTTAGATGGGGTTAGCATCGAGTATAAGCTTTATGTGGCCTCTCTCGGCTCCCATACATTTTGCACTAAATTTAGTCGGGCACCATTTGCAGTCATCAGCCGACATTTGAAGAAGAAAAAAGTAAAAAAGAAAGAAAGAAAAAAAGCCGCATCGCCGCACCACTTTTGAGGTATGAAGCTCCATACCAGAAATCGAAGACTTTTTGGCCTTATTATGCATAGCAACGTTTCAACGATTTCGCTCTTACTCACAACCTAATGAAAAGTGATGTTGCCCGCTAATCTCTTTCACAAAACTCCCCACGTTGCAGCTATCCCATTTGAACACATGCATTTTACAGGCTCAATCTGCGTACTGCTCCTTTCATTGCACTAAGATTACCCTACCTGCTACTTCCAGAGAAAACGGATGACCTCCGCCTTGCCATGGACAAAAGGTCTCGAATCTGTTATCGTTGTATGAGACTTTTCGATGGTTTGATGAAATGCAATTCGCGTGAGGTCTGCAATGACATTGGTTGGCACTTTTCTTGATTACTCGAATCACCTAGAGCATTTTAGGCAATCGTGTAATATCTACAGGTCATTTTTTTTTTGGAAGGGTTGTTTTTTGTATAGGGTGGGGTGTGTAATGGGAAATTAACGTAAAGATAGAGGAATATGATCCGTGCTCCCCTAAAACATCTCACGAAATGGATTTCGTCCGTCTAAGGAGTCATGAGAAGAACAACACCTTGAAAAAAGGACCTGTTGCACTCTGAACTGTTTGGTATTCGCAAGCACTGTTCTCGTCCCGTACTCAATGCTAAGATTACCATTTGTTCATATTTACTGGATCTTTTAACACAAGCAGCTAGCTAGACGCTACTATTAAATTTAAAACCATTAAGAATAATTAAACAAATCATGTTTTGGTTTTGTTTCCTCATGCAGTCACACCTTGAAAGCGCTCTTAATCATGTCCACGCCGATTTGAGTTGAAATCCGTCAAACCTGTCAAGGCATTTAAGACCAGCTGGTGTGCAACTAAATACCATTCAAAATAAGTATACAATTGTATTATTTTTTAGTATTATTTTCTTTACCCATAATATATTTCTTTGGCGTGAAATACCTCTGCAAGTGATATATGGACACAAAAGTACACAAGATTTAACACAACAGAAAAATGGAGCACATCAGTCAACGAGTTACTCGACAGAAACATGTTAGTGCAGACAAGGTCTTCTTGCAATCTTCACGGAACCGTTCGTTCACAAAGCCATAGATAAGCGGGTTAATGGCGTTGTTCAAATAAAATATAAACCTGAACAGGTAAAGGAGTGAGTAGCCAACCTGGTTGTTATCATGGATGAAATTCTCGACGTCCTGCGGCAGGACGAAAATACAAAGCGCCGGTAGCCAAGTAGCGAAGAAGACCGCGGTGGTGATAAGCAGCATTTTGGTCGTCTTACCGTGCAATCTCTGCGTCTGAGGTCTCTGTCGACGCTGTCGAACTGGGTTGTCGGTCGTACCAGTTGCTAATTGATTAGAGAGCCTGTTGACTGTCGACACATTCGCGAGGTTCTGGATGTTGAGCGTAAAAGATGTTTCATGATGCTGCTGCTGCTGCTGTTGTTCTTCTTCTTCTCGCAACTGCTGCTGATGGAGGCACATGTTGTGTAGGCCTACCTGCTGTTGCGACTTTTGTTTTTGTTTTTGTTGACGTTTACCACAGTTTTGACGATATGTTCTTAGATGTTGCCCTGAAGTGTTCGCGGTCTGGATACGTTGGTTGACGTTCATCATCTCTTGGTCAGAAACTGTGGCGACTTCAGTCCCGGACTGACATGTCGATAACGGTGCGTTTTTACTGGTCGGGCGAGGACCGGTACATGTCATACTTTCTGCTGGTCCATTGGCCCGATCATGACCAGGTTGCACGGCGGCTCGTTTACGGATTGCACGGTACATCTTCCCGTAAAGAACTATGTTGGTGACAAGGGTGAACAGGGATGCTGCATAAATTACCGTGGTCATTAAATATGTCACCCAGATGGGTACTGTTTTACTGTGCGTGCAAACTCCTGTGTCAGATTCTTGGGCATGAGGTTCCACGTCATACGACAAAAAAACCGGAACGCTGATGAGTATCGCCAGAAACGGGCAGACCACCGCCGTGATTTTGGCGCGCCGGACGGTCATCCAGCGCCGGTGCGGCCGGCAGATGGCCTGGTACCGGTCCACTGCGATGGCAGATGTCAAGAAACAAGAGTTGTAGACGGTGACAAAAGTCACAGTGAGGACAAGACGGCAAAGAAAGTCACTGGTGTAGTTGAGTCTGATGTACCAATGGTAGACGGTGACGGGGGTAAAAAGGCAGACCATCAGATCCGCTACAGCCAGGGCGAGGATAAAGACATGCGGGCTCATCAACTGTCGTTTCCTTCCATACACCAAAACGATGAGAGCGTTACCTGGCAAACCAACGACGCCCACGATGATATGAAAGATCACCAGAGGCCACAGGAAAGCCTCCATCTTTGTTGAAACATAAACCTTCTAGCTGTTTCCAAACTTGGCCACTGAACTGTCAAGACTGTGCTGGAAGACAAGCATCGCTTTTTAACAAGTTGTAGACGCTCAGGTTTCAAAGATTCATCGGTTTCACTCGTTCCTACTGGAAGACTTAGAATCCCACGTGCTACATCGCTTCAATACGCGTACGCATGCGTACTGGTTAATACCTGAATATAGTATAGTTTATCAAGGGAATAGCCAACAGGACGTCAACATGTTGAATCTTAAACGTGGGTCCTTGTATATAGTCTTCGATAGTTATAATATTATAATGTTGAGGTTTGCCCTTTACCGCCGACGTTACTTTAGAACTACCGTATAATTATACTCAGTCCACATTGCAATCGTTCCATTTTGCAATGGAGCGCAAGCATCATTTTCCAAAATGGATGGGCTATACAGGACTACTTTTAGGGGTGATCATCTTTGGATGGAATTTTCTCCCAAAAGTCATTGGTTAACCCAAAAATATGAACAAGGAAAATGTAAAATGATTACATACGTTTTAGGTTGCAGAGTTGTGAGTATTTTTCCTGGATTTCGGAAGCGGGCGTATTTATCACTAGGGCCTATGGTAGTTCAGTTATTTTCTGGTCCGCAATCACATGTTGTGCTTTAACAAAGATGGAGGCCTTCTTGTTGCCTCTGGTTATCTTTCATATCATCGTGAGCATCCCCAGTCTTCCTCGTCGGATCTAAAGAAGCACGGGTTTTTCATCGTGTTCTTCGTAAAAATAAGAATTATGCGAATTTCAACTCCAAATCTGGCGATCTCTGATCGAAAGTACACATTTACAGAGAGTGCAGCGTACTGTCATTCAGCTTTTAGAAGGACGTCCTGACGGAGATTTAATAATGCTGTGTATTTGTCCCTAGAAGGTGTGCAAAATCGTATTAAAATTGGAGGACACGGGTCCGTTTGAGTTAGAATTGAAATCTGGTGGTTTCTTCGCATTGACTTAAGAAGGATTTTTGAGTGTCTAGGGGTTTTCAGGATCAAGTTGCGCCTGAGCTACGACCGACTGGAACAAACTAGTCGCCGATTTTGTGCGACCTGAGTGTAACTGCGACGAAATTAAGACGATCGGCATCAGTTAGCGCTTAAAAAAATCAACCGTCGCAAGAGTAGAAAAATGTCAACTTCTGCGACGTGTTCCGCGACAGTAACACGATTTCTCAGTTTTGAGACCTGAGCAAGACTTTTCTGCTTGATGCCGACGGTTCCGTCGTGGCGCAGGTAAATCGTGGGTCGACCTGAGGTCGGCTTTAATTTCCCGTAGGCCTAATTAAATATGAATGTGATCATATCATCATAGTATAAAATCACCTTGCTAGCTTGATGGGGAACCCAGGGCAGAGGAAGAGTTACACTGCCAGTTGATTTTGTGTCGGCGATGGGGGATGACGCAAATCCCGATAATCACGAAGCTGGGGTAGGGCCTGGGGAATACTTTTTGCTGAGTTCCAAACTATATCGAGAACCTACGTCACATCCAAGCGCTTTGAGCCTTCAGAACGAGTATAGGTACCCGGGTCGCGATTTTTTTCCCCAAACGAGATCGAACAAGATCAGAAGAGGGCGCTCTCTCTGCGTTATGCATATTCATGATGTCCAGGGCAGAGATTATATATATAACAAGTAATAGGCCTCTTCGATTCCATTTCAGTTCAATCAATTAAGTGATTGAGCAGCACCTTTCGTTTATGTTCATTCAGATTCGTTAACAAGACTTCTTTTTCACTTTTAGAGGGCGATTTCAAACATTGACCATTTTATTTCCATTTTAGTTTAATGTTATATGATGTTATCTGCTATTTTGAATGGAAAAAACGTACTTTTGATTGCACATTCACGAAATTGTATTCCAGAACTCTGCGCGAAAAGGTGTGCTTCCTTAAATGAATGCGCATATAACGTAATTGGCCGTCTGTTTCTCAAAACAGAATGCACGGACAATAAATACGATTGAAGTGTCGTTGACTTGAAATGGGATTAAAGACGTGCATTCAACTTCAGACGAAAAGGAATGAAGAAGTGAAATTTTCAGAAGTGAATGATCATTTCAGGAAATTGGCCGGGAAAACCTATGTTATCTTTTAAGTATTTTTATTTTTTATTGGTTCCACAAATCAATTGAAAATCGTGACAAGCACGGTAAAATGCACAATAAATACGATTTTTTTTTAACATTGATTATAGGGCCTACTCGGTGCAACATGCAAGACGGTGCAAATAGTAAACTCTGAAACACGCTTTAACGACAACCAAACAATAAGAAATGCAAGCGGTTGTTTCACCGGGTAAAATTAAGAATAAGATCGTCAATTCGGCATAGCGCTCACCAGTGAGGGAATATATATAGATTACAATTATTTTGTGCTATTCGGAATTTTGCGATAATGTACATATGAACTTATTCTTTGTTCATAATAATTATTCTCAATACGAAGTTTAACACAAGGTGCCGCCAGTTGTAAGTGATTAGGTAATTAAGTGAGAACACATAACTTCAAAGTAAAGTCTGTCACGAGATATTGTGGCCCATAAGGTCGAAGTTTATCTCCGGTTTCCTTGGCATGGATTATCTAGTGAGGATATTTTCTATTTCCCCTTGATGGGATGCCAGTCCATCGCAGGTTACTCCCCAGCTATAATGCTGGTACCCATTTATACTCCTGGGTGGAGAGAGGCAACTGGGGGTGAAGTGGCTTAGGCCTGCCCAATGACACAACGTAGTTACCTTTACTCATGAGTAACAAACCCTGGACATGTCTTCTTGTTAAAGGGTTTAATTTCGGAGACATCGGGGGCGCATAGCCGCTAGCGTCTTTCTGCAATCCTCTCTGAATTTCCTGTTCACAAATGCATAAATGAATGGGTTAACGGCGTTATTCAGGTAGAAGGAGTAGCTCAAGAGGTACAGGATTGCATAGCCGATCTTGTCGCTGTTGTAGAGCTGTGCATGGCTGCTATGAAGTATGGATACAAGGCAAAGAGCCAGCATCCAAGTCGAGAAGAATACCACGGTAGTGATGACCAGCATTTTCGTTGTTTTGCCGTGACGTCTGGCTAACTGAACTTGCGGGGGTCTAGCGGGGCGCAGATGGTTTGTCACGATGCCTGCGTCGACGCGTGCGTTTATGGTACTGATTCTCTTGATTGATGTCTCTTGCTCCTGCTTTTCTCGAAGCTGTCCTGGATGCCCTTGTTCTGCTTGTCGTTTTGGGGGCTCAGGGTTGCGGACAACTTGTCTGTGAGCCAGAAACAGTTGTGTAGCCCCGGCCCCGGCCCCTTGCGAAGGGTTTGCAACGGTCTGGGAAGTGGATGGAGATTGCTGAGAGATTCGTGAAACAGGATTGTAGACTCTATAACAGGACCCGTTTGCATCCAGCAGTGCATTCAGTGCCAGTGGTGAAGGATCATGTGAGGCTCCAGGAGTTGCAGCTGCCTCGTTCGGAGCGACTTGGTTGGGACGTAGGCCTACAGCCGCTCGTTTCCGTAAGAAGAAGTACACCTTCCCATAAAACACAATCGTGATTGCAAGTGTGGACAGGGAGGATGTGTAAGTGACCGAGTGCATGCACGTATGTACCCAGCTAGGTACGTTCTTATTGGCGGTGCAAATTCCTGTTTCGTTGGATGGGTTTTCAAACTGAACATCGTACGAGACAAACACCGGTATGCTGGAAATTAACGCGAGAGTCAGACATAGGGCTGCCGTGATTTTGGCGCGCCGCACGGTGGACGTGCAACGCCGGTGCGGCCGGCAGATGGCCCGGTACCGGTCCACTGCAATGGCAGTGGTCAGATAGGATGAGTTGTAAACAGTGACGAAAGTCATAGTTAATACTAGACGGCAGAGAAGTCCGCTTGTGTATGACCGGCTGATGAACCAATGGTAGACGGTGACGGGGGTAAAGAGACAGACCATCAGATCCGCTACAGCCAGGGCGAGGATAAAGACATCGTGACTCATCATCTGTCGTTTCCTTCCATACACCAAAACGATGAGAGCGTTACCTGGCAAACCAACGACGCCCACGATGATATGAAAGATCACCAGAGGCCACAGGAAAGCCTCCATTATCAACGAACTGACCTGACTTAGTTTGAATCTACTCACTCCCCGGAACTTGGATCTGTCAGGCTGAAGCCAAGGATACACACTACAGAACGCTTCTTCTCTCATTCGCCCGGAGTCCAGTTATAAAACACACTGATGACAGTCACATAATTATATGAAACACCTGCTATAACGCGCATTTTACAAGCATCTGCAGCCGCCGATGTTCGTACCCTCTCAAAAATGAAGAGGAAGCGCGCCCCCAGTTTACGTCACCGATTCCGTGATTAAATTTGTTTTTTTCCTCCACCAGAGCATCCAAAGGTTTCCTTGATCGCTTAGAGCTGTCGTTTCTATGACAACGGTAACCGAGTGTTATAGTGACGCCTTACGCATCATTATTATAATATATTCAATAACGTCAGGATACCAATCAACGACTGCTTATTAAAAGCTGTTGATTGGTATCCTCATTAGGCGCCCCCCAAAAAGTCTCCGGTTTCTGGTATGCGCGCGCGTCGCCGTAGCCATGCCTGTCGGCAAATGAAAAGGTTTTTTTTTCAATAAAAGATGATGTCTAAAAACCGCCAAACTCACTGGTTTGACTGGAATCCTGCTGCTGCACAATTTTAACGTGTTTTTAGATGGGGTTATGATCGAGAATAAGCTTTATGTGGCCTCTCTGGACTCCCATATATTTGCACTAAGTTTAGTCGGGCACCATTTGCAGTCATCAGCCGACATTTGAAGCAAAAAAAAAAGTAAAAAAAAAAAAAAAAGCCGCGTCGCCGCACCACTTTTTGGGCAAGCTCCATACCAGAAACCGGAGGCTTTTTTTTTTGGCCTTAAAAGTAATTGAATTCTTTTTGCACTTTAATTGCAGCTATACTCGCAACAGGCAACAGCTCTGCTAATGAATTTACAAGAAGCCGTAGATTTAATTATTACTATTCGTGGTTTATTAAAATTCAACTGGGTTGCGAAAGGCAAAATTGCATTGAATTCACAATGAGTAATAAAAGTTAACAATAAAAAGTTAAGCTTCATTAAAAAAAAAAAAAGAAGATTAAAATGGATTAAACATAGACAGAATCATTGCACAATTTCAAAAATTTCAAAAATAAGGTACCTACTCTACCATTTGTATACCTTTTTTGCCGACTTAATGGATCATTTGACCACGGTCAGATCCAGGAATTTTGTGGGGGGGGGGGGGGGGTACCGGGTATCAGCAAATCAATGCTGAAATGAATTTTTTGTTGGCCTCCGTAAAATCAATAATTGGGTTGGGGGGGGGCACAGCTGCATATTATTATTTATTTGAAAAACTATCTAATTTTTTTTTAGTCGGAGCTGGGGAGGGGGAGTTTCGACCCCCAAAACCCCCCTCTGGATCCGCGCCTGTGCACTATTATGCTAGGTTCACACATTTCCAATTTTTAAGCCGAATCGCCGCGAATAGCAACTCCTGAGTAAAACAGGGAATAGTTCTTGGCTGCCTCGGGATGATTCTGTTAGTTCGGTGAACGATCGTTAAAGATCGGGAAGCGCCCCGAAAAATTTGAACATGTTCAAATTGTCGGGGTAATTCGGGAACCAATTTCAATTCTTGGTTTATTTTGGTTGTACATGTATTCGTAACTAATTCCGGAATGTGTGAACCTAGCATTACGAAGGGCAATCGTTTGGAATGTTCACACCGGTTGCGCCACCCCCAACCGTCCCGGTTGCGCCAAACACGGGCGTCGCCAGACACATTTTAAAAAGGGATGTGGCGGCAAAGTTGCCGATAGACACTCGACACTAGACTAGTCCACCCCGACCCCCCACCCTTAATATGGGGACCGGTAGCTAGTTCCAATTTAATGTCATTGATTGGATCACCTCTGCGGGTGTGCAGTAGGCTATGATTTTTTTTAATGATGTTTACAGCTTTGCGCATGGATGACAGTTGAATACATGGCCACTAAAAATGTGACTCTTGCCATAATCAGTAGGGGAACCAGTGTACCCTTGACACCATGTTGGACAATAAGTGGCGCTATTCGTTGCGGTTTATTATTTGCCAATGAACAAATTGAAATTCAAGGATCTTGTTTTTGTGTAGTGAAGGTGTGCATTCCGTTCAAAAATATTAAACCTGGTGCCTAGATGCGTCACTGAGCAGATGCTTACCCATTACAACGCCTTCTGCTATGAAAGCCAATACGTTGCTAAGAATGTTGACAAGCATTTAAGGGACATGTGGATTGTGATAGATTGCATGGATCTGGAACTTCATCATGACTAGGATTATGAGATTGGTTGTTCAAGTCCCACGGAGGAAAAGAGTTGAATGAAAGGGCTGTCGATCATTGTTGCTATGAATACATCAATTTTTGACTTGGGATCGGATGATGAGAAATAAAAATGAACTCCACAACGGTTGCCTGATATGAAACGCCAAAGCCGTCTTCAAAAGGTCATTCGCTAGTCGTCAGAGACTAATCAGTTCCCTTCAGCGATTTCATCGTTCCATTTGGCAAATTTTCGTTCGATTTAAATTCACTTCACAATTCACTGCCTAACAGAATGGTGAATTTCCCGAAGAGAACAATGCATTCGTAGAACGGATGAGGAATTCGCCGAACGGGTGACGAATTTGCAAAATGGAATGACGAATCGAGTGATATGACTTACTGGAGACGGCTTTGGCGTCCCATACTCACAGTTTTCTACAACATTACTTGGCAATCGAGTTTCGTGTCAACTTAGTTCCAAAATTTGGTCCGAGTCTAATTCTCGACTCGCCCCCAGGTCACCTCGGTCAAATCCAAAGTCAGCTCTCTGGGAAAATGTATGTTCAAAAAAAAAATAGACGGCAGGCGAGCTGTACAATGTCTACTTCAGCAGCCAATTTTTACCCGTTTTCCAAGATGGCATTACAAGATAGCGTTTTGTGCACGGGCACGAAATTTGTCACGTTTTAGCGGCGTCTGTATCAGTTGAGTCAGAATCTTTTGCGTGAACAACGAGTTATTATAAAATGGATCCAAATGCCTTTTTTTTTGTATACACTGATAAACATTTTCGTTTAAAAAAAGATTCGATACCCTACGCGCGCCAAATCTTTATGTTTAAGTGGAAATCCTTTCCGTTAATTTCGATAATGGATTCAGGTTTTGTCACGAAGGTATTCACCGCTTAGTATAGCAAAGTTATCAGTGAAATGGTTGAGCAGGGCATTAGCCGTTGTACAAGACTGTTGCATTCATCTGTATCCTAACAATGACCACTGAATTCACAAGGACGTCCCTGCGGCGACAAAAAGCCTTTCGAGTGTTCTCAGTTACTTCCGCGTAAGCAACTTCTGTGACTAATTGATCGAAACGAACGATTTCCTTCTGAAACATGACCTTTTAAGTGTGTGATAGAAATCGATGTGTGATCCATTACCTGCGCTGAGGGTATTCAACCGAACGCTAGAAAATTTCCAAATGGCTACATTTGCGCCTAGGGTACAAATCTGCATATCTAATGGATTGTTTAAAGGTACACCTTGGTCCTCACTTCAAATACATTGCTAAAATATTTCTTTGTGCCCCCCCCCCAACCAATGTAGCCTTGGTCTAATCAAGCCCCCCCCCCTTCTGTTATAAAATGTAAACGTACAGTCCTTGCTTTGCTTACGATTGTTGCAGTATCAAGAGGCTTTAGGATATCTTCTGATGACGTCAGGCTCGTGTTTATGTGTAAGCACCATAAATAAAAGGCCTGCTTAGTGAACCTGTATACTGAGCCATTTTGACGGAAAATTACATTTTGAGTTCATTGATATTGAAGTTATCCTCCTAACTTACTTAACGCCACGTTGCCATTGGGCACACTGCAACAACTGTGTTTAGCGATTAGACACTTTTCTAAACACTTTCTTGCTATCAGTTTGTAAACGTGGTTAAATACTAACTAGTTTGGATTAAGGATGGATAGTGTTTAATAATTGAAATTAGTGTTTAGGAATATTATTGAACACATGGTTTTTAGCTTCTTAACATGTTTACAAAGTGATAGCATAATAGCAACAATGTGTTCAACTGCTAACACAGTTTTTAGAGTGCAGGCGCAAATCTTTAGCTCAGTATCTAGGAAATCCATACTCTGCGTCAAGGCTGAATGACGTCACTGTATAAAAACGAAGTGAGCCTTGGCCAGAGTCTTCTTTTTCTGATCGACGGCCATTGGAATCATTTCTCATCAAAAACGCAGGTGTAGGAGGTTGTGCTAGTAGTATTAATATATAGCAACAACCAAAATATGGAGAGTTTTCTGTGGCCTCTAGTTATCTTTCATATCATCGTGGGCGTCGTTGGTTTGCCAGGTAACGCTCTAATCATTTTGGTGTATGGAAGGAAACGACAGTTGATGAGCCCGCATGTCTTTATCCTCGCCCTGGCTGTAGCGGACCTGATGGTCTGCCTTTTTACCCCCGTCACTGTGTACCATTGGTACATCAGACTCAACTACACCAGTGACTTTCTGTGCCGTCTCGTCCTCACTGTGACCTTTGTCACCGTCTACAACTCTTGTTTCTTGACATCTGCCATTGCAGTGGACCGGTACCAGGCCATCTGCCGGCCGCACCGGCGCTGGATGACCGTTCGGCGCGCCAAAATCACGGCGGTGATGTGCCTCGTCGCTAGCTTGATCACCAGTTTACCAGTGTACGCATCGTTTGACGTAGAGCCCGAACAAGGTTCCCAAAGTGGAATATGCACAGTCGGTGGGGAAGTACCAGGCTGGGTGAAGTATTTCATGTACAGTGTTGTCCTCTTCGTCACTGTGTTCTCTCTGGTTGTTAATGTAGTTCTCTACGGTAAGATCTACCGAGCGATTCGTAAACAAGCCGCCGTTCTCCCCCGTGGAATCCCTTCGCGGATCATCAGGCCTAAGGCTGATTCCACCTGCACAGAGGGACCTGCGCAAGATAAAATAAACCCTTGCTGTCCAAATATGCCCGATGCGGATGACTATTCCTCGCTTCATCAGGGACAGGGTGAATCTTCAACGGACACCAGGGCTTTAAACCACACCAAAATCTCCGCTCTGGCCGCAACTTCGACCCAGCAGCAGAAGCAGCAACAGCAACGGCCAGAAACTCCCCCGACAGCCAGCCACAACGACTACGGACAAGAAACTCGTAACTATACCACAGACCAAACAATGGCAACGGTACCAGTCAGACAAAATGGTGATGGGCAAGCTGCAAAAGATGGACCGTCTGCACAAAACAACGATTCCGTACCCGGATCTCGGTTTAAAAGCAAGACCACCAAAATGTTGCTCGCCACAACCGTGGTCCTCTTTACCACTTGGTTACTGGGTCTATGCCTTCTAGTCGTATCAATCAACGCACAAGCTGACACCATAGGCTCTGCATTCCTTTATCTGTTTCGATACATCTTCTACCTAAACAACGCCATTAATCCGTTCATCTATGGCTTTATGAACAAACGATTTCGGGAGGATTGTAAGAAAACACTCGCTTCTCTACGATGCCGCTTTAATTGAATAAATTAAGCACTGCCAATGAACCTCTGTTCATGCAAATGACTAAAATAGCTACTGAAAAAGCAGTTTTGTCAGTGGTAGAAGTAACGCATTTTAAAAACAAAAGTTTGTAAGTACCTATAGTGTGCAAGAATATTGTTGATTTATATATACTTTGCTGGTCTCAGGGCGCCAGTATACTGCCCTCTTTGAGCCTTATACTGACTGACAGACTCACTGGCTGACTTACTGACTGTGATCCGGGCAGTTCTATCGTATATGATTACCCCGTAGTGCCAATGCATTGGCTGAATCTGGCCATTGTGTAGACCAGGTGCATGAAAAGGCTTCCAGTGAATAACCATTATGAAACAAATAAATGGAATGCTGTGCCCTCTGGTGCTAGCTTTACCAGCTTTGCCTTAACTGTCTGTAAAAAAAAAGTGTAAAACACTGGCGAATCAGAATGGAATTTGATGATGTGAACAAATTTCCCACGTTTGATTTCACTTATGTAACTGTATGAAAGTATGACTTAATTTTATTCACATGGCCACGAGATCACAATTCAATCAAGTTGAACCAAATTGCCTTTCTTCTGAGCGTTCCATGTGGCTGTCATAAACAGTCGGCGTATTTTTTTATATTTTTTTTTTACGGTTTTTGTCTAATAGTAAATCCGAAGCTGTACCAATTTTAACATCTTTACGTACAGGATAAAATACGAATGTGGATAAAAGAATTAAAAATTGGAACAATCCTCCCAAGCAGCTTTATATAGCACCCCAATGCTTATCCTCGCGTTATTGAAAATTAGGCAATTAACCTTTCAACTTAAACTGCACACATTTACATAACAAAACAAAACAAAATCTGTTTTCATGTATTTCTCGCGCGCAAGTATTTCAGGGTACAACATTTTAGTTCTCAGAATTCCAGCCGTTGGAGTGCTAGCCTTGATTCCAGTCACGGCTTTCCAAAAACGTTGCTGAATTACACACATGAACTTTCATTTATCTCAGAGTGGGTTACTCACTATGCTGTATGCATCATAATGCTGCTCTGTCTCATATTGACAGCTCTGGTGAAATCATAACGTCGATGGCTTTATACACTGCTGGAACAGTGAGTCTGGGCATGGCAAAAATGGCTCCCTCGTCAGAAATAAACAGGATTTTATCCTGAAATAATAATTAAGGCACGATTAAGATTTATTTGGACTTATTCCTTCCCCCTTTCGATTTTTCTAAGGCCGGTGAGATTTCTACGTTGCCCCCCTTCAAAAAAATCCCCAATCATTTCTTTGTCCCTCACTAATCCCCCTCCCCCAAATGTACAGTCTGTCGCCGCCACTTAATGGCCCCAAAAGCTACTTTTATTTGTAACCATTCCTTATTATTTGGCGGTTCTAGCCAAAGAAAATCCAGAATCAGTCATTATTACCGTATAAACTTCATTTGAGCCGATTTCTGTTGAAAACAAAAGTAAGTTATGGAAACAAATCGCAATAAAACAATGAGTGCGCCCTCAAGCGATATTGAGTATGAATTGTGTAGTGAATGTGATATGACTTGTATAATATTTGCACCAAATGTGAAAGAATTTGATCGGGAAATTCTAGTAATTGTACTACATGTAGAAAGCACGCAGAGAGCGCAAGCCTCCACCAAGGCTAAACAATTCCCCGCCATATTGTCAGTACACCCGAAAGAAATACTCGCATAATGGTGAAAAATCCTTTAAAAAAAATCCTGGATCCAGACCTAAATATGATGCGGATCATTTCCAAAATCTAGGGCATATTCGATATTTTACTTGTACCGAGGACCACCCCTAACTTTTTTTTCATGCAAATCCGTCCCTAACGTTTTGAGTTATATTTTTAACAGACAAACCAACCAACCAACCAAATCCGATAAAAACATAACCTCCTTGGCGGAGGTTATACTGTTGTTGATCAAAACTAAACAAAACATAGTAAAGCGCCCTCTGATGTGCGCAACACAATGAGGTCATTTGGTGCAAATATTATTCGAGTCATAATATATCACATTCATTACACAATTCACACTCAATACCGCTGGAGGGCGCCGACGAATCAACGTTTTTTTCTGCACGCACAATGTGCCCCTGTCTCGTCCTATCCTAGGGAAAAGACCCTCAACATCAAAGGTTTTCAGCCTTTAAACAGCGAAAACAGCAACACCGTCTTAGTTAGTTATTCGACCATAGCGTTCAATTCCAAATGCATTACCAACTCACTGGCTTGTGCTCAGGCTCGTCGCCAAGGGGGGCCCGGCGGCTCACTCTTGCTGCTGCGCATGCGCGCATAGTATTTGAATTTATTAGCGAATTGGTCTTAAATTGCGGCAGCAGGTTTATATTTAGCTTTGATGTTAGATTGGGATTTGTATACACTTTCATAAGGGTTAAAACACCCTCAACCTTTCCATACAGCAAACAGAGCTAGCACGAATAAGAATTGAATGCCGAATCAACTTCCTCGATCTACCTCCCATACGTATACACCAACGATAAATCGATTTTGTATCACCATTAAATATTTACAATATTTTATTTAGGTTAGCCACTTCACAACGAGAGGTTTCTGCCGTTGTTTTTAATGTTTGTTTATTCAATTTGAATGGCCTACTTTTTAGTAAATTTTAATGCGAAAGTGAAATGATTCATTGAAATAATTAAACGCATTAATCCTCTGTCAAGATTAACAGCTTGTATGGGAACCACAGCGTGTGTGAGGACCTGGGTTTTTTTTGCATTTATTGTGTGTCCTGACTGGGCCCATCCAATCAAGGGCAACAAATTGGTATTTCGAAGAAGAAAAAAGCTGACATACAATATATTGAAAGTATTGCGAATTGATGACTATATTATTAAAATAAAATTTTGGATCTCAACTTCCGTTCAAACGACCAGGCAGATAAACAATTGGTTATATTCAAACAAGAGAGTCTGTGACTAGACTAGTCAGTGTCTGGCACCAAGACGTTCACAGCAAGAGTGAACGTTGACTGGCGAGATTTTAACACGCTTTATTAACCAATGGCCAAAATTAGGTATTTGTAGTTGATTTTCTTACACTCATGAATAATTTAATTATGACGTGCGTCATTAAACTCTGCGCATGTCGGGTACAATTGGCGTCACTGGCATACAAAACCCAATCAGAATGCCCGTTCGGTTTGATTATCATGTACATGTGTACCAGTATAATCTGGTAGCACTTGCATCATCATTATCAGGAACTGGCTCTAGATCTGCATATCAAGTTATATTTCAGTAACACTGATTGAGAAAATATTGAAAATAAAGTAGAAGATGGAGGCTTTCCTGTGGCCTCTGGTGATCTTTCATATCATCGTGAGCATCGTTGGTTTGCCAGGTAACGCTCTCATCGTTTTGGTGTATGGAAGGAAACGACAATTGATGAGCCCGCATGTCTTTATCCTCGCCCTGGCTGTAGCGGATCTGATAGTCTGTCTCTTTACCCCCGTCACCGTCTACCATTGGTACATCAGACTCAACTACACCAGTGACTTTCTGTGCCGTCTTGTCCTCACTGTGACTTTTATCACCGTCTACAACTCTTGTTTCTTGACATCTGCCATCGCAGTGGACCGATACCAGGCCATCTGCCGGCCGCACCGGCGCTGGATGACCGTTCGGCGCGCCAAAATCACGGCGGTGCTGTGTCTCGTCCTTGCGGTAGTCTTCGTCTTACCCGTGTTCGCGACTTTCGGTGTCGAGCCCGCAGCCGGGTCACAGACTGGCACATGCACCTTTAGCACCGAAGCACCGAAATGGGTCAAATACCTTATGTTCACACTTATCTACACCGCACCCTTTTCCACTCTTGTCATCAATACCATTTTGTACGGGAAGATCTACTTGGCCATTCGAAAGCAAGCCGCAGTTCGCCCGGGCCAAGTCGCCTCGATGGCCAATCGCAGTCCCGACACTGATTTGGATAGACCTACTTCAAACGGCGTCTCGATGGTGTCCCCTAATTGCAGACAACCGGCACCTAACATGGATGTTCCTTCGACCTCAAATCAACCAAACACTACCCGTACTTCAGTTGCCACCAGTACGCACAAACAACCACCCAATAATAACAACGCACTGTCTACTCCTGGCCCCACCACTGATGGAGCTCCAGTTGCACCCAATGGTTCAAACAGAAGACGTCCGAATGAGGCAGGCAAGTTTCACAACAAGACGACCAAGATGTTGCTCATCACTACCCTGGTCTACTTCTCCACCTGGTTCATTGGCATCGGCCTTCTGTCTATACCGGTACAAGCTCAGAACTACATACACCAAAACGACCCGGTTGGTTCTGCGTTCCTCTATCTGTTCAGCTTCGTGTTTTATGTCAATAATGCTATCAATCCGTTCATATACGGTTTTGTCAACAGGCGGTTTGTGCAGGATTGCAAGAAGACACTTACGGCTCTCCGATGCAGAAGGATCTGAGCCAGTGCTTATTTCAACGAAAATATCTTCTTTTATCCACTTCAAATGTAAATATAGGTACACCAAGTAACTGTAGAGTAAGTAATTTGATTATGTCACTATACTGCAGCACCAGAAACTCAATACTTTTTTTTGTTATTTCTAAGGAAATATAAAATGTTAAGGAAAAGATGACTTCTTCTGGAAGCTTCTGAGCGAATAAAACATTTAAGGAAATATAAAGGTGCGAATGGACATTGGTAATAACCTGGAAAGGAACCTACTGATTTAATGAGAATTAATGTATTGAATTGAAAAAAAAAATTACAAATGACAATGTTTTTGAACACTGCAAGGAGTTACGTCAACAAAAACCGGCTGAATCAGAATCGTGTCCCGAGTGTTGATTTATGGATTGTTCACCAGATGGTATGATTCAAAAGATGAAACATTGGATTTATTGGAAGCGCTAGCAACGGCACCATCCACTTACAAGACTAAAACAAAATGCAAATGTGTTCTCCCTGTTGTCTCAAGGTGTCTAGTATTCACTGAACTGAAACTTCAACAAGGTTTTAAGCAATTTGTTTTGCTTAAAATAAAGAAAAATGCAACGAATGCAAATGATATTGTGTCGCTTCAAGGGAATATCCTGTATTCAAAGAAATGTTAAAGAAACTTTCAGAATTTTATTTTATTTCAACATGATATATAATGTATAGGCCTATGTTTATATATAATGTATAGGCCTATATGTACATTTAAAATGGTAACTGGTGTTGAAAAAGGTCAGAATGATACAAAATCGAATTTGCTTTGTGCATAATGCACAATATCTATTATTAACACTGGTTGACGCCAGCCAAAAGTCATTATTGAAGCAGTTATAAAAAAAAAAACCTAAAAAAAAAAAAAAAACATCCGCATGATATACACTGTGTATAGGCCCATTATGTAAAGGCCTATGTATGTATAAAATAGCAATACAAGTGTTATGAAAAAGGATAAAAATTACACACAAAATACTAGTGCGAAGTTGCTTGGTGCACACGCCACAATATATATTATTAACACTGGTTGCCGCCAACCAAAAGCCGTATTGACGCATTTGTAAATGAAAAAAAACTCCGCAGTAGCGTCAGCGTAGACTTCAAGCACCGTCATGTCTTTCATTAAGTGGGCCAGATCTTTACACGTCTGTTGCTGAAGGCCAGGCAAATACAGTCCTATACATGGGTCCAATTCTTCCATTTCAATAACTGATTTTTTTCCCCCTGGTTGCCCACAGCAACTGCGATTGCCGTGGGTAGAAAGCTCTTGAAATCACAATTTTTTGTGGTCTTCTTATATGGAAGTACTCGCGAAATATTTCTATAAATAGCACCCCAGAGAAATCATTCTGAAAAAGAAAAGATAAGAAGCTGTAAACAAATAAAAGATTTAAAGAAATGTAATTTCACTGGTAACCGTTTCTTTCTGCGTGGCTTTACCCCCAGATGGTACTGGTACCCTGTGAGCCGTTTGGCATTAGCGGCGGCGCGGCACACATGTTGCTAGGAGACAACACAGCTTCTGTTTGGTTGATTAAGTTTGAATGATCGAGGTCAAAGACAACAAGAGCTGGCTGCTAATCACCATTACTGATTGAATGACACTTGACGGTGAACGGTTCCCTAATCAATTTTCGGATCAAAAATCATTGATATCTTTAAAAACAAAAAACTCTTCGTAGTCGTCTTATCAAAGCCAACAAAAACCCAAACACAACAACGCACAATATAAGCACTGTTTTCTTTATTGTCGTGAGGCTTCATTCAGAACGTTAGAACTAAAAGAGGCTTTAATTAAAAGCAGCAAAGAGGCTGACTCTTTCTTTCGTTCTTGATGTTTGATCTGTTTGTGTTTATCTTTTAGAGGGTCTATAAAATCAGGAGGATCTAGCTTTTAAGAAACTGGAGGGGATGAATATATAAGGGCCTAAGGGGGGATGAAGGCAAGGACGAGGGCACGGCTTGCTACAGGCAGGGAGGGTCGATGGCTGCATGCCCTCGGAAAATTTTGAAATCTACGATGATTTCTTCTACATGCTAAGGTTATTCAATAACAAATTTAGGAACTTTAGCATTCCATTCATTCGTGTTTGCCTCATTTATAGTTTTATAACATTAGTCAGCGGATTACCCCCCCCCCCCCAAGATCCGCTACTGATGTTTCTTATTGTAAACACGATTAATATCTATTCTTCGAAGTTCGGCACGGTTATCTGTACCTCTTTTTATCAACATCACAGAAAAGAAACAAAACAGCAGTTGGAATTTGAAGGCCCTAATACACTGTTTTTTCGGTTGTGTAAAAATCAGACGGTTGTGTACTATATGAACCGAGCAACCTGTTGTGTAAACTGTTGTTTACACAACTTCTGTAAAATATTACACAACTTGTTCAATTTTTTTACACAACTGGTTGCTAGGTTCATATATTACACAACCGAAATAACAGTGTATAATTTGCAGAACATCTACAACCACTGCCATCCCCCCGGTACACAAACGGACAAATTAGGCCTTGGAATTTAATTAAAGGTGATCATGGTGAATCGTGATCAATGCAAACTGCGATGTAACTCAATAATGCATCGATGCAAACCTTCAAAGATGTAATCATGTGTCGTGTTTTGCGGATATAATACAAACAAATAAGGTACCTGCGCATCACCGTTTGTCTGCCTTTCAACATGCATAAAATAATGAGTTCAGTTTTGTGCACGTTGTCAATTAAAAAAAAAACTCAATAGTGAATGAATGTTAACAAAATAGGATCTACCAGCAAAATGCTACGAAAACGTGACTCTAAGAATTGGATGATCAACAGGGTTCAACTTGGTCTATGCATCCGCTTGCAGACAAGCGTCTATGCAAAACAACACCGTGCCTTGACCTCGAGATTCTGACCATTCAGCGGGCGCCTAGGGTCTTACGTAACCCATTGTTGTATTAAGTAAGATTTGAGGCTTTGCATGGTGAAGATACTAAATAATGAAAGGTTTGCGGAAACACCATAAGCGAATAATTTCTCAACTAAGAGAATGGTTCTGAAAAGAACCAGAGGTATAAACTCGACGTTCCGGTCAGTATGCTCTGACCGTCTTCAGGAGAGTGCCTGAAGTTGTATTTGTTGTATTACAAAAAGTTGGCAGCCAAATTGACCAATCAACAGCTTAGTCTAGATTTCTGATCGAAATGACGTCACAGCTTCAAAGGTCGACTCCGATTGGCTGACGCACGGGGTTGCATAAAATGTGCATGCTGATATATCAGACGTCAACTGTTGGATACAGATATATCAGACGTTTGAAGTGTGGGGTGTGGTATTGGTCTGTTTGGTAATGGGGTGTGGAGGTTTGGCTTTTGGTACTTATACGGTGTGGGTTACGGTTTTTGGTTGAATGTTTTCAGTTACGGGTTTAGGGTTTGGGATTTCTACTTTATTGTGAGAAGTTTGTGCTTTACCAAGATTGATGAAACATTATCCATGACATATCAGGAATGTAAACACTCGACAACTTTATGAAGTGTCTTCGGGTTATATTGTTTTTTTTAGAATTTCATATCATTTCATTCATTTTAAACGAAGCGCTTGAACATGAATATCCTTTCAAGGCAAATCTATATGGATTGACCTTTTCGCTGGTTTATCATTCGGTAATTAGTTACATGGCTTTTATTTATAAAAAAAAATCACACTATACCGGCCAGATGCGCTGAATGGATTGTTGTGCGCAATTGCGTTGATGCAGACCAAACTGTAGCCGAAGCTTGTAATTAGCATGAAAACCGAACTGCAAATATGATGGCAATTACAAGAGACCACCGTATAGTAGTCATGGTCTAATATTAGTCAGAATAATTTCCTTCGGAACAAAAAAAAAATACCTGTTAGGCCACAAAAAAAATATATATTCGGTCTCTGGTCAGACCAGAGTTCAGGAATTGACGCGGCCACGCGGCTTTTTTTTTTTTTTTCTTTTTCTTTTTTCTTCAAGCTTGGATTGTACAGACAAGGTGGGTACTATTTTGCTTTTTTGGTGTCCTCATGTACATTGGTGTCCTCCATAATTTGCCTTGGTGCTTTCGATCATTTGCCTTGGTGCAATTTCCCATTCCTTGGTGCTCTTTGGTAAAAAAAAAATTGAGGAGGTGCGGAAATAGAGGGCGCTGTTGGAGCTACCGCGGAACATTTTGGAAAAAAAAGATCGACGCGCATGATTAAAATCGACGGGCGCGCTGACCAGAGACCGACTTATTTTTTTTTTTTTTTTGGCCTTACCGATAAACACGTGTTCGCTGATTAACTGGTCCGCTTCATTTGTTGGAGGGGAGCAATCGTTGCCATGACTTTTTCTTGATCGAGCGATCTTAAAATTGTCTCAATCGTGGAGTTTCACGAGAAGCGTTGATGGATTCTTTGGTCGGCAAGACCATGGGCAAATATAAGCAAGCTAATTGCCGATCGAGGTGGGTCTTGAGATGAGAGTTGCAGTCCAATGCGAGAGGTACACACTTGTCCACGGACGATGCAGGGAATTCGGAAATGAGTCGAATGGATGAGGTTCAATCTTACCCTTTCGAATTTTTGTCAGGACTTGAGCTCATGTTCTACAGCTAGTCTGAGTATAATGCGTTGTTCACAACGGAGCCCACTCCGTATTTAAAGTCTGTTTTTTGTGAGGGTGCAAATTTCACGCGACCCCGCGCGCCAGCCAACCCGAGACGTATATTGCGACGTTATCTCGATCAGAAATGTGGACGAAGCTGCTGATTGGTCGAGTTGGCTGCCAAGTTTTTGTAGTACAACAGCGGTTACGGAAGACCCGATAGAGGGGGTGGTTTCGCTGAATGGTCAGAATCTTGAGGTCAACACGCAGTCTTTTAGAATTTTGCGTTATTAATCGCCAAAACCGCGCATTATCATTGACATTTGCTGCGAAAAGCGGATATTCAAATAAAAAAAATTAGAGCGGCCTAATATTTCATCCTTCGCAAGGACATCTTCAGAGGCAAATGACAGAGGAACAAGAAACCAACATGTAGCCAAAAAAAAAAAAAGCCGCATCGCCGCGTCAATTCCGGAACTTTGGTCTGACCAGAGACCGAATATTTTTTTTTTGGCCTTAGGTAGTGTTTTTCTTATTAGGCTGTGTCCTTTTATTCAAATAACATGTATACCATGTCATATATAAGATGGCAGACATACGACAAACACGAACATATGTCTTTTCACACACGAAAAATTCCAATTTGAATCACCTCCATCATGGTTTTATTCTAAGTCTATATCATTTACAATCAAATAAAAAAGCCTACTTCACTGAAGTATAATTATTGATTTAATCCTTAAATTGCACAGGTTTGTTTCCTTATTAAAATTACAATTCACACCAACACTAAGATAACATCCAATCACAAACAGAGCCTAAAATATTAAGATGGTTAAATATTTAATTGAAATTTAATCGATAGGCATACACGTACGAAGAAACTCATTTTTTGGTTACTGCATAAAAGAAGGCGAAATGACATTCTCATACATGTAGAACGGTTCTCGCTTTAGCCTATAAATTAGTACCGAAAGTGAGCTAACTGTTTGAGTAATCTCGAACAAAATTGTGGCTTGGTTTACCAAATACTAGCGGGATATCATGTTAAACAAAGTAGGCACAAGATTTCAACATCACTTTAGGCTGAGAAAAAAATCATTGGTTTCTCGTCCGAGCTTTTTCCAAAGAACGAAGGAGGCTGGCACTTTTCCCCCTTTTTTCTCCCCCATGCGGGATGGTGAATTTTCCAAGATGGCAGAGGGATCCTCCATTTTCTTGACTTTTTTTGCTGATACAAACTAGTGTCCAAAGGAGCAGTAACCCTTTCTACATAGCTACCGTTTTGATGGAAACAAATACAAAGACACTATGTAGGATATTGACAATGTGCCAAATAAAGCGTTTGAATAATTAAAAAAAAAGGAACAAAAAAAGAGGCGGGTGGGAAAAAATAGCAGCGGGGACAAGAAACTTGTTCATTTTTTTACTTGGCCTTAATGTCAACCTTTTGTGAATATTGCAATCACTCTAATGTCACAATTGATCAATATTTTATGGTCGAATGATAAATGATGATTAAAAAGGCCTGGCAAAAAGATGCAAATGCTTAATTAATGATGAGGCAAAAGCGGCCATGAGATTAATTGGCTTTGATGGAATGGATTATGTTAGGTCAACAGAGAGCGGCGGATCAGACTGCGCGTATACACTACATCGCTTTGTATTCCGTTTTGGCTTCATGTTCAGGCTTCAGATTCATTTTGACGCCTTTAACGTCAAAACCAAATAAACAAACCCCTAGGTTTGGCCTAATATTATGGTACTGATGTTCACAAAGTAAGGCATGGACCTTCATTAAGCCCAAAGCCCCCAAGTTATTGAAGGACAAAACAAAAATTTGAAGGCAAAGCCACAGACAAAACCTGCATTTTGTAAACAATTGCAGTTAATATACAACACATTTGATCATGTTGATCCACGGTTAGATAGTGTCAAGATACATTAACTACAACCTAGCAAGAGCAGATCTAGCATCTGGGGTTGACAGCTTGTGTAATCCTTGAAAATGTACCAATTGTGCCATTTAACCTTATTTTCATTTTTTTTGTGTGCCATTTTGAAGGGTAATTTGGTGCCCAACTGTTTTTTATGTTAATGCCAATGTCCATATTCATGGCAAAAGTGTGTTGTCATTTCAGGCAGAAACCTTTAATGTTACATCCATTTTAGCACCAAAAGTTGCCAGAATTTTGATACAGCGCCCTCAGTTGTCCGGAAAAGGATGTAAAATATTTAATGTTTAAAAAACTCCACCTTTCAATAAAACTAACCAATAGGCTAAAGGATTTCAAATAGTTTGCATACATGTAAAAGTATTAGAAAGTTGCACAAAATGTGCTCCTATGAAAAAAATCATGTTATGGCCCATTCAACACAATGTTCTTTACATTTTGTTCCAACACAGGATAGTGATTTTACACACTGATTCACAAATGTACTGACTGCAAAATAAGAATTTTGTGAAGAAAATAACAAAACTTCAAACATGTCAAACAGCAGCAAAATGTCACTATCACTTATCATGATATAGGCCTAAGTCTAAGCTATTTCTCTAGCAGTGTGTGCTATTTCCACATACATTTACATACATTGAACTGCAAATATATATAACAAGTCTAAGCACATAATTTAAAAAATCTTCTCTTAAAGTCTGTATATTCATAATGCACATTCAAAAGACTATTTCAATTTCTGCGTCATGCTAAAGATTAAACGTGGCTCACTTGACATTGTTATGACATGTAATATTTACTTCTAAGATCCTCATACAGTATCCTTTGAACATGATGGACATCCATTTATACATGACATTGTTGATTGTCATCAAGTAAGAAAAAAAGAAAGAAAAAAAAGAGGGAAAATATGTTTTGATGCCTCAATATCCAACACATCCCATGGTGTCAAGAACAAGAAGTACACTACAATGTCGTTGTACTTGCCCAAGTGCTGGATTATTTGCATAATCAAGGATTATGCAAAACAAAATTTGATTATCATACACACATACATGTATGTCATTCAATAGCATAGAATGGTCTGATGTCTTTACCCTCTACTGCACGTCAGTGTTTGTTTCTGAATGGTGTCTAGGGTACTAGACTACATCAATTTAGCAGAGCAGGATAACAAAGGATTTTCTCAAAGGAACGTACGGAAACAATCACACCCACGCACAGGAATGTGATCACTCACATAACGTGATGACATTAAGCTGTTAATAAAAATGCGGGGGGGGGGGGGGGGGGCCTGTGAAGAATACCGCATTAGCAACTGATACAACATGCAGAAAATTGAATTGTACATGATACAGAGCTTACCAATCAGCATATCTTAGCATGCTTACCCAACCACGTTCTAACGTTGGAACCTACTGTACATGTAGGTCTAAGATGGAGCTTTTTGGCACTGTTTCTGGTCATTTGCCACGCTCCCAATAAAGACTTATAGACATCAATTAGCCCTATTCTGTAATGTATAGTCAAGCACCTTTATAACAAGGTCCTTGGGACTTTACAAATTACCTTGTTATTACAGGTATAGATGTACCTTGCATTATCAGTAATGGAAAACAAAGAAAGACAAAGACTTGGGACCTACAATTTTCCTTGTCATCAGCAGGATTTTGTATTAACAGTGCTCTTTTTATGAGGGTTTGACTGAATATCACAACCTACATCCACAGTACAGCACAGTGAACGCACATGGTGAAGGAATGTACAAAGTTTAGGCCTACAACTACAGGTGCAGATTCATCAAGTGTTCCAAAGAGCAAGTTAAATTTCGATAACTTTCCAAAGTCCATATATGAAATACCTTACTTGTGAATAACAGTCTTCAGCATCCTGAGAAATCATGGCACCTGGTGTGCTGTCATTTTCAAGACAAGTGGATTTTTGTATCAATTTCAAATGATGGTCCTTGGCGAAAAAACCTGACTTTTTTTCAAGTACTGCCCCCAATTTGCCAAATTTAGTTAGCCCGCATTTTGTTTACAATCGATTGTATCCGTGAACGAATGCAAGCTAATTTTAATTGGAAAGTTGTTTTTTTATGTATTTTTTTTTGGGGGGGGGGGGGGATGGTGTTAGTTTTGTTTAATGTTATGGGGTTTTTTTTTGGGGGGGGGGGTTCGCTCAAAGTAAGGACTACCTTTGGCGGCTACTCCTGGCTAGTGTTACTTCACCACTCGTAGCAGACGATATTTCAACACGCAAATGATATTTCATTTCATAGTTACAATCATTTGCATGACATGCATACATGTACACATACACTGTACATGTACGTACATGTACATGTAGCCAAACATTTTAACATGAGACATAATGAGCCTAAGCAATTCTGAGTACAAAGTATCCTATCGAGGAGTGTTCACAGACTCGACTGATACAGATACAGATAATTTGTCCACTGAAATGTCCAATTAGATTTTGTGTTTGCACTTTGCACATGTATGTTGCAGTGTCAACATTTGTTCATTTTGTTCACACAAATATTGCTTATGGTCATAATAAGTAATGCATCCATGTCACACTAATCCTTTTTCTACATGTATCAAAAATCACTTACACGATAAAATGGAATTGATATTCATTAAGTTTTCAAGAATGACTACAACCTAAGTGTACCACTTGCATATCTATTGTAGATGGATACAACTAATGCATATTTCAGAAATGGAGGGCTAACATTTAACTTGTTCACTTTTTAAGTACATATCTGTCGACACATAAGAAATTCTTTATTTTAAGAAAACATGTATTACTTGTTATCACAAACACAGGAAAAACCTGTTATCTGTGGGGCTGATCGGACCCCCATCAGACGGCCATTGCACGTAAAAAAAAAGAAGAAGACACTAATCCGTCTAGACAATTTGTCAGTCCTGTGTGGTAAAATTATGACAATTATGAAAATTCATGAACCCCGTTACACAATTTGCCATTTTTTGGTGGGCGGCCCATGAGGCGAGGTTCTAGAGCCTATTCGTAACAAACATTTGCCAGGACCCAAAAGAACTTCTGCCTGATTTACATGTTGACTGCATTATTCAGTCAATAGTGCACATCAATATGCCCGGTTCGAGATTGTGAGAGACCACAAGAGGGCGCTATTAAAGTACCTACTCTCTAAATAGAACCCCTTGTGGGCACTAACAGTGCATCAGGGTGCATGGATGTTAACCGGTGTACAAAATCAAATTATGCCAACATTTGTATACATTGTATGGACTACTGCTGGGCGAGTAACTTGATTACTCAAGTACTCGCGAGTAGTTCATTCTACTCATGGTTTTTCATGTACTCGAGTACTCATCCAGGCGTGAGTAGAAGCAGGTACTCGCGAGTAGTTTATGCTACTCATTCTACTCGTGCTTTTTCATGTACTCGAGGACTCGTCATGTCGGCGAGTAGAAGCAGGTACTCGCGAGTAGCAATTTAGGGTTTAGGGTTCACGGCCTAATACGTCCCCTGCAACCAGGGAATCACTCCCTTCACTTCTCTCTTGCTAGATTTCCATTCGTCCCAAAAAAAATTTGAAGTAAATTACCAAAAGTGTCCAGAGTAAGGATATCACAATGCTGAAGAATGTGGAGTGACTTGCATGCTATTTGCTTAACTACTTGCCAGTACTCGACTACTCGCAAGTAATTTCTCCGTGAGTACTCGAGTATAAAAATCCACTACTCGCCCAGGCCTAGCATGGACTCTGTGCATGAACAATACACGGAGATATGATTACTCATCAACGTGCACATGTTGCAGAGTATGCATTAACTACACCTTATTTTTATCGCAATTTCCAAAAACCCATTTCATTTAGCCTGGGCATCAGGCAGTGGCATTCAAGTGTATGTTCTGCTCTATCAGTTTTAACGAGTACTTGTGCACAGAGTCCATTTAGCTTTCACCTGTTGGTGCATGTACATTATCAGGAGATATATGATCCACACCCACCTACATCTTGTAGAATTTGATGAGGTCCTTGATCGGGGCTCGGCACAGAGGGCAGGGGTCCCCCCTCTCCTTCAGCTTAGAGCCGCAGTCCATGCAGCAGCAGACATGGCCACAGCGGTAGAAGACTGCATCTGGGGGGTTCTCAAAGCACACCGTGCACTCGTTGTCCTGTCGCAGAGGGGGTTTGGAGGGGCGAGGGGGAGGCACCCGCCGAGGTTTCGGGTTGGCTGAGGACGCCGCGTTTTTACCCCCAGAGGCTGAGCTGATTCGTGGAGGGGGTGTGGGGACTGGCTGCGTTTCGGCGGCCGCTGCATTGGTTGCGGCTATTGCACCCTGGGCCTCGTCAAATATATTGAGATTGATGTCGTTGACCTCCCCATCAGGAATGGGCAGCGGGGGTGGGGGTGGTGGCGGCGGCATGTTCTTCAGTGCACCTGCAGAATGTAATTAACAACCGGACAACATTTTCTCAAATTGGAATTGTTCAGATCTGTGACATGAAAATGTTTAGCACATTCTTCTGTCTTCTGGAAGGAAGCCTTCATTTCCCAAAGGAGTTTTTGATTAATTCTTACCGAACTCAACCCATCTGAAATCTGTTGGGATAGGTACAGTACCCCTAAACTAATGGTCTTTTACTTTAGGTTTGGCATACCTCCAGAAACTACATGCAAGTCCAACAGTGTGTGTGTACGATTTCCAATGTGGGTGTTGGAATTTTCCAGGATGGGTATAATTCCTAGTAAATTATGCAAGGGGGTTAGGGTTAATGGAACTGGAAAATGTAACCAAATTACCCACAGATCGATCTTTTAACCAAATAACAACTGCAGGCCTTTGGGTACACTAACATATGCAACTTTGGCTTCCAAATTTGATTAGCACGAAGTCGGCAACCAAATAATCATTTGACTGAATATTTTTTTGTGGAAAGCATGGTCTTTGTAACATCTCAATTCCACCTACAAAAGAAAGTCTTACCTAATACTTTAACAGTCTGTGTCGTCCCGTACAAGTCAAAGAACATCCACAGCGGAGTGGAAGTATCAACATGCATCAGGACCTTATCGTTGACACCCTCAGGTCCAGCCATGTGGAATCGGCCGTCCCTGCCCAGAGTGAAACCTAGACAGGCCCCTTCCTCTAAGGTGTCATAATCGCGGGACATGACCCAGTATTCCTTGCGATCACAAATGTCTTCTGCCTCCTGGGGTAGCATGTCTAAGTCCAGGGAAGCCGGGTCGCACGATGTCAATCCAACACCCATGTGTCCAATGTAGCAGTGACTGACGACTAGGACCTTGATCAGGACCCGCTCGTCACACTCGACGGGGCGACTCGTGAAGGTGATCCCACCACTGACACTAGATGCCTTCCTGTCAGCGACTGCATTCCCCTCTGTTAGTATAATGTTGAAGCCGTGAACAGTGTGCAGCGGCAGCGACCCTGGCTTTGGGGCATTAGAGCGAGCACCACTGCTGCTTGCCGCGGGAGACGCCCGGCTGCTACCTGGAAGGAGATCTGAGACGAGCCGCAAGGAATCCTGGAAGCTAGAACTCACTGAGGCACCTCGACTCGATATCCTATTGGAAGTTGGGAACGTATCTGGAACAAGCAAACAGTACAGAGAAGCACTGAGCACACAAAGACATTAAATACTTTGTACTGCAGTTTAGGGATTTTATATCCAATTCTGACAGGATCCAATGAAATGAGTCTTGATGACGGTTACCCACCTGCCAGTTTTTTTTATGTAGTTGAATTAACAAACTATGCTATTCATTTTGATTTATTATTCAGTTTGAAAAAATAGATGTATGCAGATGGTACATGTATGTGGGTGAAGATCGTTCTTGTTCCTATTGCTTTGCATGGTTAGAATTTCAAACTAGGTTTTGCCCTTCACCGACGTATAAACACTGTATACTCAGTGTGTTACCTCCCAAGTAAAAGTTGGGAAAAAAAATAGAAAGCAGGAGGTCGTGGGTTTGATTCCCACCCGAGTGATTACCTCCCGAGTGAAAAGTTGGAAAAAAATTTGTTGAGTGGTCACAATTTATAGTTGTGATCAGTAAAGAAGGAACTGCCAAGAGTTATAATGTAACAAATGAAACAATTCTTGCGTTGTTTTTCTGTAAGATTACTAAAACAAATTTCAAATTCCAAAAGTGGTAAAAATGTAAATTTTCCTCTGTTGGACGATTTTTAAAAAAAATGAAACCTACCAACAATTCGGACTCCCGTTGTATTGCCGTAGACATCAATGACCCCCCAGACAGGCCTAGTATTGTCCACCCCATTGAAAAACTCCATAAAAGGCTCCTGGTTGACACTGAAGTACACCGTCCCATCCTCGCTTAGCACAAAGTTAAGTACATTGCTGTGCTTAGCACAGTTTTCCCTCACAGCCTTGGCCCAGTTCCCAGTCCTCGCGGTAAGGTCTGGACACGCGTATTTGGGGATTCCATTGGCGCGTAACGTCATAGGGTCCTGTGATGTGTAACCAAAGCGCAACACCCCGCTCCAGCCTGCCGTGTTCTGTATCAGTTCGAAGTGGAGGATCTCACCCACGTGTATCGCCCTGTGGGTGAAGACGAGTGCGTTGCAGAAGCTGCCCATGCGGGATGCCGTCTTTGAATCCGCAGACAGCACAATATTCCTGCCGTGGATCAGGTGGAAATGAAAGTCACTGGGGCTGTGCCGGTTGTTGGCTGGCTGCAAGCGTGAATCCAGGGGTTGGATGGCATGATGAGGCCAGCTGACTCTGGTTGCTGGCGGTGGCCCGTGACTCCGACTGGGCTTTGGCCTGTAGCCGCTTGATGAGGATCCTGCTCCTGAACATGTTCGCCGGCGCTCTGTCGTTGTTCCAGCTGGTCGAGACCTATTGGAAGGCTGGTAGCCAGCACCTGAAGTGGAGGTCTGACCTATGTACATGAAAGTAGACAAATATAGGCCTATGTAAAAGTGTTTTGCTTGAAATTATTTCAATCTAAAACTTGATGGTTATTTTTGGCTACATTTGATTTATGGTTACATTTGGTAGGCGCATTAAGGCTGTAGACTATGGGGCTGTACACTTTTCAGGGTAATTTAACAGTATAATTAATTTAAGCCTAATTTTCATACATGTAGCTGTGTTTTAAAGATGCAATTTCTTTAGTTTTACAAGTTAAAACCACATTATGTTAAAAAAAATATCCGCAGTGGAGTCATGTTAACATATCATTCCGCATGTTGCAAATAATTATGTTGAACAAAGGAAGTGAATTTGGGACTTTTTTTGGAGCTTATGTGTTTAGGTGGAACTTGGAAACATGTTAGGCAATGTATTGTTGGACATGTTAGGCGAAGTAAAAAAACAAACATGTTTCTCGTCCCCGCCCGCTTCCTTTTTGGAGGCCGCCTGGATTTTTTTATTATTTTTTATTTTTGAAAAATGCAATAAAAAAGCACCGAAAAAGTCCACAAATTCATCAGAAAATAAGTTGTAGACCAATACAAGCCTAAACCGAAACGACACTGTAAATATGTTCAGTTCTCTTGTCCAACTTATCTTTCATTTTAAAAGTGTCTTTGAACAGTGGAAACACCAACGGTTGCAGGAAATTTTTAAATGACGGCCATCTTGAAACAAATAAAAAATAAAAAGCCCCGCTTCCTCCTTTTTTTCAAAAACCCGGACGAGAAACTTTTTTTTTTTTTTAACTTGGCCTTACTGCAGTGGGGAGTTAGACATACATGTACATGTATGATAATGTTCAATTCAATTCAATTCAGCTGACATTTATTTAGCACTCTCCAATAAACCAATACAAAGTTGGAATAATATGAGTAGGCCTATAATATATTTAAATAAACGAATACAATTTATGAGGGTAATTATCACCAGCATGACCAGAAAGACTAATGCGTTGAATCTAATGTTGGTTAGACATAGCCTCAGCATGCTCAGAGGAAGCCAACAAGGTAAGGCATGTATACTGTACTTCTAGTATTAGTATTATTAGAAGCTTATAAAGGCATGAAAGGAAAGGCATAATCTATCTTGTATTCATAATTAGAAAACAAAGAATACCCTTTGAGACGCCTACAAAAGTACAACGCATACGGTCCATATACTTTTGACACAACCACTATAAGCCCTAAGTTAAGAACAAGGTCCAGGGGCTTTCCCAAATCGTCAACATTCCATTATGTGTCCATGGTGTCCATTTCCAATCACATGATTATATGAACATTGAAATGCAAAATATTTATTTGTCAATATCATTTATCAACATGGTCAAGAAATAAACCAAAAACATAACATGAATTATATTACCTCTGTTGATATTGTTGGAATTCGAAACTGACGAGGTACTCTGACCCATTCTGCTTAGCTAAAATCGGTCTTTTTTGCGCCAAAATTCGTTGAAATTATCCCTTAAATTAACCATCTTGCAGACCAACCGTCTTACTAGTGACTTGCGCGCAGTGGGTTTTGTTTCCTGAATAGCTAGAGGGCGCTGTCACGCCCCAACTATCGCATCGGTCCCAACTATAGTTGGGACTGTCCCAACTATAGTGCGGCAGTTGGGTCGGCCCAACTATAGTTAGGACTGGAGTTGCGCCGGATGCTTCATGCTTGATAGATCTTGTTGGATTAAATGTTCCGCGGCGCTGGCACCGTGTATTCGTCGTGCATGCATGCCGCAAGGCTGGCCGGTCACGTGGTACTGCCTAGTTGGATGAGTTGTCCAGCTGCTGGGTTGATTGTCCAGCAACATTTTGCAAAATTCAAAGATTGCCATGGCCGGCCAACTATAGATGGGCCCCACCCATAGCTAATGTCAAAGGTCCCAAGTAAAGTCGGACAGTATGTAACAGAGCTGTAGGGAATGTTTTATAGTCGTCGTACATCAATGTAAACTATAGTTGGGACCGCCAAATAACAATATTGCGGTGGCCCAACTACAGATGGTCCCCACCCATAGATAATTTCATTGGTCCCAAGTAAAGTCAGATGTGTATTAGAGTTGTAGGGAATGTTTTATAATCGTACAATAATGTACACTATAGTTGGGACCGCAAAATAAAAAGATTGGAGTGGCCCAACTATAGATTCGCCCCATCAATAACTAATTTCAGTGGTCCCCAGTAAAGTCAGACGTGTATCAGAGCTGTAGGGAACGTTTTACAGTTGTACATCAATGTAAACTATAGTTGGGACACCGCAAAATAAAAAGATCGGAGTGGCCCAACTATAGATGGGCCAGCCCAACAGTGGAACTTACAGTTGGGACCGTCCCAACTATAGTTGGGACAGGCCCAACTATAGTTGGGCCAGCCCAACTGTGGAACTACAGTTGGGACAGGCCCAACTATAGTTGGGACCGGCCCAACTATAGTTGGGACCGATGCGATAGTTGGGGCGTGACAGCGCCACCATTCGACTCGACTCTCTTCGCCGCCCCGGTGTCACACTTCAGCAAGTCGACGGCAGTGCAGTCGATCGTGATGACGATGACACTTACTTCAGTCTTACATGCTTAAGAAACCCCTCTAATATTCCAAGATGTGGTTCATCTTTGTATTAAGTTGGTTGGCCACATTTGTCCATGTTTGTTTAGCTACTTTAGCTCTCGGTGAGTTGGGCCATCTTTTGCGTGGAACTATTTTTTATGAACATTTGATAGGCGCATTATTTAAACTAAAATTTACTAAAATACAACATTTGCAAACGTCAAAAAATAAAACTACCAAATCATTTTGAAATACCTTGCTGGACTGTTAGTGAATGACAGTGTAAAGCATCCTGTAAAATCATGGCACCTGGTATACTGTCATTTTCAAGAAAAGTGGTATTTTTGTATCAATTTCCAACGCTGATCGGCCGATCAGCGTTGGAAAAAACTGGCTTTTTTTCAAATACTGGCCCCAGTTGACCATCGCACTTGTTTGCAATCGATTACACACCTATGAACGGGTACAAGCCAGCTAGACTGGTTCCCTGACCTTACAATTCCCCAATATATGTAAACTGCTCTGTTTCTTCTTAACTGGAGTCAGGGAACCAGACTACAGGAAAATGATTGTTTTTCTTGGTTTTTATAGCATTTTCGAACCCAAAACCTCAAAAAAGTCAGTGTAACTATATTTGCTATATATTTCCAACCCCCCAATTCCATCCATTTCTGAAAATTACAGCAAAAGCCAATGATGTATATTCCCTTTAACAAAAGATACCGGTAGTGGATATATTGCCGGCGGCAATCCCTATCAACAGAGGGCGCTGTACTCTAAGATAGGGCTGAATTATAAGATATATTTAGTTGTGCCTATATTAAATTACCACCAACGGTTGTCATGGTTGTGTAGCACCTGTGGCCTAGTGGATAAGCAACAGATCTTAAGCAACGGATCTTATGAGCGGGAAGATCTGGGTTCGATCCCCGCTGGCAAAATTTTTCAGTTTTTTTTCCCCATCCCAAAAATATAAGAATATTCTTTTTTTATTATTTTAACATGTCTCAAAGTACATTTTATTGCAGAGTATTACATTTTCTTTTTCAGATTTGTAGCTCTGGAGGATTTTTTTTTAAAGGGAAATAAAGTCCGAAATTGTAAAATGGTCTGATTCCCATCTTGTGAATACGAAGTTACAACGATAATGTTGGCATGGAGCCAGACTAAAATTGTCACCGGAATATGTCTAAGTACAAAAAAATAGTAACTGCGCATGTTCAGTGCATATCCGGCAAACTAACGTTTATTAAAGGGTTGCCGTCTCCGGCTAAATATCCACTGCCTTAACAAAAGCAAATCCAACCGGGGTCAGGGGGTGTAACGTCAGGGAGAATTTGGAAAGAATGTTGCAACCTGATGCTGCTTTTTTTCTCCATATATCATCTCAATAAAGGTCAGTCATTGCAAAAATGACGATAAGACGTGAATCTGGGACTGGGAAACATTTCCAATTCACTTCAGTTCTTTTAATTATATTTTATCTTTTTACTAAGAAATATTATTCTTTCTATTACAGCTGCTGGCTTGTATTATTTAGCAGAACTGGTTGAAGAGTACACAGTAATTACAATGAAGATCTTACGGTGGGTCATAATTGTAAGTATGCACAAGACTTTCTTTTATACTGTACTGTTTTAATTGATTGATTTTTCTATCATGAGAATATTAAATAATTAAAAACATGTATAATGAGTTAGGCCCCCCTACCTCAAAAAAAGATGTGTTTCTGGAAACAATGCCTAAAAGTGAAAGGGTATGTATTGTTAAAAGGAATTTAGCAAATGGACGATATTCTCTGTTGTTTTCTTTCCTTGAAAGCGTTTTCAATCCTGTGAGTACTGAGTACTACAAATGTAAGAAACTCCTCCCCCTAAAAACTTCTAAACCATTTTTCCCACTTTATAGGCAACAGCTGGCATATACGTGGGCCTGATCCTATTTGAAGACCTTCCCTTCCGTCTAACTCTCACAGGGCTTGTCTCCATTGGCGTTTACTCCCTACTCCTGCGGACTTTCCCATTCATTGAGTTGACATCTCCAGTTTTTATCGGTAGTTGTGGTGAGTTTGTACCGTGGTGACATCACCAGACTTCCCTGTTTAAGTTTCTGACTGCTTTTCATCAGTGTTGCAGTCAAGCCAATCGCAAATCTGGTCAAAAGTAAACCACAAGTCAAAAGTTATTGTCCTTTCACAAGTCCAGTCGCAATTATCACAAGATAAACAATAGTGCTTTTGTTACAATTCATTTGCATAGCTTGTGAGTGGAGGACTTGTGATAGACTTGTAATGGACTTGTGAGGACTCGCAATATAAGATCTGAAGGTTTGCTTGGTGGATCAAGTAAGCAATAAGAGTAAGTTTGCGGTTGTTCCATTTGATGAGAAATCTCGTTTGTGAGTGTGTGTGGTTCTAAAAAGAACCAGGGAAATGCAATGCTTTGGACAGAGAAACGTCCGAAACGAAAAGAAAACCTACTCGTACGACTTGTAATGGACACGACTAACTCAAAGTGGAACTTTCTATATCGATTTATACTGCTTGTGTATGTGTTTCTTGAAATATATTAGCAATGTTTTAAAAATTAGTTCTTTGAATGACATAATTATAAGAAGAAACTGAGAGTTTCCCTAGTGCCAATTTGGCAGCATTGCTAATGTTGCTATTGTGACTTTGGGTGTGATCACCGGCTATGCAGCACATGTGGGATTTGAACTTCTGTCTTTTGGCTGGGACATTGACAAGTTGGGAGACTGCCCACACAGGGCTGGATAGCTCAGTTGGTAGAGCACTGGTACGTTGTTCTGGATATCATAGGTTCAAATCCCGCACCACTCAGTTTCTTTGTTGTTTTTAATTTGTTGATTTGGTCTTCTTGTTTTGCAGTGCTTGTGATTATCAATCATTACCTAGCTTTCCAGTACTTCGCTGAGGTGTGGCATCCCTTTTCAGAGGTTAGTCGAGGAATTTCAAGCAACAGATCTTTTTTTGTGAGATGCCATCTTATAAATCAAAGCGAGGCAGATAGTTACAACACGAATGACTTGTTCTCAATCATGCAGCATGTTCAGGTTTTGAAGTACTGCCAGGGTTACTTCTAGAGCAGTTTACTAAGGGTCACAGGTCATGATTACAAAATTAAGTAAGGAGACAGCCAAGATTAATGGTTGAGGAATCTGAAACATCTGTCCCAGATTTTTGTGCTGAAAACAACCAAATTTTTCGAAAATTCAAACAGAATAGCTTCTTCATGATATATATGTGATACAGCGTATACTTCGTCAAACTGTACCATCCTGGACATCAAGCTTGTAACATAATTAGGGATATTATTATATCTATTATTTAATTACAAATCTGATAATGTACATGGTTATAGGCTTGGTTAATGGTTATAGTCAAAGTAGTTTTCTTGTAAGACGCTTTGTCAGCCAGCCAGTGACAAAGTCCTAACATTGACATTGTTGTCAACATTTGTACCCCATTAGGTTATTGCATATTTCACCATGTGCCTGTGGCTGGTCCCGTTTGGTTTCTTCATTTCGCTGTCGGCCAACGACAATGTTCTTCCCACAACACATATGCCCACAGAAACAAGTAAGTAGCTCAAGTACTGTATATAAATATAACAATTTCTGCTAACTACCATCCAGGAGATATTTCATTAAGTTGTTGTTCCTGTGCTTTTTGACAAAGTTGTTTTTTTTCTGTTAACAGAATTTAAATTTTATGTTGTTACTTTTCTTTTGGGCATCTTTCACCCATTAAAAAATATTTTTTATTTTGGTCTGCGTTGGTGTCTCTAATGCACAATATGATCCGCCTGAATTATTACAGTGTCGCAAATAATTTATTTGCAAAGTAATTATTCCAAAGCTAAATCTTTGGCAGATTTTTTGCTCACATTACATTTCTCATTCTAAAGTGAAGAACTTTTGCATCGCTAAAAGATTTTTAGAAATCTAGTTTTGGGGGATTTTAAAAAAATCCATTGAAAAATGGCACAGTGAGATCATCTTTGATGTTCTTATCATCAAGTACTTGTCATCTTTTTTACAGAAAAAGAGGATGTCGTCACAAACTATTTCAACAAACGCAGCAAACGCAGTGGTGTCCTGTCTGTGTTTGATATGCTGAAAGACACGCTCATCCCGGAGAGGACCAAACGCTTCTGATCCTTCAAACCTAGAGTAAATACCATTGATAATCTTAGACAATCTAATGTAGGGCAAACTCTTGAAGTTCCCAAGGCACGCCACAGCTGGGTTCAATTTCATTGGGCTGCTAGTCAGAAAATTCTGCTTAGTAATGTTTGTGCTTAGTAAAATCTGGCAGTGTACCAGTTAAGCTCAATATACATAACATCGCATTTTGGCTGGTAAAACTGCTTTTGCTTAACAAATCTCTTCTGTACTGAGCAGAATTCTGTGCTACGAATGTCCATGAAATTGTCCCTCGGTGTAAGGCAAGAGATGCTGCTGGCAGTAGACGAAAAAAACTCCATTGGCATTGAGGAGAAACACAGTGTTTCGTTGAACGTGTACATTGTATCTATGAAGAAATGCCAGGTAATGGGTTTCCATTTATGCATGGTACAAGTATTCAGATTACATCGTAATCGTCCTTTGCTAGGGTTAGCTTGGGTCGATTGAGGATTGGGTTATGTATCCATTCGCACACATTGATACACGGGTTGGATGTACAGTCGAATCTCGTTAGTACAAACTCTGTTAATACAAAATTCTGGTTATAACAAACATAAGGCCTTGGTCCCGACTGTGCATTTATGTGCACAATAAATGGGACTGATGTTCCTCTTAATACAATATTCTGATATAACAAACAATTTGGCTAGGTCCGAAGGAGTTTGTATTAACGAGACTCGACTGTACAATGTGTTGTGTTTGTACAGCTTTGGGTTTTGTGAAGTAAAGTTAGAAGTGTGCATCGAAAGTGGGTACCCGAATAGCCGACCACTGATGTCAGATTATGCGATCGGGTACCTGTAACCAACTTTACAAATTAGATAGTAACCTCATACAAAATGAAAAAGAAGGGTTGTGAACGCCAATTGTAAACCAAAAGATGTCACGTTTATGTGCATTTTTAAGGCGCGACAGATGACGCTTGCGAAAGCTTTAAAGATATAAAGCCCCGATGACAACTTCCAGGATTTGATTTTGGGGTTGGGTTTCTTTCACAGGTACTCGGTAGGGTACCTGGTTCCCATACAATCTGTAAATGCACACCGCTACGTGAAGCGAGATTTCGGCTCATTGGCCAATGTGCACGTTTACGTTCCTGCTTGTAAAGTCTGTCCCGAGCCTATATGGCCCATCAGGCCGGCGTTTATCTCCGTTTTCCTTGGCATGAAACGACTGAGAATATTTCTATTCCCCTTGGACAGGATGCCAGTCCATCGCAGGTTACTCCCCAGCTAAATGCTGGTACCATTTATACTCCTGGGTGGAGAGAGGCAAGTGGGGATTAAGTGCCTTGCCCAAGGACACAACGTATGGCCGGCAGCTGGATTCGAACCCCTGACCCTCTGATCATGAGTCACGAACCCTTACCGCTAGGCCACACTTTCACGTTCCTGCTTGAGTCTTGCCTAATGCCACCAACATGTATTCAGTCATGTCAGAGTTATTGCCATGTGTGCTAAAGTTTAGACTCGAAAATTAAGTAGTCTTTAGAATATTGTTGCACAATTTGCATAGTTATTTTCTAAGTTGATGCCTGTTGATTGCATCACTGTTTCTTCAAGTTCTAACCCAATCAATTGATGGGTCAGAGTTCAGAGGTCAGTACCTGGGGTTATAAACCACATCTAAAGCTTGTATTTGAGGTACAGTCGACTCTAATTAGTACAAACTCTGTTAATACAAAATTCTGGTTATAACAAACATAAAGCCTTGGTCCCGACTGTGCATTTATGTGCACAATGAACGGGACTGATGTTCCTCTTAATACAAAATTCTGATATAACAAACAATTTGGCTAGGTCCCAACGAGTTTGTATTAACGAGACTTGACTGTATGTATGCTTATTCTGAGTTTAATGGAAATGGATTATTCTTTGCTGTTCTTTTTTTTGTACATACTAAGTACCATAAATAACATGGTGTATTTTCTCCAAAGAAATTACACACCTGTCGTATTCTGTACAAACATCCATGTATGGACATGATAGAGTAGACAGCTCATGTACATATGAGCTAATTTATGGACAAAGTCCAGTAGATGTGGTACAGCTGTACATAACATTTGGCGGGGGGGTTGGATTCTTTTGTAAATCTGATTGTTTTGCCTGATGTAATTTTGACTGAAATTCAAACAATTTGAAAAATGCCAAGCATTCATGTAGGTGTAGTAAGATGCATGTACATGCATGCTGTATGAATAACTCTAGCCCAGGTTGGACAAAGTCTTCATTGCAATACGATTACGTAGGGAGGAAAGGGAGTCCACCTGGGCTAGAATAACTCTTGCTTTCGTACTAATGCATGTGCTAAAGATACCAAACTACTACTATTTAAAGAAAATCTTTGAGATTTTTCCGATTCTTTCATGGTTATTCACAAGCTTTTAAAACAAAATGCACAGAAGTTGTATCGTGAAATGTTCATGGGTAGAGTGAAATGACAGTACTGTGAAACGTTGTACTTGTAGGTGTTGGATGGCACGTGTATAATGCTACAGGGATGTGAGGAAAAGTTTTATACTGTGATTTCTGGAGAAAAAAACCCACAAATATTAAAGTTGATGCTTGCAAAAGTTATTAAATACATTTACATAGCTTTATGTCAAATTATGAATGTTGTTTGCCTTTTTATTTAGTGTGTGGTTTCAAGCAATGACCAAAATTAATCGTTCACAAATAGGGCACTTTTTAAACAATGTTTATTGAATTCAACTACTGTTGAAATGGGAGAGAGATTTTGAAGGTCTTGGTGCGTACAAATAGTACAGTATAATGTTCACAGGTTTATGATTTATACCAAATTTTATTTGCGCCAAAAACACCTGATCAAAACACATTAATATTTTACTAGCCTAAATCTGTTGGGGTGCTGGCATTTGCCTTACCTACATGTATGATTTGAACACATCTTGGCATAGGACAGGTAGTTAAAAAAAAACCCTTAAGAACGACTTATTTATTAATCACACATGATAAATCAAACGCCATTTTATGTACATGTATGTAAACCATCATGTCTACCTCCCTTTTCAACACTCTCTCTACGTTGATGGCACATTTAGCAGCTCGTCCCAGCATTGATAAGCCAACTTGATAAAAGGTTGTACGCTTTTGTTTCAAAATCTATGGTGCAAAGTCATCCGTTATATATCGCATTTCATTTTGTACTCGGTTAAAGATGCATATCTACAGTGTCAAAGTTTACAACGTTAATAACATGCCCTTTATTTTCGGCTAATTAAATTCTATACAAGCTGTAAAAATCCCTCTCAGTGTTTTGCAATCCTACCATACCGCAATGTATTGGCCTTGCATTGTGTACACCAATTTTACAAAGACTGTTGACACCTTGCTTGACAAAATATCAACTTACAGGCATAGAAAATTAATGCAAGATTTATTTGATACAATTTATAGTATAATTGTTCATGCACATGATAACAGCTTTGGCTAAATTAAAGCATGCTGTTGATGTTTTTTGTAGGGCAAAACCTTTCCTAATATATGTACATGTAGTTAATTTCCATAAAAAAAAATATGAATTACAAACGCACCTAAAGACCCTTAAATACCAAATCAGTGAAAGTAAGTAATGCTGGTTTAAAACATGCAATTTTCAAAGTTGAAAATGAAGTGGAATTTGCTTAACACTTATTTGTCATAAACATGTTAAAATGCAAATACATCAGACTATGGTCAATCATAGACAAATATAAGCCTATATTTTTGTTCAGTTATACATAAGGAAGCATTATAAAAACATCTAGTATTTTACTCACAATACTTGTGACTTAAAGTATTTGGCTTAATGCTGATATAAAGTATCATACAGAAACAAAGCATGATTATTTTCAGGGATGCATCATGTAATAAGTTAAAGTAGGCTGTTACAGTTTTGAGGTAAACAAAGATAACATACAAGAAAAGCATATGGCGCCGCAGAAGTTATCTGCAATCTAGAAAAATGGCACCATCAATCTGTAATTACGCGAAAATCAAATCCCAGTTAATAAGGTATGAAGGCACCGATGTATTTACAACATTAAAAGTCACACTGAGTAAACTAATACACTAAATTGACGTGACTGTGAGACATCATTGTGCACACATAATTCATCATAAGACCTCAAAGGAATACTTGTAGCTGTGCCCCTCAATGGCTGGAAATATCCGCGGCCTAGATAGTTCCTTCATCATCTTTGAAACCCTCTCGATGTCAATATCCCGCGACCCACTCGAACCCCCACTCTGACTAGACCGAGAACTTGCCTGCGTCTCCAACAAAAGTCGCGAGTTACCGGGAAACAGTCGGGAATCTAGACTATCTGAGATGTGCGCATACATCTCTGATTCGGTCTTGGTGTCGCCTGCGAACAGCCGCCGGTGTTGCGCGTCGATGATGTTCTTACATTTGAACTCTAGAGGGCGGTCATGGGGTGAGGGTTTCTGCTCCAACACCCTTTCCACAACGTCCTCTGGGAGGTCAGGCATCTCTGCCAATTCAAGTCTTGGCATTCTCCTGCCGTCAGGTAAGCTGGCAAAAGCCACACGAGGACCCTGCTTCTGCTGTGCGACATCCCCTGTTTTGTTGGGCTTATTCCTTGCCGACTTTTCCTCAGGGGCTTTCCCTTTCTGCTGTGCCTTGCTAGAAACTGGTTGCTCCTTTGGTAAATTCCTCGACTTGCCCTGAGACATACTATTAGCTTTATACAGCCTGTTTTTATTGACTCCTACATCGCCTGATTTCAGCGTTACTTCAGGCCGAGAGACTCTTTTCAAAGGAGGCCCGATCGGCTTGGGCTGGAGCCCTCTTTCATCCAGCCAATTTGTGAAGGATAAACTGCCGTAGAACTCCTTTCCGGCCAGCTTGGATTCTTCTGCATCTTTTTCATCTTCTTCTTTCAAGGAGCGGAGATATTTCAGTTTCTGCATCTCCTCAGACTGATAATCTTTGCCTTGCCTCCAGCTTTCAGATGCTAGAATCCTGCAGAATGATCAAAACTCACTTTTAAGGTACTGACAGAGACTTACTCTCACATAACATTAAGGCACTGGATTTTTTGTGATTTATTTCAGTTGGTTTTTCAATGTACCTAATTGTAGCAAAATGTCCTTATGATCTATCAGTGCTCAAGAGTTTTCAGTGTATTTTTTTTTGAAGTGGGGAGGGGACACAACAACCTTTGTATAAAAAGTGCAAAACAATGGACTCTGAAAAGTAAATGTGCCTTTACAACTTTGTATGATGTATTTTTTGTGTGCATTCTGTGCGAATGACAATTTTTATGAACATTTATTCCCCCCACCCAAAAAGAGAACTTGTTACTTGTACTTACCTGGCACATTTCCTATGGCCCCAGATCTTAGCATAGTCAAGTGGTAGATGGCCTTTGTCGTCTGGTAAGTGAATGGCAGCATTGCCTTTGATTAGTGCTTCCAGGCACTTCACGCTGCCCTCTATGGCCGCTTGGTGGGCAGGCGTCAATTCGTCGCTGTTAACTCTAAGGACAAAAACAGAGGAACACAATTGATTATCGTGGTAAAGTACTTCACAAGGCCAATCACAAATCTATCAAAATTCAAACGTCATGAAGGTCAAGTGTTGAAGTCAGATCCATCTCAAGTCCATTACAAGTCAGGTAACATCTAAATTCAAAAGTCAGTTCAAAACAGTATTGAGATGAGCACAAGTACCAAAAAATATCTTGAGTACAAGTACTACAACACTGGTCCCAAGTATCGGGGTATTTACGACATCAAAAGGAATGCCTTAAGTTTCAGTTGAATGGTTTGTGATTGGACTTGGGACTTGATGATTGGTGATGGACTTGTGAAGTACAATGCCCTTCCCCGTCCATCCTGTCCACACCATCATGAACTTACAGCGAGGGATTCGCTCCTTGGTCCAGCAGATACTGCAAGCAGTTGAGTGATCGTTTGCCGGTCCTACTATTAATGGCTAGGTGGAGTGGTCGCCAGCCTGTGGTGCTGGGCAGATCCACATCCACCTTGTATTTCTCCACCAGGAGTTTCAGACATTCCAGCCGGCCGTGGAGAGAGGCAAGATGAATAGCTGCCAGACCCTGGTAGAATGAAAGGAAAGTAATATTTATTTTGGAAACAAATCAAAGCAAAAATGCTGATGCTAAATTTTCCTCCTTTTTTCGTGGTTAATCTGATCACTTTTCATTCCAGTAATGTCTGATTTTATCTTTCTTCTGATTTATGGCTTAGATGGATCTTTAAAAGGGAAGTTAAAGGGCAAGTCCAAGAATTTGCGCGTGCTATGTCCCATACGTAACAAAACTTTAACCTCTTAAAGATATTTATGGATTTCAGTGTTCTTTATTTTACTGTTGGGCATCTGCAAGGAGAATACCCACAACAATTGTCATGTTATTCGTCTTTGCGATGATTAAGTAATTGAAGAAAACACGGTGTTAAGTATGGGACAAAAAGGGACCTTTTCTTTGACTTACTCTAATTTAGCACAAGATATGGACCTAATTTTGTGACGTCATATTTTGAGTGGCGTTTAGCCTGTGTATTTGCACTATTTTATTTTTTTGCTGCAAAAGCACTCTTTGTGACATCATAAACATTAGGTCTATAGTCACCACGTGCAGCTCACATTTCTATCGTACTGAGATGGATCTCTCCCCGATCGCAAGGACTGCTTCAGCCAAGCCGTGTCTCCAATCGCAGCCGCCATGAACTCATCATTGTCAAAGTTTGCCCGACTCGATGTCGGCACCGTGCTGCTTGTCTTGCTGTGCTGATAGTGGGCTGATGTCCTGGATCCTGCTACTTGCTGTTTGGATTCCATCACAGAGTTTTGTGGCAAGTAACAAGGCCGTTTCTGGCATCTGATGTAGCCGGTAGGCGTTATTGCTGCTTAACACCGGTGACTGCAGCCTTATTGAACGAGGCCCTGTGAATCTATTAAATCGTTGAAAAACACACAACTATCGTTGTCAACATCTTTAAATTAATGTAGACCCATTATGTTGTTAATGGGGGGGGGGGGGCATTTGGATAATTGGTAGAGGGTTGCCGACGGCCCCAGAGCAACGTAGGGCTAGGGCCTGTGGTACATGTATACTCCTAGAACTATGAGGCTCCACGTAGTGGAGCCTCATAGAGTCAGAAGCCCGCAAAATTGTTGTCAACACAAAACACTAATTAAGTACAAAAACGTCCATTCCAAATAAGCTATTTCCCACAGAACCGCTGCACAGTTTGCCCCTAAACTCCGTACAATACCTCATGACATACTCACGTTATTTGCACCCAACAAACATCGGTGGATTCTGTCTGTTTTTAGGCCAAAATGATGAAAAATATGCCCTTTCCGCACTGAGCCAACCTAACACTTGAATACTTGGGGTATGGTGTAGGAGCGGATTGATAGTATGCGCATGCGTACAAGTGCAAGTACGTACCCCCCGCGGCGCGCTCCGAGCGATCGAACCACTGATCTCTATATAAAGACTGGATAGCGGATATGCATACAACATTCACACAGTAGACTTTGCATGTTGACCAATTCGCCCCCGGTCTCACGAAGATGGCCGCGTATAATACGAACGTTCTAAGCGTAAATACGCGCGCGTTGTATCAACAGTTGACGCGCATTTTGGTCACGTACACATATTATGATGTTCTAAAAGGGACACATTTCCGTAGTGATTATTATTTCAAAACGCCGAAAAAGTTATATTTGCGGCATTTTAGTAACCACAACGTTAGAAAAATTGTAGTTAACCTTGGTCAGTGATGGTGGTCAAAATATAAGTCAAGTGAACCGCGATGTTACAAAAGAAATCATGCTGTCTATAAAAACGACAACCTGTCCTTTGTAGATCACCAGCCGGTCTCACCAATATGGCGTCAAATTCGTACATTGTGCGGCTCTTTATTAGCTATCCAGTCTTTATATAGAGATCAGTGGATCGAACCCGAAAATGACTGCGATATCAGCGCGCGTGCTCGCTTCAAGTGTTAGGTTGGCTCAGTGCGGAAAGGGCATATTTTTCATCGTTTTGGCCTAAAAACAGACAGAATCCACCGATGTTTGTTGGGTGCACATAACGTGAGTATGTCATGAGGTATTGTACGGAGTTTAGGGGCAAACTGTGCAGCGGTTCTGTGGGAAATAGCTTATTTGGAATGGACGTTTTTGTACTTAATTAGTGTTTTGTGTTGACAACAATTTTGCGGGCTTCTGACTCTATGAGGCTCCACTACGTGGAGCCTCATAGTTCTAGGAGTAGTACATGTATATGTTTGTGATTTACTTCAAACTTTAAAGAAAATAATAAAGGTAAACAGAAATAGGCCTAGCGCCCCCTAAACAAAACACCTTTCCGGTAAAACCTCAGGAATCGCAGATTTTATAATGTAGGCCAAGGTCTAGGGCGCCCTTTAAAAATCCTGCAATCAGGCTAAAATAATGCCTGACAAAAAATCCTGAAATCAGACAAATCCTGACAAATCTCACCCCTGTGCTGTGGTTGACTTGAACTTGAACTTGAACTTGTAGCTAGGCCTCCAATCATGCCAATGCGTTGGCTGAGTGCAGTGCACATCTGCAGTTAACTCAAGTCAAGTCAAGCTTGAACATTTAATTTTTTAAAGGCAGCCAGCAGAGTTGAATTTTTGATTCACTCATGTCCGTCTGTCACCATGGAGGAATAAGAACACATGTATGTTAAGCGAGTTCGAGTTTTTACGTGGACAATGGTGGAGATCGGCTGGGTCCGGAGCTAGAGGAGTCACTCGATCGCCATATCGACGATGACACATGGATGACATGGATGATGCAGACGACGACGTGTACTGTGCGCGCAAAGTGCTGTGCGGTTGCTATGGCACAACTTCCGGTAAATTTTGATTTATTATTTTTCAGAATCTATTTTGCATTTTGTTCTCAAAGTAAGTAAATATTTAATATAAAAACATTTCCAAATAGGTCTTTGAATTGAAAAATATGGATTTTTCTTGTTTTAACTTCCTTCCCACAATTCATTTCATTGGCCCTTAGCAACCAAAATGGCGGCGTACACGAAATGTTTGCTTGTGGGCGAATGTTTGGTTTAAAACGCTTCAAGTTTTTTGCTCATTTTGCATTTGGTTAATGAAGGAAAGTAGATCAACGAGATTCCAAGTATAAACGACGTATGTAGGTTTACAATTGGCAAGTTACGCTAACTGTGGTTTGAAAATAACGTCTGTGTTTAAGGTCAGCGCATTCACAAGGTTAATTGGCCCAGTGTCACTTCGCCCCACACTGCCACTTTGCTGCAAGTGGGGCGAACTGGCAATGGGCGAACGAACTGGGTAATCGTCAAGTTTGGGACCCCATTCTCTACTATAGTACTATAACATATTTTAAAAGAACAAAAATGCACTCTGTGATTTAAACTTTAGGGGGCAATGTTGAATGAGACTTTTTTAACGCAGTAAGCCAGTAGAATTAAAGCAGTAGCCTACTAACTTAGGTTAAAATTTGTTACCACGTTACGCCTTAGCAGTAGTCGACCGTCTCGTCTGGTTCCCTGACCTGACAATATTCAACGTCAGGATTTGTCACTCTTGGAACCAGCAACAAAAGGGTTTTCGGACTCTATGTCCCTTTAAAACATTTTTTTTCCAAAGCCACAGTCTCAGATTACAATTTACAAAGACAAAAATTAAATTGTTGGCTAGGATTTGAAATTTGATTAAAAAGGTTAAAAGAGAATGAAACTGGGGGGGGGGGGGGGAAGGGGGCTACAGGCTATAAAGAAAAATATAACAGATTTTGCATAGACCCAGCACGAATTTGGTCCTGGGACCTTCATGATTGAGCGTTCAACCAATCGAGCTACCAAAGCACTCTGGTTATTAGAAGGGCAGTTCTAAATGTTATAATCTCGCAAGCCAATGGTATTTTTGAAATGCCGTAACGATTGCAGTTGAAAATCACATTACGGCTGTTGTAACGATAGCCACTGCATAATGCATTTGAGTAAACAGAAGGCCTAGCCTACACCTAGGCCCCCTACTGTAAATAACAATAAAAAAATTAGTGCCTAGGCCTACTTAAAAAAAAACACCTGAGTTTGTCTTTCCCAGTTTGTTTTGAATTGACTTTTTGCACTGCATGTAGCTGCGCTGATAGGTCTGACACAGCGCAGCAATGCTGTGCCGCACTAGTGGGGCTAGCACCTAGCCAGCTAGCCCCAGTCTGGCCTGGATATTTCTGAGCTGTATCCTACACAGCAATATCCAGGACCAGGCAACACTAGTGGGGATGAAGATGATGGATTGATTGATATACATGTTGATTTGTTAATATTAGGCCTAATTTACTTATAAATAAATGTAGGCATTTTTGGGGGAGGAATGACAATCTCAAATTTGCTTATTTTCCAGGTATCCACTGCAGTCATTACAATGTGTGCCAGTAGAGCATCGGAGAGAAATGCAAGGGAGTTCTATGATACCAAGCAGAGAGCAGTCAAGTTCTACAAGGAGAATGGGGTACCGGAGAGGCTGGAAGAGATTCTCAACTCTATGTTTTACGAAAACCCACCAGATGTCTACGGTCGATTGGTAAGACTAAGGCCATGTCCGAATTGCATGGCGTCAGCTGGTCACAGCACAAATGATAGTGGGAATTTGAAAGGTACACCGAACATCTTTCTGGAAGAGTATACTTTTAAACTTCACAAACGACAACCTACATCAAAGGGCGATGTTAGACTCAAAAAGTGAACAAAACTGATGAACAGTGCAATCAGTTTCATATAAAAAATGCTTCAGTACAACAAGTTGATTGAGCGAATGTTTTGCAAGGACAAATATATTGACTCGACACTGAAATGGGTGTAAATTGTCATTTCAAGTGAAACATCAGTGATGGTTTTTGTTGTTCATGATTTTCCCCTTTTTTTAAATTTCAGTCGGAGCACTTTGAGTCTTTGTCTGCTCCACCAGTCATTCACAAAGTGGATGCTAGAGAGGTTTTAGACAGTAGAGGCCAGCCTACCCTACAAGCGGATGTGTACTGTATTGTCAAAGGGCTTGAACAGGTAAAAGCAAGATTCACAATAAAAATGCCAACAAGCTCAACCAGTTGCTACTGGTTTTGATCAGTTGCTACCGGTTTTGTGATTAGCTCCCAAAGTTTATTTTCTACAAAAAGTTACAAGTTGCATTCCTTGAACACTTCTGCTAATGTTTTTTGACCAAAGCATTTGTCCACTGTCACCATGGCCAGCACCAACTTACTCATGGAAAACGCCCCCATCGACAGAAAGGAAGCAGATGAGAAAGAGCGACAGCAATTCGTCGATGCGGCCCTTGGGTTTATCCATGGACCAATCACAGAGGCCGTTAGTGGCATCAGCCCAGCCAATCAGGGAGAGATTGATGAGAATGTTTGGTAAGTACCATTAAATGTGAGACTCTTGTGGGCAGTTAGCTGAATCACCGTTTTTTTTTGTTGATAATTTTTTCTAAATTAAATGGAAATTGGCATCGATTGTGTACATTCAAAGCACAAGTGTAATATTTCCTACCAGTTATTTGCACACAATTTCTATGATAGAAAACAAGGGGCACAACAACACCAGTTGACAAAGACACCGTGATGGTGTCGCAAGCTCCTGATATGAGTTCTTGTGATCAAAGTCCCAAAAAGGTATCTTTTATTTAATTGATATAATAATGGGACAGGAAACGAACTTCCATGCTCGAAGGGGCACTAAACTAGCTTATTTTCAGATATTTCTTTAAGCAAGTAGCATCTCTGTTCAACAAACCACTAAACATTCAAATATGAATGCCGATCCTATATTTGGACTCCTGACATTACAGGAAAATACTGACAAGACTTCAGAAGGAAAAAGAGGAAGCGGAGCGTAAGGAACGTGAGAGGGCGGCAGAGCTGGAACCACCAGCCCCTGAACCTGCAAAGGAAGAGAAGATTATCTCACCAAAAGGCAAAAAGAAACTAGGTATGGACCACAGATCTAGAGCTATATTAAATTTCAAACTTGCTATATACTTCTCATTACCTTGCACAGAACGTTTGATAAAAATGCAGGCAGACAAATTGAGGGCTACAGCGTTCTTTTTCAATTGACTGTCTGAATTTGTAATTAACTAGATTCACCAATGGGATAGCTTGGGTTACTATTCCCTCCCCCCCCCCCTCCCCCACATCTAACCATTGTTAATCTTTACATATCATTTCAGGAAAAAACCTTAAATTTCAATTTTCAATTCCTAAAAGTCTCCGGTGATGACATCATAAAATATTGCAAATTTTGATTCATTTCTTCAGGCTGTTTCTGTCAGTCTTGATGTCATCATCTCAGCACCCGCTCCCCTTGAAAAACCCTGAACCTCAAACACTTCAGTTACCCCTTTTGAATATTGACTGTGCACTACGGTGAACTTTTTCTTATTCTGTTTCCTCAAAGGAAGTGCCAAGTCTACAACAGTCGTCGTTGAGGAACCCAAGGAGCCGCTGCTACCAGGTTGCAACGCTGCCTGCGTGGTGTCACAGGCTGTGGCTGTAGCAGCAGCAAAGCTGGCCAAGATCCAAACATTCGAACATATCGCCAACTTGTACTCGGCAGAGGTATAATCCAGGAGTTAAATCATGTGAAATTGCTTGTTGTCAAAGTGTTATTGGAATTACTACAATAATATTTGTGAAGCGATCAAGCTAAATGAGTCGTTTGGCGACCTCGGTCAAATTGTTTTTATTACAGATTTGAAAGGAGCACAATCTCAGCATTACTTTTGTGAAAACTGCATGCTGATACCACCTTTAGTTAAAAAATTATGGAAGTCGGAACACCAAGAGATGTGATGAAGTGATGTGATGAAGTGACCCTATTTTGGCCTGTATCTCCAAATGAAAATTCCCGACAAACGACTCATGCAGCTTGATCGCATCACATTTTTGTATTTTTTATTAGGAACAGCAAGAGTTTGAGCTTCCCTTGTTGATGGTGAATCTGCTGAATTCTGGAAAGGCCTACCCTGGCAAGCAGAATCTCATTAAGGAGTTGCTGCTCATCCCTAAACCAGGGAAGACACTGAGGGAGGTAAGAGTGCCCCACCTTGCCAACAGCCCCCCAACATTGTCTCATCTAGCAACCCGTCACCTGTGAACTTTGACAGGCAATTTGGAAAAATAGACAGTGTTAGAATCTCTCTTAAACTCACTGCACTCTTTGTAACTGAGTTATGAAACCTCAATGGGTTCCTAGTTCCAGCAAACTCTTTACCTATAACACTTTGAAACTTATTTTGAAACTTGTTCATTCCATTTTTCCGTATTTTTTTTCTTGAACTTTAGTCACTTAAACAGCTGACAGCTGTTCACCATCAAGTCAGCAAGTTACTGTTTCCTAAACTTGGGGTAAGTGTAGTTATTTATTACATACATGTATTTGTATCATATAATTGTATTATCATTTTACAGGTACATGTAGCTCTAGACCGAAACAAATTCCAAAGTCACTCATGAGTCATCTAAGTCAATCATATGGAAGTCACAAGTCTATCACATATCAATTACAAGTCAATCACAAATCTGTCACATAACAAGTCAGTCACAAGTCAAATCACAAATCAAATTATAAGTCAGTTACAAGTCAATCACGATTCATCAGGCACAAGTCAATCACAAGTCAGGCACAAGTCAATCTTAAGTCAGTCACAAACAAACATCAGGTCACATTAACAGTGGCCAGTTTCTTTGTCCACCTTATACTGATTTTTCATTGTTTTTTGTTAGGTTGCTGGGTCATATGTGAATGACCTTGGTGGCTATTGTCCACAGTACGACCGGCCAGAGCAGTTACTGGACCTAGCTCAAGAGGCCATCACTGCCCTCGAACTGACCCCTGGGGAAGATATCTTCATCGGACTGAACTGTGCTGCCTCTGAGATGTTTGACTCGGTAAGACTCAACACATAACTGAAATGGTGGAATTTTTCACATCAGAAGGCATGAAAAAATGCCATATGAACAATTTTTTAATGGACCCTGTACAGATGGTGCTTTGTGACTGCTAGTGAGAAATCCACTTTTACACACAAAAACTGTACAGTGATGTTAATATTTCGAACACCTTGGAAAACTAACCACTGCCATTTTCAAATTCCCAGGACAAAGGTAAATATGAGATGGCCCAGGGAATGTTGAAGTTGCCTGATGACATGGTGGAAGTTTACGCTGATCTAATCAACCGATATCCAGCCATCGTTGCCCTCGTAGATCCCTTCAAGAAACAGGTGGGTGATAAAGATGTTAAGACTCCATTCTCAAAGTTTTCCAAACGTTCAAACAGAACTCAAATTTTTAAAAATAGGACGGTGTATTAATTTGCCATCCAGTGTTATTTTACAAAGAATCAAAGAGGCTAGAAAAGTTATTTAATTTACTTTAAAATGATCCTGTGTTGACATGTGATAACTTGACCACATAATTTGACACATAACTTGACCTGCAACTTTTCATAACCTAGCCTGCCCTTTCAGAAATAAAGGGATAAATAGCGACTGAAAGGCCAAAAGAAAACTGCCCTGCCTAAATCCTAGCAATTTTCTGACTGCAACTTGACGTTTCTGTTTCAGGATACCGAGCAATGGCGCAAGCTGTGTGAACGTTTCAGCGAGCAGTGTTTCATCGTTGGAGACAGGGCCTATCCCAGAGCTGAGTGTTTTTGCAAGCAGGGATTGGGTGAACTATGCTCCAGTGCAATTTCACTGAAGCTAGAGCAGATGACTAGCGTAAGCGGTATCGTTGAAGCAAGTAAACTGGTTAAAGGTAAGAAAGGAATATGCTCAATGACAGATTACTTGCTTCTCAAGAAGTAATTTTTAATATAAATACATATACATCTGTTTATAAATTATCAAAGATAAGAAACATACATGCTCAAATTCATGTTATGACCCCTGTAAAATATCTTTATATATCTCTTGACCTTGGTTAATGTTTAACACAAAGTTTATGCACAAACTTGTTTTGCAGAGAATGATTCGGCTGTGGTCATCTCTAGCGTGATTGGTGAGAGTCCAGATAGTTTTCTGGCGGATTTGGTAAGTACTATTTTGGTGTTTATTATTTTTATGCAAATTCCCAAAACCAAATCAAAAATCAACTGGTCAGGAATGTATATATATATGTGTTTGCCTGAAATAGTAGCAATCTGTTGAAAAACACTGTTTTTATTTTGTTCCATGTGAATCAAAGACATGTTTCAGCAAGACATCTCCAGCTTTGCCTCATATCTACAGCTTCAGAATATCTTACAAGACTTTGACCAATATTGACCCAGAGTCCCCAAAATTCTAAAAATATTTCCCGGAACCAAACTGGGTTCAAAGCTAGGATTTTGAAATCCCAGAGGTCAGTTCATGTTTTCCACCAATTCACAGGCCGTTGGTGTCGGCGCAAAGTTTGTCAAGTTTGGTGCCCTCGCCCGCGGTGAGAGGATCTCCAAGTACAACCGTCTTCTGGAGATAGAGGACATGCTGGCTGCTCAAGACAGGATCAAGATGTCTGAGGGATTTGGCTTCCCTGTCATCAAACCACCTGAACCGGAGGAGACGGCAGAAAATGAGAACAAAGAGGGATGATGGTTTAAACAATAGACTGATCCATTAGGCTCCGCCCACTGCACACATGACATCAACACCTGTACCTCCACAATGCATGATACAGACAGGTGCATAATATGCAGGTGTACATTTTAAGGGACTTTTGTCAGATAATAATAATAACTACTAAAGCACTTTTAACATGATCAAAGCGCTTTTACAAAGAAAATAAGACAATAATCAAGAAGATCAGATACATAGAAATGTACAGATTACTATTGGAATTTGGAAGACAAGTGAGTTTTTTTGAAAGTCTGAATCGATGGTGAGTCTCGGATATGACGTGGGATTCTGTTCTGTTCTTTGGCACCTGTGATGGAGAACGCTTTGTCACCTGTAGCTTTTGTGTTTATTGTCGCATGCAATAGGTTTATCAAACCTTGATATATGATACTAGTAAAATGGGGCCAAAAAGAATAAATGGAATGCTAAAGCTCCAAAATTTATTCTGTTGTTGCCTTAGATCAGATGCAAGAATGCAGGAGAAAACTAGATTTCAAAATTGTCTGGAGGAGGGGGGGGGGGGAATGCCCTGGACCCAAGGCGTGCTCAAAACAGCCCCCCCCCCCCCCTTACTCACGTAAGTTTTGTTTACTTTAACCTGCTAGATTTTGGGCTGGGGCACACAACACCCCCCCCCCCCCCCCCCCATCAGCAGTACATGTATCTTGGTCCACTGTATTCCTTTTTTTTAGTCTTTCCCCACCCCTTTGTTACTTTTTCATTTTTAAAATATGTTATTCCTAACTTTTTGTACATGTGTGGTGTGTGTGGAAAGTTGGAAATGTACATATTAGAGAAAACTGATTTCACAATTATTAATAAAAGCTGGTATGTTTTTGTATCAGACATCGTTTAATCTCATTGACTTGAATTATTTATTGTTTTGATTCATTGTAATTAAAAAGATCTACTCCTATATGCACCGTGCTCAATGTTTTCATTCTATGTGGTAAAGAAACTCATTACAGACCAGTTGCGCACTGACGTTAATTCTGCTTTCTGAGGGGTGGTATGATAAATCTCGAATTATTTGAATGATTTGAAGTTGAAACAACTAAATCTGTACACAATCATTTAAGTAAAACTGTGGACCAGGCGTTGCATTTATTTTTCTACAGAGACATAAATAACAAAATTAAAAAGTTTTTGATATTTATCTACTGGAAGAAATTCATCGAGGAGATACTTTCAATCAATTCAAAGAGATCATGGTCTGGATATCATGGGTAATATCAATCCTTAATATACTTCCTTTTGCACACTACTTCCTACTTCAGGCAGTTGGGCTAAGTGGTAATATTTTTAATTATAAATATGATTGATGGGCTCTATTTTCTTTTCAAAGTTCTGAAAAGCTATTATGGACCAATGTCCCCTCACTAGTATAATGATATTTGATGGTACAATATTTTATTAATAATTGGTAGACCACAACTAATATTTTTGAGTACTCCCCCCCCCCCCCCCCCCCATATCATGCAATTTTAGTTGGGTCATGGTTGGGTGGTGGGGACATTATAAGGGATACACTAAATATATATCTCTTTCGTTTTCAATTATTTAAAAAAAAAAAAGAATCGGCATTGCTCCTTTAGACCTAATTTATCGTTTTTTGGGGAAAGACAAAAATATTGACGTGCCCGGCTGCCGCGCCATCCGGTACACACCCCCCCCCCCCGAAAAAGTGATATCATACGTATGGTGGCTTTGAAAAGACTTATAGAAAACCGCGAATATTGACGTCAATATTCGCGTCAAAAAGTTCATGACTAGTGTTTTCGGTCGCGCATGTTTTGTCGCATTTTTCCCATATAGCAAGCATAGCGCTTGCTGATACGTTTTGTGGCCCTGAAGGAACATCAAAGACGTAAATAGTTTACTTCACGACATCACATAATTTCTTCACGATAGACATCGCAACATTATTCACGACACTAGTCTCAGTTTTCAGTTTCACGACATCGCAAAAAATTCACGACAAAGTTAGTTTCACGACGTCGGAAAAGATTTTGCTGCAACACAATTTGAAGTTTTTGCTACATAATACTCACGACGGCTTTCGTTTCGTGATTACAATTTTTTGTCGAATATTTTCCCACCATCTTAAGAGGGTCTAATTATTAGACGCGCCGCACGCGGCGCTCATAGGCCTGTACATTTGTTTGCGCATGCATGTGTGGCAGGTGTAGAAAGACCCTGTGTTGATGTTAGAGTTAATTGCCCTTCCACTGTTTACATTTCCCCTTTAAGCTCTTCCAGCACCCCCTTAGTTAATTTCTTAGGAATCCTGTGTAATAAACAATGAACCCTCTTACATAATCCTTGGTAGTGTGGTTGGTCACCCCTATAATGTACATGTACATGTACTTCAGTTAGCAGACTGGCAGCGCAAGGGGAACACCCACACTTGTTCTCCCTTCCCAAGCTTTGATTTTTACTCTATAAGTTTTGCCTGCTTCAAGACCTTACTGCTATATGGACTCGGTTTGAAAGCCATTTTGATTTTAATCTGTAACTTTCTTTGGCACTGTGTTTTTAATTGTTTCAATTCTGGGTTTCGTTTAATAGTTTTACTGTGTGTTGGTCTTGGTTAAGGTTACACTGGTTTGGCTTTTGGTCATTGCTTTAGTATCAATAAAGTTATTTTTCTTATTTTTGTTTATTGAGGAAACCTACATTTTGAGTCACTGTCCCACTTCTTGCATTTCCTCGCGTCTTTACCCTATTCGATCATTAGATTAATTGAGTTTTCTTAAGTGAGTTCCCCCAGCGTTTAGTTTTATTTAGTTTAGTCGAGCGGTCCATTTTTCCCGATTACACATGCGCTTTTAGTTCGGGGACAGTTGTCACTGAACTGCCTTCGACATCCGAGAAGGTTAGATTAGGCATACTAAAAATAAGTTGCCAAAAACATAAGAAAAGTACATGTATTATGTTGTCATCATTTCTAGACCCTGACGCTAGTGATAGGTGGTGGGAAATTGGGAATATTATTTGCGACAGAAAAGAAAAGAACGAAATCAATTGCATGTGACGCTGGGGGAAAAATGCCACACAACCTAATTTAGGCCTATTGTTTGAAATTCTGACCCTGTACATGTACTTGAAAACTTAAATTTATGAATGTCGCAACTTAAAAGTTCAACTGACTCAGGTTTTGGACTAATGACATCCTCCTCCTAGCCTAGGCCAGGCTTGGCGTGCGGAACTGGCCTGGAGCAAGTCGTGAAATCTTGGCCGCAAACATTGACATCAATGTTTGCGATAGGAGAGCGAGACATGATTTTTTTTTGACGCGAATATCCATCAGAGAGCGAAACGTGCATTTTTGTCGTGAACATTGACGTCAATATTCGCGATGTGTGATGTCCCTTCAAAGCCACCATACGTACATGACGTAGGAGGAAAACAGCGAGAGCTTGAAGCTTGTGCCTAGCCTGTGTGAGTGTGAGAGATTTCCGAATTTCGACTGCTGAATTTTACCGGTTGGTGTCACATTTAATGCGAGTACAAATCTTGGTGCGTTGTCACTGAAATAGTTGGAAGACAACCGTGGTTTTCATGATCAGTGTAAAAGCTTGTGTGTACGGGGGAAATACGGATTTTGTGGCTGTCTACGAGTCCGACTAGGCCCTAGGCTAGGCTACGTCTAGCTTGAGTGACTCCAGCTGACATGCTCATATTCATTCACATGTAGTGAATGAATATGAGCATGTCAGCTGGAGTCACTCAAGCTAGGCTACGTCTATTTTTGTTCTTCCGAATTTGGACTCCTGAAATCCTGTTTCAGTTTCCTCCATGAGTCTATTATTATTACCTGTCACACTAGTACTACTACTGTTGGGCATCAGCATCCAGATTTCACACTACACCAGCCCTGAAAAAAAACCCTGTGAAATGGCACTGCAAACATTTGGGTATATTTTTAAGGTTTTATTTACATTTTTAAAGGGAAAATACAACATTTGCAAACATCAAAAAATAAAACTACCAAATCATTTTGAAATACCTTGCTGGACTGTTAGTGAATGACAGTGTAAAGCATCATGTAACATCATGGCACCTGGTATACTGTCATTTTCAAGAAAAGTGGTATTTTTGTATCAATTTCCAACGCTGGTCGGCCGACCATCGTTGGAAAAAACTGGCTTTTTTTTCTTCAAATACTGGCCCCAATTGACCATCGCACTTGTTTGCAATCGATTACACACCTATGAACGGGTACAAGCCAGCTAGACTGGTTCCCTGACCTTACAATTCCCCAATGTATGTAAACTGCTCTGTTTCTTCTTATATGGAGTCAGGGATCCAGACTACAGGAAAACGATTGTTTTTCTTGGTTTTTATAGCATTTTCGAACCCAAAACCTGAAAAAAGTAAGTGTAACTATATTTGCTATATACATGATATATTTCCAACCCCCCAATTCCATCCATTTCTGAAAATTACAGCAAGAGCAAATGATGTATATTCCCTTTAAACCTTTTTGTTCAAATGCGCCATCCCGCCAATCATCCAAAATTGTATCTTTATCAACAGTGGATTAGGCCTACCCATCATGCGCCAAGCCAACCAGCCCGGTCCGGGAGTGATGTTCCAGCCAGTCAGCCAGCCGTTGATGGCGAGCTCTGGCCCCGTTGGGTTCCAGCCCAACTCGCCAAACAAGAAGGTTCCTGCACTCATGGGACTATCCATAGTCCACGTCGCGCTTGGATGCTTGAGCACCATTCTTGGGATCGTTGCCATTATACTTAAGTGTAATTATTCGTATGTTGGATGGGGACTTTGGAGTGGAGTTTCGGTAAGAGATATTGTTTTCCCCAGTATCACAGTTTGCTGACAAATGTATTATCCCCATTTTGACGAACTGACAGATCTGCCCACAAACAGCAGCAAAAGCGAGAAATTCCTGTCCAGTTTGTCGATTTTCTACTGTGTCTCTGTTTTCATAAAAGTATGCAGAATTAAGGAGATGATGTTCAATATTGTTAAACTGTTTAGTCACTCCGTCTAAACTTTCAAATTGACAGCACCACACATTTGCAATTCAGTATTTACCCAGGTTTACCACACTTTCTCCAAAACGGAAAAATCCCAAATCTGAGAGACTACGAACTAACGGACACATAAAGCATTTTTACTGAGTTACGAATCTATTGGGCCGGTTTGTGTATAGCTAGAGTAACTAACAAGCGGTGTGATTGTGTATTTTTCAGTAAAGTTGGTATACTGTAGATCACGTATAGAAGCCATCATAAAGTGTTAAGGAAAATTTTTTCCAATTTGCTTAATGACTGCTTGTGATGTGAATGGACTTGTAAAAGTGGTAACGAACATAATTATTTTGTTTGTTTGCATTTGGCATGTTTGGAGACACCGATAAACTAAAAATTTGGGCATGTGCTATTATCCAGCCTGAATAATATAAATAATTAAATTTAAAAGTGACATTTTCCCCAATTTGTTCCCACTGTTAGTTTTTCGGAGTGACTGGAATTCTGGGCCTGATTGGTGCGACTCGAAAGAATAACAACGGCATAGTAAGATATCAATCTTTTCATTAGTTGTTTAATGCATAGGAACATTGGTATTATCCGGAAATTTCCATGAGTACAAGTACGAATACATTTCCATGAGTACAAGACGAGTACATTTCCATGAGTACAAGTAGGAATACATTTCCATGAGTACAAGTACGAGTACATTTCCATGAGTACAAGACGAGTACATTTCCATGAGTACAAGACGAGTACATTTCCATGAGTACAAGACGAGTACATTTCCATGAGTACAAGACGAGTACATTTCCATGAGTACAAGACGAGTACATTTCCATGAGTACAAGACGAGTACATTTCCATGAGTACAAGACGAGTACATTTCCATGAGTACAAGACGAGTACATTTCCATGAGCACAAGACAAGGACATTTCCATGAGCACAAGACAAGGACATTTCCATGAGTACAAGACAAGGACATTTCCATGAGTACAAGACAAGGACATTTCCATGAGCACAAGACAAGGACATTTCCATGGGTACAAGACGAGTACATTTCCATGAGCACAAGACAAGGACATTTCCATGAGCACAAGACAAGGACATTTCCATGAGTACAAGACAAGGACATTTCCATGAGTACAAGACGAGTACATTTCCATGAGAACAAGACAAGGACATTTCCATGAGCACAAGACAAGGACATTTCCATGAGCACAAGACAAGGACATTTCCATGAGTACAAGACGAGTACATTTCCATGAGTACAAGACGAGTACATTTCCATGAGTACAAGACGAGTACATTTCCATGAGCACAAGACAAGGACATTTCCATGAGTACAAGACAAGGACATTTCCATGAGCACAAGACAAGGACATTTCCATGAGCACAAGACAAGGACATTTCCATGAGTACAAGACAAGGACATTTCCATGAGTACAAGACGAGTACATTTCCATGAGAACAAGACAAGGACATTTCCATGAGCACAAGACAAGGACATTTCCATGAGAACAAGACAAGGACATTTCCATGAGTACAAGACGAGGACATTTCCATGAGTACAAGACAAGGACATTTCCATGAGTACAAGACAAGGACATTTCCATGAGCACAAGACGAGTACATTTCCATGAGCACAAGACAAGGACATTTCCATGGGTACAAGACGAGTACACTACAAGTATGAATAATGCATCACTGTATTTTGTCTTTCTTTCAGGTCATTGCATTCATGGTGATGTCCATAATCTCTGCAGCTGTCGCCTTCCAGTTGCTGGTTGCTGCTGCTATGGCTGCTGCAAGCGAGAGGTATAGCACTTGCCATCCAGGCACGTCCTACCGCAGCTCTGGATCTTGTTATACCCAGGTAAAAGCACGTTTGCACAGTTCATATCCTGCCGTAAGACATTTCTAAAAGACAATAAGATGAACCATTGAAATAGTTTTACAGCAAACCCTTAACCAAAAACACATTAATTTAAATTGTTTAGCAGCCCGTCATGAACATACTGTATTTCTAGACAATTAGACTCAAAATGCCTCAAAACGAACAGTCTCAAAAATGCTTCGAAACAGATAATTCTGGCCATGATGGCATTTGAATCAGTGACCTCCTGGTTTTTAATGCAGATCCCTTAAATGGGACACTCGACCATCTAGCTTGCAGAATTTCACAGGTCTTGCAGCGGGCAATGGGGTATAATTATAAACATACAGGTATACTGCGAATTGTTCTCGTCAAAATTAATTGTCCCAGTTAAAAGTGTAAGCGCATGGGTTGTCAACTTATAGTTCATGATCCCTTCCAACCAATGCTTTGATCTGACATGGTCTGTATGTTGTATGGATTATTTCACCAGCGACCTGGACGTGTGGCCGTGGATTCGTTGCTGGCGATAACCGGCCTTGCTGAGATGGTGATCGCTGTCGTGAGTGCGTCCCTGTCCTGCTACGGCATGTGTAGTTGCTGTCGTTCCTACACCCCCGTTACGGTAAGAACAACGTAACATCGTAATGAAGTTTCGATTGAAATAGGCCTCAGTATTCTTGGCCGAGTGACATTATGGTGCCAGGCTTTCAATACAACGTTAGGTCTACCTCTTTTGAGTTTGTCAGTAAAAATGCATATGCATGTATTTGCTTTATACATTGACAGGTTCAGTACGTGCCCCAACAGTTGGTACCCATGATGCCTGTGCAAGCACAGCAGCAGCAGCAACAGCACTTGCAGCAACAGCAGCAGCAACAGCAGTGGCAGCAGCAGCAGCAGTGGCAGCAGCAGCAGCAGCAGCAGCAACAGCAGTTGCAGCAACAGCAGTTGCAGCAGCAGCAGGAGCAACAGCAGTTGCAGCAGCAGCAGGAGCAACAGCAGTTGCAGCAACAGCAGCAACAACAGTTACAGCAGCAGCAGCCGCAGCAGGCCGGCCACGGTTTTATTGCAGTGAATGCACAGCAGCAACAAGGGCCATCGCAGCAACAACCAATGCAGGCTCCTACCGCCATGCAAGGTAGGCATATTTTAGCCTTTATGTGAAAGATCAACACTGTACTGAGGGAACTGTACATAATTCGAAATCAGATTTGCTGCCAATTGATATTATGCCAATAGCCTCCAAAGTTGATCTGAAATTCTTACGAAGTTCTTGCAAAGTTATTTCTTAAACAGCTATGTGCATCAATGTGCCCATTACGACCAAAATATTCAAGTGACTAATATTTGCGAAAAAGGTTAAAAAAAAGGTCTAGCAAAAAGGTTAAAAAATAAAGCCAGACTGGATCACATGGTTACAATCTTGTACCATTTTGTTTCCCCACCAATTGCACGATCATAGTGAAGGAACGTACATGCACAAGAAGTCGAAAATAAGGAATCACATCATTTGATCCATCCACAATTCTCCTACAACAATCGCACTTTGACACTGTGAATCAAGTTTGCCTCTTGTAATCATGTTCGTTGCAGGAAGCCCGATCGGTTCACAGTATGTGACCGATTACCGTGCGAGCCCAACCCAGCAGATGGCAAATCCTCCCCAGCAAATCGCTTACGTTCCGCAACCAGTTGGTCCGGCAACTCAAATGGTGATCGCTCCCCAGCCCGTCAGTATGGCTCCCCAGCAAGTGGTGGTCTCGGTACCGAGCCAGACCGCACCAACCGGGCCCGTGGAAGCCGGTGGGCCTACGGCCGAAACCCCGGACGCTTACGCTAACCAGGCGGGCGTTACCAACAGCGGAGGGTCTGAGCATTTCCATCACGATGACAAAGAAGGCCTTTTGGAGACTGTCTAAACTGTAGTCAGTCACTAAATGCTTTGCACAATTGCATAAAATGCTTTTGATGTACTGAGCTTGTTTTCACGATGACTAGTTTGTTAGTTTGCTTTTTAATACACGTATAACCTTTTTGGAGATATGGCTGGCACAATATAGGAAGGCACAAGTTAGATCTAGAGTGTGTTATGTTGAGCACCAAAAAGCTAAAACCGATGCCTCTGGTGGTCCATACAACTGCTGCATGTTATTATTTGGAACAAAATTATGACAACCACAATTTGTTTTTGTCCATTCAGGAGTTGAAATAACTGTAACTTTATTGAACCACTTTTCATTCTTAGTTCAGAAGCTGTATATGGTCGTTTGACGTTAAAACTTTTTGTGTATATCGGTGCATGTGGGTACATTTGCAATATTTTTACGACACTGTTTCTACATTATGAAAATGTTCTTTTTAATGGGTATCAGAGTGAAAGGTTAAGGTAGGAGGGAGCAGAGACGGAAAATGTTTACGAATATCATCCTTAAAAACATTAAAAAAACGAAACATTCAAAAACGGAAGCAAACATAAAATATAAAATATTGTACTGGTCAGTGAACCGATGTGTACCAAAAAAATACTAAACATTTAATCCGTCCACTTCATTAATTTACTACAAATGCAGTGTAAGCATTACCTTTAACATATAGGCAATTCTTTTCAGGAGTGTTAAACCATTCATTATTATGTACTCGGTATTGCATTTGTATAGCATTAACCAGAACTAACTAAAACTAAAAAAGAAATACATTCTATGAACTTTTTAGAGTTGTAAACTGAAACAAAACTGGATCTAAATTTAGAACTGTCCAACATTTCAGTGTACATGTTTTGTTATTTTTTTATCTAAAGTTTATATTTTCTTATTCTGTAGTTATTCCTGGCTTTGCTTGTGTTATCCAGTGTTGTGTAATAAAACGCACTATAAAAAGAAAATAAACTACTTTACAATTAGTTAATTTGTACTTCTTTTTTTTTCTTCCAAAAACGTGATCTGTGGAATGCTTTTGTAGCTGAGAGTTTTTTCTTTCAAATACTGAACAAAAAATCATGAAAACAGCACATTGGGTTGCTGAGAATATGCCAATTATGTAACACAACTTCTTTTTGGTCCATTCCAATGGGATTAACACTGCACCTACTGGTATTTGTGCATGAAATGCAGCGCATTGTGTCCCAATCCTTAAAAACAACATAATATTCATGACAAGAGTATAGTACAAATGAATTTGATGAAAATCCACCTGAACCACAGCTTGCTTTGATGTAATATCACCCACGAACCTGTCAGAACAACGTTGTTCTGACAGGTTCGTGGGTGATACCGTTATAGGACCTCTTTCGCTCGTACCCGGCCCCCCCCCCCCCCCCCCCCCCCCCCCCTGCAAACAGGGCGGTGGGTGCGAGCGAATATCGGTCTGTGCAACTTGCAAGAGGGCGCTAGCGCTGGGGCCGGGGCCGGCCAGAACAGCCAGCTGAAATTTCATTGTTGGGAGGTGCTGCCAAAATTACAAGGTAATCTTTCCCAGCTCGAGTTCCAGTTCCTGTCGCCTGTCTTAAAGGGGAACTTTTAATTATTGTTCGAATTTTGTTCATGTGTTATTAAAAAGTACTGGGAAACAAGCTGCTAACTTTAAGGAAAGAATAGTATTTCAGACGCCAATATAGACGTTGGTCATTGTTGATGTTGGTTGTGTGTGTGTGTATGTTGTGCCCATTCTTGAAACGCAGTGGCTATTGTTACGGCAGCCGTAACGCATTTCCCATTTTCTATCGTTACGGTAGACTGCAACCTGGCAACTTTTATAAAAAACATGACAAGAAAATATAAAATTAGAAGGAAAAAAGTGAATTTGAACTTTATGAAATTCGGACTTTATTTCCCTTTTAAAAAAAATCCTCCAAAGCCTCAGGTTAGAAAAGGAAAAAAATTCGAGTGCAAAACTGAGATTCGAACCCGCAACCTCGCGGTGCAAAATCCTACCCTCTATCGGCTGAGCTGGCGCACTGCTCGATAAAACGTGTGGAAACAAATAATTATATACCTGCGTGCGTATCAAAAAAATATCGTAGAGGGCGCTAAACAACGAGTGCCGTAACGATAGCCACTTCGTTCTTGAAAATCACGCATTCTCGAGAATGGGCATGCACATTCTTGAGAATGTGCAACTGGATCCTTGCTCAATCTTTGCAAAAAATAACTCTTCCAGATTGAGCGCACATTCTTGAGAATGCGCGACAAGATAACGGTCTTGTCGATGCCGAGCACCGGCTGCGCTTGGCAAGTCTAGCTGAATCCTCGTTCACTGATTCTCAATAATTATACTGTTGCAACGCAAGGCGCTGAAAAGTAGAGTGAATATGATAAGTAAAGGCGTATTGATATGGGGGGGGGGGGGGGGGGGGCGGACCGGGAAAATATAAGAGACATAATAATACTAGTGCAAAGAATTCTGATTTTTGGGATAATAAAAGCGGGGGGGGGGGGGGGAGGGGGGGGGGACGTAAGAATGAAGAATGTGAAGAATGAGAATGAATACTGCGACATCCCATAGTGCTAATGCTATTTCCCATTTAAATTGCCACCAATTTATTGTTCACATCCCACCATAACGTCGCAGAGCTGGATTCTATCTAGTCAAAAGAGCAATTTTGGCAGCTTCTGGACATCGTTTTTTTTTCGTGGCACGCATATGATACATGCAGGGACTTGTAACTTGTCTAGCCTAAACAAAGCACTTCCCAGACTAGTTCCCAGTCCTCCGTTATTACAAAACTTCCCATAGTGGGCAGAAAAAAGCAATAATAACAGGTTTAATTTGATTCAAATTATCGTAGATTTATACAAGTACAGAAGCATAGCACATTTTCTTTCCTCTTTATATGAATTGTTTCCCTTTTAACCGCTATACAATTCATTTAACATAATTATGTCGTGCAATGTTTGTTAAGATTGGGCAAAATTCATAAATTGTGCACGTGATATTCCCACCCAATCTTAAGAATGAGCGCTCATTCTTAAGAACGCGTGCTCGTTCTTAAGAATGGGCGCTCATTCTTAAGAATGCGCGCCCATTCTCGAGAATGTGCATGCCCATTCTCGAGAATGCGTGATTTTCAAGAATGGGCACAACATGTACAAAGTCTTCCAATAGGCTAGCCCCATAAAATGTGGCCAATTTACTGGACTACCCAAGGCCACACTTCCAACATGTATACAAAAACATGTCGAACTTTGTCAAATTTTTCACATTTAGGCTTAGTTTGTAGTTCATTTTTTGCTTTAGAAGCATACTCGCCCTCTTTTTATATAGGCTAATCAGAAAGTGCTGCCTTTTTCAGATGTCTTTTTTTCGTGAAATTTTCAGATTCGTTTGCACACGTTTGCGTATCAAAATTTCAACATCAAATTTCACGAAAATTAGTCATCTGAAAAAGGCAGCACTTTCTGATTAGCCTATAAAGAGGGTGAGTATGGTATGCCTCTAAGGCAAAAATAAACTACAATTACAAACTAAGCCTAAATGTGAAAATCAAAATTTGACAAAGTTTTGATCGACATGTTTTTGTACATGGTGGAAGTGTTGCCTTAATTTACAGAGGTAGTCCAGTAAATTGTCCAAATTTATGGGGCTACCAATAGGCCTACCATGCCTACTAACTAGTGTTAGACTTTGTACACACGTATAATATGGAAAGTCGAGTGCATTTTCAAATTATTTTTAACAAAATTAGAAATGTTTCTCAGTCCCAGGTTCATGTCTTCAACACATTTGCAATGACTGACCTTCATTGAGATAATAATGATAAAAAAAAGTGGCGTGAAGTATCAGGATGTACTCTTTCCAACGTGAAAGTTATTTAAATAAAATAGGCATAGCCGGCCTAAGACATAGCTTCGTATTAAACCAATATCAAAATCAAGCAGAGACCGGTTCATGGTCAAATATGCACTGCCTTCTGAAAAAAAAGTATGATATTCTGAGCTGAAATGTTGATATTTAAATTTTAAAAATTAAACCTGCTTTAGATTTTTTGTCTTGTTCTTCCTTGAATCAGCATAACACAGTTTTTTTGCAAATGTATGGTGTCTAATATTAGACCCTAATCTAGAGTTTGTTCTACATCTGTTGTGTGTTGCTTGCACAATGTCTGAGTACTGTTTGCTCTGTGTCAACATATATGTTCTCTATAATTCATACTGTGAAAAACAAACAATACTAGATAAGAAAACTTGTGTGACTGATTACATTGGTAGTGGCTGCTTAATGCGCCGCAGTACCTAATGTACCCTGTACCCTTCTATTTATAAGGTGCTACATTAATGGGTCTCATATCTCTCATGTACTTCATTCACTCTAATAATAGACATAACTCCCAGCACCTTGAGTACCTATACTCCGTTGCATTAATGCCTGAATAGGTTTCTGCAACGTACCCATACAGATACAGATACAGATAGGTAGTAGCCCAGTGGTGTATCTGTGCCGGCGAGTGGGGGCCGGGGCAGGGGATGAACAAAATCCAAAAATTGCCCGGCTGTGGAAATTCAAAAAGGGGGGAGGGGGAGGGGCTGGACACCACATTACACTAGGGGGCGCTCTTCAGGATGAAGATGTATATCAATATGTATACTTGAGCTTACATCAAAACGGCGCATTTTAAAAGTTTTGTACTTATGTTTCTCCACTTTTCAGTGCTATTGAATACATTTCAGTTGTTGGGATGTTCGAAAAATACCTTGAAATCCGCAATTTTTTTTCACATCACAAAAAAGTGGGGGGATGATTCAATAGCCCCCCCCCCCCATTCAAAAAGTGGGAAGGATACATGTATACACCCCCCCCCCCCCCCCCCCCCCCCCCCCCCCGATTTACGTCCCGGTAGTAGCCTCATCAATAAGTTTCTCAAAAAGTGGAAGTTTCTCTGTACTGTATTTTCACACCAAGCCAATAACGGCGACCCAAAGAGGCCAACAGTCAGAGGGGGGGGGGGGGGGGGGGGGATTAACTATTAATCAGAAATACATGGATGTTGATCACAAAATAACAAAGGGACAATTATGTGTAATATCAGAAAATATAAATAACTGAAACTTAAGCTTCTTCGCTTACAAAATAATTGACCAGGGGAGAGCATACAAATATGAATAATATAATTTAAATGGCTAGTTACTGACAGAGCTAAGAACCATCAGACTGCGGACCACTACGATGGACACCGTAGTATATAGGCAATGGAAGAACTACTAAGAAAATTGGAACATACTCACAAGAATATGCAGACCACTGAACCCTTTGGTGTAAAGTAATGGTGGTGGTGATGGTGCGAAGTATTAACACAGTGTCTTGCACATAAGCAAGGCCAGACTAAACTAGCTTCCACCTTCAGCCATACATGTACAGAAACTTAAAAAAATAAGGAACTAAAATGCACACCACCATCCACCACCATGCCCCAGTAGCAAGTCCACACCCTACTGGGCTTTCAGAGGGGTTATAGTGCTGGGTCAAAATATGCATGTAGGAATTTCAAGATTAGGAATACTAATGCAGTGTGTCTTTCTTACTTGGAGATATTTGCATATCCACTAAGTACAGAGGTATATGGGGGCAAGGAACTTAAATCCCTGGCACTGTGAGAGTAAACATTAAAGACTACAATGAGAGCTCCATCTGTGGTTTGACTGCAGCCCAAATACTTTCTATTGTGGTTTAAAGTAGGTTAAGTTGAAAAAGTAATGGTAAGCTCTGAAATATTTTTTTGGCATTAATCTGACTTAAGAACAGGTGCTATACATGACCACTATGGATTACTGTGGCCAAAACACTCTCTTTATAGTTTAAAGGTGCAGTTGGAACAATAATAAAATGAATTCTTGTTACAGTACTATTATTTCCCAGAAAAGTTGCGTTTCCTAAGTTTGAAATCTAGACTTTTTTTTAATTGATGTTTGATATAGATCGAGGCTGTGTATTCCATTCCTCTGGAAGTCTAGTATCCTTTAATTTTCAGAGGAAATTTGGAGAGAGTTTGTCCGAAATGACAGCTAGATTTTTCTTGAGGTCATGGGTCATGCACCGCCACTGTACTTTTTTATTTCTGGAGGAAGTGGAATATTTATTGAGACACAATTATCAGTAGACTCCATTCAATTGAATCATGTTAATACTACTTTCTATAATTCTATAGTATAATAGCCATGTTTCGTCTGCCAGTCACAATAAAGTCAGCAGTCCAGAGGTGTCTGTGCCATCCTTTGATTGGACGCAGCAGTGGTCATGTGACAGCACGACTTCTCAGCACATCAGGGGTGCATCTCCGCGCCGAGGAAAAAGATCCCCTCACTCAAGAATATGATGCTGTCATTATAGGGGCCGGCCACAATGGACTGACCGCGGTAAGAAAGTGGTAAAATTACCCGACACCTGCTTCAGACCGACATTCCAGAATCACGCTAAACTTCTGCGTCTCTTCTGTTTAATACTGGGCAATCTCCTCAGTAAATGGATGTCCCAAACCAAATAATATTGAGAGCAACTCGGGTTGACAGAAAAGCTTTTTATTTCGTACTGGCGAACTGAATGTTATGTTTCATTTTCCAGTGACTACCTTCTAGAATCACTCTTGAGTGCAAAAGTCAAATTCCATTCTAACTGTTTTAAAGTCAAACTCCTGTGCGTTTCATTCAAATCAAAGTTTGGCTTTTCTTGTATCAGCCCCACACAAGGTGTCAGCCCCATATATATCTTTGTCATCACTCGGGGGTTCCGTCTACTTTTGCACAACCAGAATGGGTCTAGGTTTACAAACTTTGTGTTTGCAGAAAGCCTTTATTTAATGTTACAAGTGTTTTCACTTTTCAGTTCCCCCCCCTAAAATTTTCATTTTCCCCCAAAAACATTTCCAAAACTTTTTGTAAAAAAAAGTGATCTGAAAGAGGGGCCAAGCTAGCTTTCAAAGCCCCACCCAACCCATCCCTGCTATGCCTGCTGACACTTACTTCATTTACTATTTTACCTTTCTTGTTTTCCCCTCTCAGGCAGCTTACCTTCAGAAAGCAGGGCTCAAGACCCTCGTCTTGGAGAGAAGACATGTCATCGGAGGTGCTGCAGTTACCGAAGAGATAGTGCCAGGTACGTAACATGTAAACTGGTCCAGCAAGGAAATGGGAATGGGCTGATTTTTGGTAACGTAACTTCTCAAGACATTCATCAGCCTAATGAAACAACATAAACAGCAAAAATGTCTCATTATCTTTTTGAATTGCAGGGTTCAAGTTTTCGAGATGTTCATATGTGCTGAGTTTGCTGCGTCCAGATATTCACAAAGATCTAGAACTCCAAGTGAGTATGAAATTTGCTGACAACCTAAAAACATTCTGATCTTTCTAGATTTGAACCATGGGTCAGAGATGCTGTTATAAACATCTTCAAGATTTTCTTGCAACTTCATGGTGTGATTCTTAAGAAAAGACAAGTTTCCCCTCGAGCCCTTGGCCATATTTGGATCCGGATTTGAATCATATTTGAATTTTGCTATGACAGAAACATGGTCTGAAAGTCTACTTTAGACCAGGCAGTGCATATGCTCCACTTCGTGAAGAAACGGGACAAAGTGGCCGTCCGCGGTCGCTGCTTCTCAGCAATGATGCGGAGGATACGTACAACCAGATTGCACAGTTCTCAGAGAAAGATGCTAAGGTGTGTATTTTAATTAAAATTCCATTTTTACTTGTATAATTTGTTTGATTTGGTCAAGCTTGTGGGGAGGGGGTTGTTTTCTGCTCTGTCCGGGGGTGTCTACTTGTGGTTCAGACTTTTTATTTACTATAGTGATATGTTATAAATTTTTGAGATTTAAATAATCACATTTTTAAATTTAATATGTGTTCCTTTTATTAATATAAATAGTTTGATTGTAAAGCGCCATGGAGCATTTTTTTAATGGATTCGGCGCTATAGAAATTTACTAATTTAATATCAATGTTGCTTCTTTCAGTAGTGAATATTTCGAATATGGAACTTCAAATTTCAAGAATAGATATATTGAAAGAATATTTTGTTTCTATTTTAGAATTATTTCATTTACACCAAATTGATCGAGGAAATTGGTGAGGCAATTGGGCCTCTGCTAGATAGCAGCCCAGTGGATCTATCCGTTCTTGGCAAGGGATCGATCAAAGAAAGACTCGACAGTTGGCCGGCAGTCAAAACACTCTTAAAGACTGGTGAGTTGTACTAATTGTTTTTACAACCGAGACCCTTGATCCTGCCTGTCATTCAAACTGTGTGCATTGACCAATTAGAGGAGCAGCCAATTTTCTGGGCGGAGCTGATTCAACGACTGTTTCGTCACTCCATTGAGCACCTCAGGACACTAGTTTTACTATACCACTCCAAGCAGTCAATATTTGCTTACTATCTCATTTCTTGATTAGGTTCCCAGCTGGGTAAGAACCTTCCAATGCTCTATGAGCTGATGACAGCACCCATGGCTGATGTGATCACTCCGTTGATCACCTCATTACTCTAGTTTTACTATACCACTCCAAGCAGTCAATATTTGCTTACTATCTCATTTCTTGATTAGGTTCCCAGCTGGGTAAGAACCTTCCAATGGTCTATGAGCTGATGACAGCACCCATGGCTGATGTGATCACTCCGTTGATCACCTCATTACTCTAATTTTACTATACCATTCCAAGCAGTCAATATTTGTTTACTATCTCATTTTTTGATTAGGCTCCCAGCTGGGCAAGAACCTTCCAATGCTCTATGAGCTGATGACAGCACCCTCGGCTGATGTGATCACTCCATGGATCACCTCAGTACTCTAGTTTTACTATACCACTCCGAGCAGTCAATATTTGTTTACTATCTCATTCCTTGATTAGGCTCCCAGCTGGGCAAGAACCTTCCAACGTTCTATGAGCTGATGACAGCACCCATGGCTAAGGTATGTGTAAGAGCAAACATATGTCAGAAACAAGCTGGAAATGATCATGCATTATATTCTTATAATGTACAATTACCCACCTGGTGATGACTCAGACTGTCATTAAGAATAAAGGATTTCCTACTTGTTGAACATCAGTTGGTGGAACACCCAATTTGTGTGCAGTAGTGGCAGCCCCAATGCGAAATGAGTGACCTCGATAAAGCAACTCTCCCCTCCCACAGAAAGCCAGGTTTTTTTCAGGACTGCATTAAATTGGTAGGCTGTCAGTGGAGACCCATTAAAGTGACACAAAAGAGGGCCAGGGCCTGAGGGACGAGTTGATACCCATGCAAGGCTGCACTGGAACGTTTGTCACTAATTAACTAACTAACAGAGAGACATGACAATTTGTTGAGCTGCTGTCCGTAGCTAGACATCCCAATCTCATATCTAATTTGAGCATGTGGTATTCTTGTATGTTTTTCCACTCATTGTCAGAAGTCTTTAATAGCTGGCTCTGTTAATTGTTAGATTTTAGATCGCTGGTTTGAGTCTGAACCCTTGAAGGCCATACTAGCAACTGACTGCACCACTGGTGCCATGGTGTCGTCCCAAACACCGGGTAGTGGGTAAGAACCTGGAAACATCTTCTGTATCCTTGTTTCTTTTAGGCGAAAGGGGTTCCAGTGTGCCTCCTTTCTTCTCTCCCCCCCCCCCGCCCCCCCCCCCCCTCTCATTTATACAGATTTTTAAAAATGTGTTGACAAATCAACACTAACCAGTTTTTAAAACCGGCTAACAAACTCAGACATGTGACAATAGTTTTGTACCGAGACGATGGTTAAATGTTACCAATGTTGACTTTTGACAAGGGTGACATATTTATCAAGACCATGGTTACCAACTTGCTCTTTCCACACTGGATATATCATCTTGAAAAATTTACCTGGACAGATTTATTGAACAGATTCTGTTTTAGCCTTGGGGCTGTTCGCATTGGACCTAAAATGGGGAAAATTAACCATTGTTTTGTTGAGTTCTATCAAGAAAAATATGGTTTAGTAAAGCAGTGTTGTCGTCCATCGAGCTCACAAATAAATCACAAGTCTAGTCACAAATGTGTCACAAGTCCTTTCACAAGTCCAGTCACAAGCAAGCGGGGATGAACAATAACAAAGGAATGCCTTTGTCACATTTGTTTAATATCTTGTGACTTGAGACTGGATGACTTGTGATGACTTGTGATGGCTTGTGATGACTTGTGATGACTTGCGATGACTTGTGATGACTTGTGATGACTTGTGATGACTTGTGATGACTTGTGATGACTTGTGATGACTTGTGATGACTTGTGATGGACTTGTGATGACTTGTGATTGACTTGTGATGACCTATAAACGGACTCAATTGCAGCATTATTAAGATAGTTGGGCTTGTGTTTACAGGTACGTGCTACTTCACCATGTGATGGGGGAGATTGAGGGCGTCAAGCATGCATGGGCGTTTGCTGAGGGGGGCATGGGAGCAGTCTCAAGGAGCATTGCCAATGCTGCCGAGGCCCATGGAGCTACCATCTTGACCGAAAAGGTATCATCAAATGTGCTCAGTAGGTCACAAATCTTCCTTTAGGGCCACTGATTGCCCACTCAACGAGAAACAGAACAGAAACTAGAAAGCACTCAGAGAGCGCAAACCTCCACCAAGGCTAAACAATTCCCTGCTATATTGTCAGTGCGCCCAAAAGAAATACACCCCCCCCCCCCCCCCAGCTGAGAGATGGTCAAAATAACCCGGCCCTTTTACCGGCCGTTTTAGGGTTAATACGGCACAGAAAAACTAATGCTGGGATGATACCTGGGGAAAAAGTGGAAGAGGGGATGATATTTCCCCCAATCCCTTTAAATAGATTATTGGGTAAATGTAAAGGAGCTGGACCACACTTTGTGCTTTCAGCCTGTGAGTACAGTGCTCTTGGATTCAGACCAGAGGGCCTGTGGAGTTGTCTTAGAGGACGGGACTGAAGTACGCAGTAAGATGGTGCTGTCCAACGCTACGGCCAGAATCACCTACCTCAACTTGACCCCTCGGGAGGCTCTACCCAAGGAATTCATTGAGGAGGTCCAGGCCATCGATTACACTTCCCCTGTCACCAAAATAAATGGTAAGATTTAGTTCCTTTCTCTGAAATTAAACTTTTATGAAATTGTTCACTGCTTGCTTTTGATGGCCAGGCCTGCAGTACCAGCTGAATTCTGAACTTTTTTTCTGAAATGTCCATTATTTGATAAAGTGCTTTAACTTCCTTTTCTCTGAAAACAGTGTTGTAGTCACAAGTCATCATTAGCCTATCACAAGCCTATCACAAGTCGATCACAAGTCTTCCAAACAATTTCATTAAAAAAAATTTTTCGGATGAAAAATGTTCTTGTTGCTTTTTAAAAACCGTAATCCAGGTCATTTTTTTGTTGTACTCCCCCTGTATTGTCACGCTCTCTTGTTCATTTCAGGAATAGTTTAACTTTTCTTACATCGAGCAATTAACACTTATAATTTTACAAATATGACACTTGTCTTTTCTTAATGTACACATTTTCAAAAAATGGTTTTCAAAATGTACACAGAACCATTTTCAAAACCATTCCAAATTTGACCAAGGGGATTTTCAAATCAACGCTGGTAACAATTTTGTTTTTTACCCCAGTCTACCACCAACGAATAAATACATGATTGTTTTTCCTTTATTTTTTTGTTTACCTCAGTGGCTGTAGACCGACTGCCAAATTTTGCAGCGAATCCAAACCTGTCGTCACAAGAACCCAGTGCCCACCACACGGCCACCATCCATTTGAACTGTGAGAGTATGGACCTCATCAACGACTCGTACGAGCCCTGCACCCGGGGTGAAATCTACCATCGGCCCATGATTGAAATGACCATACCGTCATCCATGGATCGTACCATTGCCCCCGAGGGGTGCCATGTTGTTACGCTTTTTACCCAGTACACCCCGTACCACCTGGCAAATGGAGAACAGTGGGACGAAAAGAAGAAAAATGAATATGCAGATTTGGGTGAGTTCTAGGTCGGCTAGGGCAGTCATATGTTTTGGTGTTTGACAGGAATATTCTGCTCCCCCTCTTTTTTTTCTTGACTTTTGTTTTTGGCCGGACTTTTTTTCCCCTTTTGGAAAGATTTAAGGTGTATGTGATTGATCACGACTTATCACAAGTCCATTGCAAGCTAATCATAAGTCATATCCAGTCCATGCAAGCTACAATAGTGGCCACATCTTACTGGGCCCCCTCAATGTTGTCTCTCATGACACGGTATGTGCTCCATCCCTTACAGAAATGTCCCATGTAATTCCCATGGGAAATTTTCCCATGGGACCCCATGGGAATTGCATGGTGAATTGGACACCATGTAGCATGGGATTTTTCCCATGGGAGTTTTCCCATCGGCTTTTTCCCATGGGAAATTTTGTATGGGCTTTTTCCCATGTATGGTTTCCTTCCATTTCTCAAAAAAATTATTGCTCCATGGTATTTTTCAATAACAACTTCCTATACATTTTAACCCTGTGTGTTAAGTGCTATTCACCAAATAGGTAAAGCACATCACGGAACTCTGATGGGGGTTGTTCCACGTAATAGGAGTGGTTTATGCACTCTATGTCTGAATCCACATTATTGCTCCCATACCACTTGTCAAGTTGTACCATATTATCACAGTGTTCCCAACTTATTTTCTCATAAATGTTTCCAACCATAATAATAAATGAATCAATATTATCCAAAGTTTGAATGACACATTGTCCACATAAAAAAATACTGTATGCATCATTTAACTTCACTTATCAACAGAAAAATTCAAAAATGTGCAATTACAACACTCGTTATTGTAAGGGATTCTCACAAAAATGTCCCATGGTGGTCCCATGGTGTCCCATGGTGTTCCCATGGCGTTCCCATGGTGTCCCATGGTGTTTATCCCATTGTGTTCAATTGGTGAACATCCACAGGAGTTTCCCATGGTCAGCTTAACAAATAGAATTCTTGATAACCTCTATGGCCACAAGGGAAATATTTTTAATTGAATTCAAATTTACAGCTAGGCGAATAAGTAATTAAATCAAAGAAAGGTTTGCCTATAACTTGGGAGTGCAATTGGGTCTATGATGGTTTTTCATGGCACATGCATGTTCACCAGTATAACCCGGCAGTGTCCCCGTGCTGCCTTTTAAATCTCCATGGTGTTCCCATTGTATCCATAATTTATATCACCCACATTATGGTGTTCCCATGGCGTCCGAATCCTCATGGTGTACCCATGTGTCTAAAATCCCCATATCCTCATGGTGTACCCATGTGTCTAAAATCCCCATGATGTTCCCATGGTGTCCAGTAAATCCCCATGGTGTTCCCATGGTGACATACAATCCCAATGGCGTTCCCATGGTGTCCATAAAATCCCCATGGTGTTCCCATGGTGTCCATAAAATCGCCATGGGGTTCCCATGGTGTTCCCATGGTGTCCATAAATTCCCATGATGTTCCCATGGTGTTCATTAATTCCACATGGTGTTCCCATGATGTCCATAAAATCCCCATGGTGTTCCCATGGTGTCCGTAAAATCCCCATGGTGTTCCCATGGAGCTCATAAAATCTCCATGGTGTTCCCATGGAGCTCGTAAAATCCCCATGGTGTTCCCATGTTGTCCATGCAATCTCCATGGTGTTCCCATGGGTTTCCCATGATGATCATTTTAACTTACATGGTGTTCTTGATGACCCCATGGGTTTCCCATGGGGTCCCATGGGAATCCCATGGGACCCCATGGGAATCCCATGGGATGCTCATGGGACATTTCTGTAAGGGATCAGCTGGAGAGAACAACATTGACCGGGGGAGCAGGGGAGTGGATGACCGTGGCAGGCTAAGGAAGTGTCTCAACCATTTTGGCCAGGATTGTAGCTCAAAGGATATTCAAATGAAGTTTTACCTTGCTATTTTTTTTAAATTGTTTATGCTGTACTTATGACTTGACTTTTGATGATCCATAGGAGTCCCGCAACTACAACGCAGCTTTCTAACTACCTCTTTTACTACAAAAATAAATCATTGTTAATTTTGTTTTTTTCACTTATTATGACACTTTTGATTTGTCGCAAACAGTTTTTGACAACGTTGAAGACTACTGCCCGGGCTTCAAGTCTAGCGTAGTTGGCAGAGACATTCTTCCACCGCCTGACCTGGAGAGGATATTTGGACTGACAGGAGGGGTGAGACATTTTAAAATATCATTCCAAATATTCCTTACAGAAAGATTTAAAAGCTATTAACCTCCAAGATCTTTTAAAAATCCACCAAAATGAAGTATTTTTGCAGGATTGCAGAAGATGACCCCAGTCGTTATTTCTTATTTAGTTCAGAATTCCAGAAAAAAACCCAATCTTTTTGATCGCAAAATGTGATACATTTTTATATACGCTCAATTTTTTGTACGCAATCTTCTTTTTTTAATTGCAAGAAAAATTGCAGATTACAAATTCTAATTGCCCCCAATGGCTTAGGTATAATTGTGTGCTGCATAGTAAAATAAAATCAGCAAATCTGCAATGTGCACATGCACAGGTGGAATTTTGAAGTGGCCTTTTGATCATTCCGTTATATTCTACTTAACAGAACATCTTCCATGGAGCAATGTCATTGGATCAGCTCTACTTTGCCCGGCCGGTTCCCTCATGTGCGAGCTACCGGTCTCCGATACAGGGCCTGTATCTGTGCGGCAGTGGAGCCCACCCAGGTGATTAACATAATAGCCCCATGATCCATAAGACCACGCCCACTGGGCACTTTCGCAACATTTGCACCACTACAAAGCAACAATGAATGGTGCAGCCTTGCACGTTATACACGAGTGCAGTCATGTTGGACATTTTGTCGGACATAAATCACGCCAGTCACGCCTGTGATTGGTCAAAACATCAAGGGGTGTGACTTCGTGGATTGGTCTGTTTATAACTCTTGGATTTGTGGTAGATTTGTAATAGATGTGCCTACAACACTGCTTGCATCACTGGTATGTGCCATGGCATGTGCGTTCAAACCCTAACGGGGAACATGGTGCTTGTGTTCTTAGGCAAGACACTTTACTGCAATTGCCTCTCTCCACCCAGGAGTATAAATGGGTACCTGTGAAGGCAGACACCAGAATTTGATGATATGCTGCTGTGTTGGTCTCATTGTCCAATGAACAAGGGTAATAATTGTGAAGCGCTTTGAGACCTTTGTGTAAAGCGCTATATAAGCACCGCATTTATTATCACTAGTGCAGGGCCAGTCGAAAATGTGCGTGTTCGCGGAAGGGGCAGTTGAGAACTGCGGCTCGTGCAAACAACGCACATTATTCAATGGTGTGAACGCACACTCGCAAGTTAAACGCACAAAAATGTCGTCGCCCCCCTGGCACTGATATTTACATGATTATTATTGCCAACCAGTGTCAGTCATTGATTTGTTTTGTTTTTGCCTTTTCTCCCCCTTGTGATCTACAGGAGGGGGTGTGACCGGGGCACCGGGACGCAATGCTGCCCAAGTTGCCAGCAAAGATCTCAAAAAACGCGCTGTGAGGAATTAATGTGCCTTCAACCTCTTTTGTAAAACATCAACTTGCTGCCTAAGTTTGATGCCATTATACGGTGATCTATTTTTATAATCTCTATTATTAAGGATGTAACCAATTTACATATTTAAACAAGAACAAAATTAAAACTTTTTACAAATTTTCCAAAATGTTTAAAGAGAACTTTTATAAAATGGAGCCTTGTGTTGATGAAATTTTAATACCTAAATGTGAAATAAAAAGGAGGGAAAACTACTGATCTAACAAAAGTTATTTAAATCCCGGAACAGCTGTAAAAATTGGCAAAGACACGTCCAATTTCATTTTTTATCATTACTACTCCTGCACTGAATGAATGCTTTCAATTTTATACACAGAAAAAAATTAAAGCAAAATACATAAGGGGCCTAAGTTCGCCATCTTAGTTCTTGACATTCTTCAACTACTCCCAAATAAGTGGGGATTAAAACTTGTGTTTGTGGACACCGTTTGGGTGTTGGTTCTCGTCATTCGGAACCTCGTTCTCGTGTTTATGTGACGAGAACGGGGTTTCGAATACGCCCGCAGTATCTGCATGGTATGCAGTGCCTACTCAGTATTTATGATGTGTCATTTGTGATGCTAAATAATTGCGAGAGGTATTGTCTTTGCTGAAATAAGGAAACAATTAAGTATTCAAAAGGAAAATTCTCTGAAACCATCAGGTATTTATTGAGCACTTTATAGTGACTTTTATTTGTATTTTTATTACTGAAGTTTTTCTGATGAAATTGTTTTCATCCAGTTGGTTGAAAGTTCTCAACTGAAATACAGTAAAATAGAGGACAGGAAATGATATTTTACATGTGCTTGGAAAAAAAGTATTCTTAGGTCAGTTTTATTTAATAATTTGTAGAGTAGAGCTCTATGGTTTGAAATATATTGTTTTGTAATAATGTTAAAAAGGAGTTTTCAATATAATCTAAGATGACTGGTAATTCAATTATGTCCATTGATCACTTATCTAATTTAAAAGCAAAGATATGAATTTGCTGTTGTCCATTTAATAAATAAAAATATTTGTTGGAAATGTTTCAGTTCTACATGGCATGACAATTATTTTTAAGGACATCGGCTAGAGTTATAGGGTCTTTAAAGGTAATATACAACATTTGGTTCTTTAAATAATTACACATTTGTCTTGCATATTGAGTCCTAAAAAACCCTCATTTACAAATGACATTAAAATCCAAGGGGGTTAACCATGCGCCTTTTAACGCTACAGCGCTGTGGATCAACGGACACCGATCCCCCCTCGCCCCGCCCACTTTGCCTTATAAACTTTTTGTACTAAGATGTGGCGCCCCCAAGAGGTCGAGAGGTTAAGTTATGTAAGTACAAATGAAGTAGTTTACCTTGACGAGATGCAGATAAGAAAAAGATATCGATAGCGCGCGCCGGATCGACCGGAGAGGGAAATCGGCCTGTCGTCAGCCTAGTCCTGTCAGTTCGTTTCTTGGAACTGGAAGTTAGAGATTCTTTGACATTTGGAAGCAGTCACACGGTAAGTTAAACTTCTGTAATATTTGAACTAACCACATTGATTGACTTGACTTCAGTTTCAAGATCCGAGGAGTTACTCTGGGGGAAAGCCTGCCTGGGCATGCTGGGCTTGCCTTGGACTTCGACTCGTTCGGAACTATAGGTTAATCACTCATGGAGCTGGGAAGGAATAGCTTCCTCAGGTGCGCCTCACTTCAGCATTCAGAGAGCTCCAAGAATTACTGAATGACAGGCAACAGCCACGGTGCACTTTGCCAAAGTTGACACACGTTCAGTGGATGAGTCTGGTTCCATGAACCATTAGATTTTGGGTCAACTCGTACCCGAGTCAACTCGTACCCGAGTCAACTCGTACCCGAGTCAACTCGTACCCGAGTCACCTCGTACCCGAGTCACCTCGTACCCGAGTCACCTCGTACCCGAGTCAACTCGTACCCGAGTCAACTCGTACCCGAGTCAACTCGTACCCGGGTTAACTCGCACTCAGGTCAACTCGTACTCCCCTCCTTTTTTAGTTTGGAAGTACGGATGGATGGTTAACAAAACTTCCGATTTTACCCTCAAAAAACGGCGACTGAGAAATAGTAGTTAATACGCCGCCAGAAATACAAATAAAGTTCAAGGATTAGTTGAAGGCGGTGGTATAAAATGTTGCTCACAATCTGGATGAAAAGGAAAAATGTACCGTTCATCGGCAAGGGCTTCATCGCGAACGGACGGGTACCGCGCGGAGAACATTTTCAAAACGGCATCAGTGTGGTACTCGCGAGTCGACGGAGCCCTCGCTGATAAACGGTAAATTTCACTTTTCATCCAGATCATCAGATATGTTATTTTAAAATTTGTGTAGTATTTTCTCTTAGTAATGATGTTTTTTTCTTTCTGTTTTCAGAGACCCTGGATCACTGAGATTGCGGAGTGACTGTGCGAACTGCTACGTCTTGTTTTTGTTGGTCGAACGTGTTTTAAGGGCATAGTTTTCTTTTTACAAATTTAGTATTTAAGACCTTTTTTTTTTTAAAGAAAGCTGCTATTAAAAAAAGAATTTTGTAATGTAAAAGTAATATTTTTCAACGTTCACTCACTCCATTTTTGGCATCATTTATTGAATAAAAACTGCACGTGGCACAAATCTCTTTGGGAAGATTGGGGGCCCTGAAAGTACAAATCTGAAGAGAAAATATATTACAGGAAACTTAAAAGAGTCACACGGACATTGTTATTTAATTTATAATGATTCTTTAATATGTTGGTAATTTTTTGTACAATTAGTTCGGTAAATGTCGTAAAACAAAAATCTTGTGCAGCTTAAATAAAGTTTCTGCGATAAGTTCAACTAGAATATTATTTTGGTAACAGAAATGTAGGATTTTTAATTATTTGTTTACATTTGAGGCATCAAGGAAGTAAACACGATAAAGGAAAATGGTGGCTCGTTTCATTCAGAGATGCTCTTTCTATAAGTTTTAGGGGACCAATTTGTTAGTTGATCCTTGGGTGTGAAAGATTGTTTGACATTAGCAAATTGTAATTCAAGTGCAAGAGAAAGTTTTATTATCTTAAACAAAACTGAGCTAATCGGGTTTCGTCCTCGAAACTTGACATGATTCGATTCATCATGAACTGTGTGACAGACCATCCGATCGATCGATTTGAGCATCAGAAAATGGTTCATCGGAAAACCACAGGATCATCTGTAATATAAAAATAAAATAAATTGATAAAAGCATGCATACTTTGGCCGATGAGTGCGCGCACAGGCTCGGCAAAAACGATGTCACCGTGCACGGTGCGACCACGTTGACCGATGAGTGCGCGCACAGGCCCGGCAAAAACGATGTCACCGTGCACGGACAAACACATGGACCGGCGAGTGCGCGCACGGGCCCGGCAAAAACGATGTCACTGTGCACGGTACGACCACGTTGACCAGCGAGTGCGCGCACAAGCTCGGCACAAACGATGTCACCGTGCACGGACAACCGGCCATATCCCTCCGATCTTCCGTTCGTTTCACTGATTTTCTTTTCGAAAATAGGCAACTATTTTGAGCTGCGGGTACGAGTTGACTCGGGTACGAGTCAACTCGGGTACGACTTGACTCGGGTACGAGTTGACTGGGGTACGACTTGACTCGGGTACGACCTAACTCGGGTACGACTTGACTTGGGTGTCAATTTTGGGGTACGAGTTGACTCGGGTACGAGTTAACTCGGGTACGAGTTGACCCATTTCCAACCATTAGCCTTGTGACTATTTTAGGGGGGGGGGGGGGGTAGCTGGAGTTACCCAGCCCTGAGTTTTATCATTGGGTTGTCTATTAGACAACCCAATGATAAAAATCAGGGCTGGGTAACTCCAGCTAGGGGGGGGGGGAACAGTCTGGTAATTATCAGAGACGCCATGCTTTTTGGAAACCATCAAAATTCTTCCCCAAAATACCATGATTACTGGATAACTAGAATCTCTGAAGGTACGGAATTCAACATTTTCTTTTTTTAAAAATACTTATTAGAAGTCGCAATATAGCTGGGGTGATTTTCAGTTGACAAACTAATTTCAATCTTAAACTTATTTTCTGTTCCTCTAGCAATGGGACTATCCATGCACAGGCCTTAGCTAGTGTGACTGAGTGATAATACGGAGGTAGTCCAGTATTTCAGTCACATTTAACTTAAGGGACTAATCCTAGACTAGTACAGCAAAAGTAGACTCCCTCCATTACTTTGAAAGATGTGAACAAAAACATCTCGTGAAATGCTCCGGCAAGGTGCTAGAGCCCGAGGAGAATAAATCAAAGGGTACTATGGTAGGGGGCATGACGATATTGTAGTGTGGTCAGGTGCCACAGCGAGACAAACAAATAACTTGGTAGAGAGAAGATGTTTAGACTTCAAGTAAATTAATATATTTAGAAATCGAATTCTTCTGCTTATTTGTACTACATGTTACTAATTACTTCTAATTTTAGGGGCAACTTAGGGCTATGATTTAAGTTCTCCAATTAAAGTACTGAATAAAGGAATTTGTTGTAAAATAATTGTAAGGAAACAATTAAATATGAGAAATGACAAAGGGTGGGGCTCGGTGATGGTCACAGTGAGTGGGGTAGCTTATGGTAAAAGCACCATAACTCTACTCCCAACCGAGGGGGGATTTAAAAGTTGTCATGCACTACAACTTACGTGGTCATTACATCAAGGCCTTTCCTTGCCACGCCCAGACAAAACCTGCACAGCCCTCCACAGACGACCTATCCCTAGCACAGCACTGGGTAGTAGGCCTACTGAAGCACATATGGCTAGTTCCGATTCGATGCACATGGGGCTAACAATAGAATTATGCAAATGCTGCATGCCTGGCTGGACTGATACACACTCAGCTCAGGGGTGTGATGGATGAGAGGGGCAGGCTAAACCAAAAATAGAAGGTGGGGAGGAAGGTAATGACGAAGGGGTATTTTTTTATAACAATATATTGGCTTATCACGTGCAGTTAGTATCAATAACTCGTTGGGTTTTCAATGTAAAATTCATTTTTTTATTATTTTGTCTCGGCACAGATGCGGACATGATTAACGCAGTGCGTGCGGCCTTCCATCAGCGGGGGCAAGTCAAGCCTCTGATTGGTTGCAGCTATCATGTGACTTCCAGATGCTTTTCAAAGTCGAGCCAAAGATGTAGGTCCGTAGGACAAGACGCTCTCACACAAGAATATGATGCTGTCATCATCGGTGCTGGACACAATGGACTAACTGCCGTGAGTTGGATTCAGAATATTAAAAAAAAAAAAATTAACAGAGGATGCGATATGTAACTGAATACACGAATGTTTAAACTAAACTGCTTGAAAGGGGCTTTAAAAATACTCAAAAGAGCATGGGAGGAACACACAGACAGGAATACTTGGTGAACATACTGCCCAGACAAATGTTCTGAAAAGATGCGTTAATGATTTGCAGTTATTGAAACATTTTAGCATTTTATATTTTTAGCCTTCTATACATGTACACGCATGTCATACATTTGTGCACGCATGTCGGATATCATTTGTTGTAGCTTAACGGATTGGTCTCTTAAAGGCAGTAAATTTTGCTTCAAAAATTGTATCACATTGTGAACAATTCATTTTATTACCAGGCAGCCTACCTTCAGAAAGCAGGGCTCAAGACCCTTGTCTTAGAGAGAAGGCACATCATAGGAGGTGCTGCAGTCACTGAAGAGATAGTACCAGGTTTGATTCAGATTCTTAATTTTAGTGACTTAAAGCGAGACATCGTTGTATTATTTAGAAACAATACCTACATGTAGTATGAATAATCTTGGATGATCCAACAAATCTTGGACAACAATTCTTAAAGAGACTGTGGAATCCATGTATGTGAACAATAGATGCCACTTTGTGACCATTTTTGAGAGCTTATTTTGCGTCGGGAGGTAGTCGAGCTGACCGACACTGAGGGACCAGTAATTCCAACTATTTTCCAGAAAAAAACATGCTGTATTTGTTTTACTACACCTCGTAAATATTTAGTAGCTCGTTTTTAGTAGCCTCACTGCTTTGTCGATAATGGCCTTCGTTGATTTTGCATCTTTATTCAGCACAAGATATTCAAGCTCTTCATCAACTATTTCCATTCCGACATTCAAAACAATTTTTGTAATTAATGTGTCCTTATACAGGTTTCAAGTTTTCCCGATGTTCCTACGTCCTTAGTCTGCTGCGACCTGATATTTACAAAGATCTGGAGCTGAAGGTCAGTCCGTTCTTTCAAAAATAGTGACCCGACCATAGGCGTCACCAGACTAATTTCAGGGGGGGGGGGGGGGGGAACGATGACAATTTGCCAACACACCGAAAGGTGGTCAGGATATTGTGTAGAAAGCATTTGCATAGGGGAGAAAAACCATGAAGTGTTGTGTAAATTTATGTTAATTATTGAAAGATTTACAAGGGACGTCACATCTGAGCTCCATAATGTCATAACCACCCATGCATTGTTTTGTCCAAATGTAGATTTATTGCGTTATATTTTGATAAAAAAAACACCACTCTGGTTTTAAGTACAGTGATTTATCATTCTATCTGCCATTACTCACACATGTAGCGTAAGCTGTCCCATTGAAACCAGCACGTTTATATATTTTTTTACCTGCTCAGAATCCCGTTACTGTGCACAATTGACCTGAAGACTAATTTGGTAGAGAATATAGTCACAGTTTCTCTTCTTTTTTTTGAAATTGTAGAAGCACGGACTAAAGGTTCACATCCGAGATTCCTACGCCTACACACCTCTGCTGGAGGACCCGGGGCCCAACGGCAAGCCTCGATCACTCCTCTTGTCTTGCGATCAGAAGAAAACCTACGAGCAGATTGCCCAGTTCTCGGAAAGAGACGCAAAGGTGGGTGTATCAGTGACAAGGCAATGGGAAGAGAGTCTTCTGCATATCCACAAATTTCTGACTTTTGAAAAAATTGCTGGAGATTGATGTGAAGTAAGGAGATTTATACGAATTTAGCCAATTTAAGTACAGTTGTCCAACTGCACATAAACACGTCAAAACGCCCATGTCTCCACAGGGTACCGTGTACCAGATCTTAGGGATAAACAGTCCACCCTTGGCATACGCAGAAATAACAGAGAAGTTCGCGTTCTGAAGTGAGTACAAAATCCTGAAAACTTTGGATTGTGATATTTCACATAGTTTGTAATGCTGCAAACACCAATGCCCATGAATTTGTATATTAAATTGAAATTAATTTAAATTCTGCCACATTTTTTCAAACTTCTTCTTTATGTTGTGAGAAAATATACAAAACACAAGCACATAGACGTAACAAACCTCTGGATGCTAATGGTACCAACTGATCCAGTAAGCCACGTCCCATGTTGTTCTGACCAATCACAGCCATGATTGTCCTACATGCGTGCACAAATGTCTGACATGTGTGCACTCGCATATGACACATGTGTTAACGCCATGTGTACAGTGGGCGGGGCCTAAATGTTCGGTCTATTGATCTTCAGGGGGTGCAATTCCATGTGATATGCTCTCGTCCAATCAAGAGACAGACTCTGTGACAAAGTTGTTATCACATGACATACTATTGTTTTTAGAGATATTTTGAGTATGAGCATCAGATGACCGAAATCGCTCAGGCCCTAGGACCACTCTTAGATGCCCCGCCTGTAGAGCTGTCTACACTAGGTGACGGTACCATGAGCGATCGCATGGACATGTGGCCTGGGCTCAAGGCAATGCTACAAACAGGTACAGCTTGTAATAAGTTTCATGTCATTGAATTCTGTGACTTGAGATGATCGAGTCAAGTAATTCGAAAGAAGCGACTTGAGTTTAGCAGATTTTTTTCTAAGGCTCTGACTCAAGTGGAGTCAAGTCATTAGGATAACAAGGTCGGGTCAAGCCACATTCTTCATCATCATCATCATCACGTTTCCTGCACAAGAGGCGTGGAAGCCACACGTGCCATGTGGTTGTGCCAGAAATCTCATTTCTGGGTGGCATTCTTCGCTGTTACATAGTCTTGCTCAACTTAATTTGTATCCCTGACATTTAGTATCGTGAATTGAGATTAAGTTTCAGTTTTAGGTTAAGTTTCAGTTTTAGGTTTTTTAATTTCTGGTTCAATGGAACAAGGTAAAAGCCCATGGTAAGACATATATTTACATGTGCCTTGCAAGTGCAAAGAAACTTACGGTACTTGACATGAAGTTGTAGCTTGTTAGTAGGCATTCTAGTTATGTTTGATAATTAAGGACTTGAGTGTTGACCAGGCTTTCACGGGAGTTGACTGCTTGAAAAGTTTGCTGTAGTAAACAGTTGTTGACGGTTGCCGTGGAACATGGCAATTTTCATTCCGTAAGTGTGCCAAAAAATTGTGGTAAAATATAAAGCTAAGGATAAGAAAAGATGTCTACTCAGTGTTTAATGACTCAATTCCGTTTTCTTGACAATTTTTGCAGGAAAGGCTTTGGGGAAAAACCTCCCACAGTTTTATGAGCTCTTGACTGCTCCAATGGACAAGGTAAGTTGTTATGAAAAATTACACAACTTCATATTGTTGTAGATTAATTGCCAGGGATAGGCTTTACAATTACAGGTTGTTCCCCTGTTTTTTGTTCCGTTTTTGTTTTTGTTTTGTTTTTATTTTGAAATGTTTTCTTGGAGTACCCAAATGTTCTTAAATTCTGCATAGTGGCATAGCCACTGATAATTAAAATGCACAGCATACCTTAGTGTCTAAATAGTTTCTTGCCCCCTTTGCCATTTTCAGCGACCAACTAGAAAATGTCAACATTTTAAAATTATTTCATGGAGTATGGTGTATTATAGAACATTGTTTACTGGCATCACCAGTCACTATTGCACCTCTAGGACCACAAGAGGGTCCTATTTCCCTTGACCTATTTCACATGTCACTCATTGAGTGACACGGGAAATAGGTAACATATTTCCCTCGTCACTCACAGTCCTTGGGGGCATAGATGTGCATTAGAGGCCCCATAGCTCATTAATGTGCATGTAATAGTCCATTACTACATGGCACAGTTAGAATTAATGGTAATTGTTTGGCTTTCCTTGCCGTGTCTTAGATTCTTGATCGATGGTTTGAATCGGAACCCTTGAAAGCAACCCTAGCTACAGACTCTGTGATCGGTGCCAATGTAACACCAAAGACTCCAGGAAGTGGGTTAGTATTAAAGGGGCTATACAAATCAAAGTGCCTTCCAGTCAAGCAAAGAAAGCAGTTCTCATTACCGGGCATGACTTTAAAGGGCCGACAAATTTCTCCGTAAGTTCCCCGTTTGAGACGGGGTAAGCAAGACCTTTGCAAGGAGTTCCACAGTAATCAGTACAAGGGAAGAAACTTGAAGAGTGCTTCAGTAAGATTTGAGGCTTTGCATGGTGGAGATACTAAATAATGAAAGGTTTGCGGAAACACCATGTGTGAATAATTGCTCAACTAAGAGAATGGTTCTGAAAAGAACCAGAGGTATAAACTCGACGTTCCGGTCAGTATGCTCTGACCGTCTTCAGGAGAGAGTTTATACCTCTGGTTCTTTTCAGAACCATTCTCTTCGTTGAGAAATTAGAAGAGTGCTTCATCGTGCCAGCTTTGGAGAAGTTATCCAATTGATGAATAGGAAGTTAAATCTTAGTTTTCCATGTTTCCCCTTAGGTACGTCTTGATCCATCATGTGATGGGCGAAGCAGAAGGCATCAAGGGGGCCTGGGGTTACGCTGAGGGGGGCATGGGAGCAGTCTCCAGGAGTATTGCCAATGCTGCCGAGGCCCATGGAGCTACCATCTTGACCGACAAGGTAACAGAAAACTAACACCCATTTCAAACTGGAATTTCAAAGTCACGCCAAACTAGTAAGTATTAGGAGCGACTCGAGTCGACCCAAAAGACTCGACCCTGGAGTGGTTCCAAAATCTTCTGCCAAAGTTGCTCCTGTTTATCTTTAAAAAAAAGGGGGGGGGGCTCCTCAATTTTTTCTGTGATACCTTTGCATCTTTTGATACCAAAAACATAACATTATGACCATGGGTTACCGCGCAGTCCTGGATAATTGATAGTTTCCATGTTTTATCATGAGCTTTTCGTAATTAATATTTTACATTAATTATGCAAAAACAAATTCAGCCTGTGAGTACAGTGCTCTTGGATTCAGACCAGAGGGCCTGTGGAGTTGTCTTAGAGGACGGGACTGAAGTACGCAGTAAGATGGTGCTGTCCAACGCTACGGCCAGAATCACCTACCTCAACTTGACCCCTCGGGAGGCTCTACCCAAGGAATTCATTGAGGAGGTCCAGGCCATCGATTACACTTCCCCTGTCACCAAAATCAACGGTAATTTTACTAAAAAGTAAAACACAAAAGACAATCAATGTTCCATGCAGTCTAAATTTCAGAATCGAACAAGTCCAATTGACCGTTAGTCAACCTAGTGATCAATGCCTGATGTTAGTGACCTCAAGGCACTAAAAGCAATGTGTGAACATCTCTAGTCGAATGATGGCCAAAACATTATCATGAAACTTCTTGGTCTTTACTACTTGCTGTGCATTGTGACGCCCAAGGTTATTGCAACCATTGATTAAGCCAATGTTGGCAGGCTGTCTCAAATAGGCAACTAGACTTGGTGCAAGTGACGATTGTCACTTGCAAAAACAAAATTTCCATTTAGGGGTGACTACGTTCGAAAGATCGACTGTCGTGGTCATTTGAAACAACTATAAGTCCATTCAACAGAAAATAAGTACTAAAGTATGTGCTTGTCAGACGCCAAATTCTGTTTGGGTTGCTTGATCTTACTACTTGCAAATTGTGAATTACTGATCTATTCACTTCCAGTTGCCGTGGATAGACTACCAGATTTTAAGGCCAGCCCCACTGGGCAAACGCAGCAACCCGGCCCCCACCACACCTGCACTATACACCTGAACTGCGAGTCGACGGAGCTACTTAACGAGGCCTACCAACCATGCCAGACTGGCCACATCGCGGACCGACCAATGATCGAGATGTGTATACCATCCTCCCTGGACCGTACCATTGCGCCGGAGGGGTGCCACGTCCTGTCGCTGTTCACGCAGTACACCCCGTACCATCTTGCCGATGGGAAGGAATGGGATGAGGAGGCAAAGAACGAATACGCTGACAAGGGTGAGAATGATTTCCTTTAGCGATTGAGGGGGCTGTTGCGTGAAATTTACGAATATACTTTAATTCAATTTTCCGATAACTGGGGTGGTTTTTCAACGTAAGTTGGTTACTTTTCACCTTGACTTTGACAAGTAAGCAGGAGGTCGTGGGTTCGAGTCCCATCTGAGCAAGTCTGTGGACGATCTTGGATTTTTTTTCACAAGCTTTGACTGTACTGAATTAACAATACTTGTATAAGTTATACTGTATAAAGTTATTGGGCACGAACCAATTTGACAAATTTACATTTTTATATTGGACTAGAAATCAAATGCAGCTCAAATCAATTAATTTGTTTACTTGGGAGGTTTGATTTATTTTTGTCATTTTTTTCACTCAGTCTTTAACTGTATTGAAGACTACTGCCCTGGCTTTAAGTCTAGTGTTATTGGTAGGGACATACTACCACCGCCGGAGCTGGAAAAGATATTCGGGCTGACAGGAGGGGTAAGTGTGATGTCAAATATGATTAGTTGGTTAGAGACATGAATTTGAAAACAATGGAGGTAGGCGGAGGGTGAAAATAGACCCAAAAAAAATACTTGAACAAAAATTGCCTAGCTCAATCATGATTTGTCATTTACATTAGCAGTACAAAATTAGTTTGGATATGGCAAGTAAACATCTGATGTCCGGCCGTAATTTCATTCGTTGTGTCGGCAAGGGAACAGGTGTTTTAAACCAGGAAAATCCAACAGCTTTGAAAGCTGGTGGTTTGGTGCAATGAACTCCAAATCTTGTGGGTAGTTCTGCGCATCGTGGGTTCGAGTCCAGCCCGAGGTGTTGTGATGCGTGTGTCCTTGGGCAAGACACTGTGTCGTAATTCCTTCTCCCCAATCAGGAGTAAATTTTAAAATGGGTACCCGTCATGGCAGAGGTGGTTGTGTGTTTGGTTTAGTCTGTTGCAGCATCAAGCTGTGGACTCCCCAGGGAGCTGAGATGGTCTTTGGAATGTTTTCATTGGATCGATGAGCAGGGGTAATAATGATGTACATGTGCCATGCCTTGAACCCCTGTTTGGCTTTAAGTATCTGATTATCTGAAAAATATGTGAATATCTGAAAAATATGTGATTATTTGGTACTTATTTCTAATACCATTTTTTTTTACAACTTGAAATGCCTGATTTCTTGTAATTGGTAAAGATAGGTGTAATGAATATCTACAGTCAGGGTGGCCTCAGTCGTTAACCCTAACTTTGTTATTTCTTGAATGTGGTCCTTGGAGGGGTGACCACTGCCTCAATCCTGCAAAATCCTCCAGCAATCGCTGTCAATATGTTGAGGCAGAGCCAGTGACATCCTTGAGAAGTGTGGAGGATTTCAAGTATAATCTAGGCCTAAATTTATGCACGGCTGAGCATAAACACAATTAGGTACGGCCCAAGACCTTAACACAGTGCATCCTCCAAAATCAGCAACATATCTTTGCCATATAGCCTAAATCCTGAAAAAAATCCTCCATTTTGCAAAGAGGATTTGGGAAGGTTAGGATTAAGCATATTTTTGACCTTTTTCCTTCAGAATGTCTTTCACAGCACAGATTTACTTTGCACGGCCCGTGCTTTCCTCAACGTACAGGTCCCCAGTGCAGGGGTTGTACCTTTGCGGAAGTGGAGCCCACCCAGGTACTCTTAATCGGTGCCTTTCAAAAATAATGGCTGTCCCTTTTTATTTTTGCTTTTGGTTTCCCCACTTTGCTCGCAGAATATCTTTCATGGTGCGATGTCATTGGATCAGCTTTACTTTGCTCGGCCTGTGATGTCTGCAAGTTATCGGTCCCCGATCGCAGGGCTGTATCTTTGCGGTAGCGGTGCTCACCCAGGTAAAAATGCTTATCACAAAATTAAAAAAAACTCTTCTGTCTGTTCTGTCTCTGTCAGGTTTAAAGTCATTGATTTTACACTGCACTTCAAAATGGAATAGAATCGATACAATTTACCTCTGAAATGAACTTTTATTTATTTTTTTTTTTCAACCTGTTGTTTTCTGTGAACATCCACTACCCTACACACTTGATGAAGTGGGAAACTGGTTTTCTGGCCCATTTATGTTTGAAACAGAATTTTGCAATTTCCTAAAGGGAAAGCAGACATTTTGAAAGGAAAAAATCGGTGGCCGTACTTGTTGGTAAATTGTAACCCATATTTGGAGGTCACACTTCGACTGGTGATGGGTTCGAATCCCGGCCAGACCGAGATAAACATTCTTTTGTCCTCAAAAACCCTTGAACTGCGGTATTCAGTATTTATAAAAACCAAGCTTCATGGCAAAATCTCAGTGCATGTTTCCGGCACTAATAGTAACTGTTTCTGGAACGCCGTGATTCAAAGTGCTGTCTTGCATGTATCTTGTTCTCATTTTTTTTTGGCCATAAAAATTAATGCAAACTTTGCATAAGCATTTTGCTTATAATGCTTAAATGACACTGGCACAGTATTAGGCACACTGAATGCTAATGTATGAAAAAAAAATATGATATGGCTGTAAATAAAGCGATATTTGAGTGAAGTATGTAATTTCCATATTTACAAATTTGACACGTTACCATTCTAGACCATTGAACGTTGTTTTATTGTACTCTGTAGGCGGGGGTGTGATGGGTGCACCAGGGCGGAATGCAGCCCAAGTTGCCAGCAAAGATCTGAAGAGACAAGGCAAGAAGAAATAAACGTCATCGTGATCACGACATGCAAGTGTCTGCATGATTTAGCCCTGTGCATCATACGCATGTCAGACCTTTGTCAGTTTTGTGGTGGCGCAATCGTCGCTGTGATAGGACAGAAGAAATTTTCTTCGCCTTTGTGTATTTGATGAATCAATATGCTGCCAAGAATGTTGTACTAATGGACTTTGGGAATTATGTATACTTTCTGTTTCCTCACCCTCCCAAGGACGGACAGAACACACTGTCTGAAACGTCGAGCTCTACACTCAACCAACCAGTGTTTTTTTTTTCAGAACCACATTTCTTCCACAGGCATGCAACTGGGAAATCACAAAAAAAGAGGAAATTCAAATTTTTTCCAGACTTTGTACAGTGTTTTTCTATTTTCAATGGCACACATGGGAAGTAAAAAAAGAGGAAATCAGCTGATCCGAGGAAAAGTTGCATGCCTGCTTCCAAGAAGAGATTACTTTCCACATGGTGTTACCCGCAATCTTTCCACTTTGATACATGCTATCATGTGCAGTTTTTGAACCATGTTTAACGACTATTGTAATTTACATTCATTAGTAGATCTATTTTTAGATTTCATTCTTGTGATTTATCAGATACATAGAAATAAAATTGTCGATACTTATTTTTTTAACAAGACAATCGTTTAGATGCTTATTTCTAAAAGATTTGAAATTTTAACATCTATATTGAACCATTTCTAATGACTGAAATATATTCCGTACATGTATGTGTTAATTGCACAAAATTAAATTTTAACCTTCAAAAGTTTCTTTGCTTCCAATCTATGCAAGTGTCTATTCAATTTTCCATGAGGTGACATATTTTTAAAAATTCAATAAATTGTTTCCAGCTTTGGATTATCGTTTCAGTAATTTTCAGTTATGTACTTTGCTTTTATGTTATTCAGAATTTTTGAGATTTTGAGCATTTCTTAATTTTTTTTGAGGAGGGGGGCAGAATTGTGTTAATGTCAAGCTTTACCTCTTGTAGATAATAAAATGTGGCTTGAAATTTGGTGTAAAAAATTACTATTTAAACCAATTGTTTTCATGTTTAAAGGTCAATAAATCAAAGTATGGATGTTGTTAATTTAATTTTATGGGTGAAAAAAATCCTTGAAGTGAATGTTTTGATTTTCCATTATGAAATTATGTAAAGTGCTTTTTAAAGGAAAGGCTAAAATCCTTAAGACTTTGAAAGCGTTTTTCATAAATTGTATATTTATGTCAAACAACCTTGGATAACTATGAAAATGCGAGGCGTTCCTGCAAAATGAGACTAGACAGAGGTCAAATTTAGGGTTTGCAGGTATTGGGAAAGATATCAATTTCTCCTTATCGACACGTCCAAAAAGTGAATTACTGAGAAAAAGGCCTTTACAGTTTTGAGTTTTGTAGTCATGAAAATGAAAGATGCCAATTGTTTTTCCATGAAAACACTATTTTTCCCACAATTTGTATAGTATTTCTTTAAACTATAGGTAGTACCGTAATTTCCTGCGGATAAGGTGCGCGGCGGATAAGGCGCAGGTCCCTAAAATCACCCAAAAAAAATTCAAACGCCAACAGATAAGGCGCACCGCCGCATAAGAAAGCACTAAGGGGGATCAACGCATTGCGGCATTGTTGGAATGAAAGCACGATCATGGGGGATCAACACATCGCGGCATTGTTGGAATGAAAATACGGTCACAATGTCTGGAGAGTTGAGCCTTGGTTGACCGCATTATTGATTGCGGCATTGAAAGAATTCTTCACACAAAGACCGTCACTTTGAACTCAAGCGACACCAGATAAGGCGCACCTGTAGATAAGGCGCAGCGATGTTTTTGTGGTCTAGAAAGTCAGATAAGACGCGTCTTATCCGCAGGAAATTACGGTAGACATCAAAGATTACAAATATCAATATATCTGAAAGTTGAAAAAAAACTACCCCATTCGGCATTTTGCATTTTTCTCCACTGCGGCCCGTGTCCAGTTCCGTCTCATTTTGCCAGAGCACTTCACAATTATCCAAATAAATTGCAAATTATGTATTTACACATGTTTTTTTTGTATTCAAGAAATGAATTGCATGAAGAAATGAACCACAATGAAATAAACAGACACAATCAACACACAGAATTTACTTCACTCCTGTTCCGTTTGGTGTTATTGATAAACCTTTTGACATGAGAGCTGTTAATGTACAAGAATCTAGCCACGCCCCCCTTTAGTTATTGAAACCACGTGATTGGTTGGTGCTTTAGTCTGTTGCCATGGCAACTGATTCCTCGGTGTGCTTGCCCTTGCCCTTGTCTCGCTGGGAGCGGGACGCGGCCTTGCGCTCCAACAGTCGCTTGCGATCCTTGTCCATCTTCAGTTTGACGATCACGACCTGAAAAACAGTAACAAAATACAGGCAACAAAATTAACTACCTAACCCTTGAGCGCCCCGAGCCTAGCAAACTCGAACAAATGCCCCCCCCCCCCCCCCCATTTTGTTGTGCTGCTAGGGGAACAATTTTCTACTTACACATCTGTTATCAATTTCAAATATACTACATGCAGTAAGCACAGCAAAGACCATCCACACAAATCTCCACAGGCATAAGAATGGCTATGCCTTGAAAAACACTTTGCAGTTTATAGCAGTACATTTCTGCCGCAGAAAAGAACACTTTTCAGCTAACCACTGAAAATCTTCCCATGCTGAAATTTGTTGTCTTGCACAGAAAAAAACTCTGCGCTAGCCCTGTTAGCATGAAATTATTAGTAAGCAGATGTACAGTAAATCTTTGCTAAATGAAATTTAGCACAACCATAACATTGGCTGCTCAAAGCATAATCATTGCTTTGATCATTTGTATCCATTATTAACCCTCCTGCTATTTAAACAGTCACAGTCAAAAGTCACTTCCACTTCCCCTGCTATACTTTTAACAAAGGCTAGTCATCAGCAGTCAGATCATATGTCAAGCAAGCACTGTGGCTAGTATGGCTAGTCAAACTGGGTCAACAGACAAAGCAGGCAAGTTGTGGCATCAGCTGTTTTATCACTCACTGTGAGTCAAAGCATAGCTGTATCAAGTTACTTAAACAGTCCCAGCCAGTCAATCCTGCTTTATGTAGGCTGGGAATTCCTAACTGTTGAAAACAGTCACTTGATTGATTTTGACTGAAAGGACTACTAAGCACAGAATGTATGTTTGCATATGAGGGTTAAAGTAAGAATCTTGCCCAATGAAAAAAAAATCAACAAGTCCAAAATCCAGAGACCAAACCGCCTCACAGTCTCTGGTCAATACCACATGCCGTGCCACAGGACATTAACATTGTTCACTGCGACCAGCTCTCATAGTCTCAGCATTGGCCTTTCATGTACTGGTGTTGATGGCTCCATGCAGCAAGATCCCACAGACTTTTACACCTGATGCACTGTGTTGTGTCTGGCAGGGTTGGAATTAAGTACGTACCTTGCTAGGGTGAATGCCAACAAACACCTGGGCTCCGTTGGCTTTCTCCCTCTGGATCCTCTCAATGTAGATCACAAACTTCTTCCTGTACACCTGCACGACCTTGCCGACCTGCTGACCTTTGTAGTGACCTCGAGAGACCTGATTCAGGAGAGTTTTTAAAAAAACACACATTAGCCCTTGTGCAGCACATTTCCAAAGGAATATTCAAACACCTGTACATTGAATGCACCAAGACTACTGAAAGTCTTCAAGATCAGGTTTATATTGGGACCGAACTTTGGCGATAAATTGAAAGCCTTAGACTAGACACAAAATGGACAATTGAATTGGGTAGTACAAGTATCTTGGCATTACTTTGGAGAGAATGTACAACCTAAGAAATAGACTAGTGACTTGGTACCTGATGCAGCTTTTGACATGTTTTATTTATGCTGTACTGAAGAAGTTTTAGACTGGTTGTTTTGCTTACCAGTTTATTTTTTTTGTCTTGCTTGTTTTCAAAAAGTTTTGGGGCTCTCAATACCGAATGAGAGTCCCAAATTTCAGACTGCTACCAACCTGAACCTCGTCATCTTTGCGGATGGGCATGCTGCGGACATTGTGCTTGGTCCTCAGGTCCTTAGACAGCGGTGAGCTCATCAACTTACGACGGATGTGCGAGGGCGCATTGAAATGACGCTTACGGCTCTTCCGCCGAGAGGACGACACAAACGGATTGCGCTTCATGGTGCCCTAAAATCAACAGGAAAGAAAGGGGAAAATATAAAATTTCATGACTTCACAATTTACCATCATGACCAGATGATATGCCCATCAAATCATTCGAATGTCTAATTTTAATTTGTTTGCAATGTACACAATCAAGAAAGACAAAGTCAAAGACTGGCATCTAGTTTTGTGTACAAATCCGGCAGCAGCCATTTTCTGCGGTGGGCGGTGGCACCAGGCTCACATGAGTCGTGCTCAGGTAGTACGCATGCACTCCTACTCCTTCGACCAACAGCATGAACAGGAATACCAAAATGCACTCACGCCTCGTCTTTGACTTGCGAAGTTGCATGCAGCATGCACGAGAGCATGACACCACTGCAGTAACTGCTTTCATTAGTTCTAATTCTAATTTCTGGTGACCAGATTCCACTATAACGTTATGCCTATTCAGTCTTTATAAAATTTTTATCAACATGATAAAGATTCCTAGGCTTTGGCATGTCATGCATGTTGCTTTACCAAACTTGTCTTTACTTTAGTTTTTACATGTACTGCATTTGGGCATTTCCTTAAGGCTTAATCTATCAATTGTGTCTATGGTTTGGTAAACCATATTTTCATATTAACAAGTCACTCTAATTATGTTTACATTATACAGGCATGTACAAAAGGCGTAGTTTTACAACTACAAGAAGGATATCTCATTAGGCCTATATGCTGATTGTACGTGTGCTTATGACGGGACACAAGTTTATTGGATGGTCACTATAACCCTTAATTTTAAATGCATTAAATACAACATTTATTGGAAAATAATACGGATAATGTAGTCTTCATGGTTTAAACCTTATTTTAAAGCGCACCAAACAATATGATGCTCATTTACAAAAGGGATATTTAAAGATTGAAATGATCCAAACTGAAACTCACAAGACCCCAAAGGTGGCAATGCAAAAAAGAGGCCGAACGAACCTCGTTCCCATGGTAGTGCACGTATGGCACAGTAGCATGCGATAAACCAATGCGATAAACCAAAACCTCACGGGGACGAGGTGAAACCGAGTATCGCTGGTTTCTTCGACTTGATATACGTTACAAATGGGCAGCAGAGTACCAATCAACAATAATGGCCGCCAGGTTGCTCAACAGAGTTCGGCAGGTTCGTGTTTTATTTTTGTAGTCTAACTTTTTTTATCCGATTACATTATTACTGATATATTAAAGGGGGAATAAGCATCATTTGAGGTGCCATGTTAATTACTTATCGACAGGGAAAGTGTTTATTCAACCTCATCATACCACTGCGCCTCGTGGCCGTTCCTCATGCATGTCATGCATGTCGTGACATTGATGCAGTCATTGTATATATGTTGGGGGCGGGGCAATGTGTAAACAAGGGGGGGGGGCGTGACACGTATTTCATCAAAGTGTGAACTACTTGTGAAAGAATGTAGTATCCAGACACCACTTCTTGGTTGTGTATAAAGTCAATGCAGAGTCAAATGCATTTTCGAAGAATTTTCTAACAAAATTGAAAATGTTTTTCAGACCCAGATTGATGTCTTTTCAACATTTTTGCAATGTCATGACTGACCTTCATTAAGATAATAATAGTAGGCCTGTAGGCCTCCTAGGCTATGATGAAAAAAGTTGCGTCAGGATGCAACATTCGGAAAGAATGCTGCATCCCTATGCCACTTCAGCGGTTGTGTACAAAGTCTATGGAGAGTCAGAATTTTTTTTAAAGTCTTTCCTAACAAAATTGGAAATGTTTGAACTTATGCCCTCAAAAATTTAAAACCACTGTACAAAGACTTGTCAAGATTGGAGTTTCCTCGTTTTTGTTTGTTACTTCAAAGTTACATGTCTCTAAACTTTTCGTTTGTTGGATGTGATTATCCATATTTGACATCTTTCGTTTTGTTTCAAGCATCTGCCAAGAGTCAGCAAATTGTCCTGTCGGGCGGACTTGAAGAATACCCCACCATCATGTCATCAGTTAAGAAACATAATCACCCCTCTCGCACGGAGGTTAACCACAGTGGCCGATCCAAGCCAAAGCTATGCAGCTGCCAGCGGTCACCAGGCAGGCCGACTACCAGCGACGCAGTTATCGGAGGAGGAACAGTTGATGAAGGATATGGTAGCCAAATTTGCTAAGGAGCAAATTGGTCCGTTGGTGCGGGAGATGGATGACAGAGGAGAGACAGACATGGGAATTATTCAGGCGATGTTCGACAACGGGGTAACAAACAAAAAATGAATCTGTAATTGTAACTAAGCCAATCTGTAATTGTTAAATATATATTAAGCTGATTATGCCAGTTGCAGTAATCAATCATTTATTTACTTTTTCCAAATACTGGTTTTGACATTTTTTTACCAAGTGTCTCTGTATTGTCCCACTTTCAAACACGTTTCATCCCTAGATCGTTTATTTTAGGTTTTTTTTTGTGAACTCATAATTGACTTAATGATTCATCCATTGAACAATTTCAATGTTGTATTTCATTGTAGCTAATGGGAACTGAGATTCCCGAGTCTTACGGTGGCCCTGGGGCCTCCTTCTTCCAGTCCAACATCATTGTTGAGGAGTTAGCTAAGGTAGACCCTTCCATTGCCGTCTGTAACGACATCCACAACACCCTGATTGTCACTCTGTTTCTCAAGTACGGCACGGAGGACCAAAAAAATAAGTACCTGCCCATGCTGATGGCCGATCAGGTAAATGTTCTTCTTTGAAATCCCGAAACTTTCATTGTAAACCCTTGTCCTTCAGGGTATTTTTGCTAGAAATGCTGCCTGCTTTAACAGTAGTCAAAGTGAGAAGTCTGTCCAGTATAACAAGATGCAAAGCTCTAGTCAAAATTCCTAAGGCCAAACTGCCTCAGATACTCTGCTACCAACTGCAGCAGGATACCACAGTGACAGCACTGAGTAGTGAGTATCCAGAGTTTATGTAATTAAGCACACCGGTTTGTTTTTGAACTCTTATCCTTTGTATACATGTAGGTTGGAAGCTTCTGTCTGTCTGAAGCCAACGCCGGTAGTGATGCGTTTGCCCTGGAGACCAAGGCAGTCCAAGACGGAGATTTTTATCTCATCAGTGGCAGCAAGATGTGGATAAGCAGTGCAGCGTTTGCTGGTGTCTTCCTAGTTATGGCCAATGCAGACTTCAGTGCTGTGAGTTTTGTATCAACTCCATTGGTCAATTTTATTGCACTGCTTAACAATAAGCAGAAAAGTCTGTGCTTACTGCAGCTGAAAATTGTGCTTACCTTAAGTACTACATGTATTTCAGTAGTGTTCATCTTTTCAAACCGTGGACGAAAAATACTGGAAAACAAAAGAGAACAATATCGTCCATGATTCCCAGCATACGTCCGCGATTGGGGTCGTGTACAAAACCTATGGGAGTCTCCCTTAAAAGTTAAGAGTACAAACAAAAGAGGGACAATAGGACGTCCACGATCGACGGGGAACACACGTTTGTGTGGGTGTGGATGTGTGTGTTGTAATATCCACAAATTGTGATTGACTTTTGTGAACGTATGAGGACTTTGACTTGTGCATTAATCCAACTTGTGTAATTGATGTTGCAGGGTTACAAAGGCATCACAACGTTCATTGTGGACAGGGACACTGAGGGACTAACAGTTGGAAAAAAAGAAGATAAATTAGGCCTCAGAGCATCACCAACATGTGAGGTGCACTTTGACAACGTCCGAGTAAGTAAACGTTTCCCTTGCATATCACATTGCAAAATTACAAGTTGAAACAGCGGTGGATGAGTCTTTACCAATAATTGCTAATTGATGGTGATTCTAACCAACAAAAGGTTTGTCGTTGACAAGCTGCAGTGTCCAATGTTTTGAAAAGATGTCGTAAATGGGTTGAGAACAAAGCTTTTGCTCGCATTGGGTCGGCCAAAATCGTCGTAATACCCAAGTCTCGTAATGTCCATGCCCGTAATAACCTAATATTTCCCCATAGTAATGTACACAAATTGACCAAGACTGAGAGAATGTGCTTGATACGTCTGGGATATCGTAATGACCGAGCTCGTTATAATGGGAGTCGACTGTAACGTTGTCCTTGTATCTTTTCTTCAGGTGCACAAGAGTCAGGTGTTAGGCCAAGTTGGTCACGGGTACAAGTACGCCATTGGCATGCTGAATGAAGGACGCATAGGCATTGCTTCCCAGGTAAATAAACAAATGTTACATTTAAACATTTCAACCAGATTTTTTATGCGTAAAAACTGTATAAATTTTTAATGTAATATCATTTTTGATTAAACTCTTTTTAAACATGCAATTTTTTCAACATTTTCAATAACCTTGCTTTTTCCTGACAGCCCAGTGCACTGGTTGTAGAAATGTCACATTAGGCACTCGCTGCACATTAACATCTTTTTTAAAGCTGATTGTAGTTGTCTCTGCATGTTAAAATAAAAAACATGGAACCATGAATGACCTCAGCAAAAAAAAACTTGCTCTTGAAAATGGAACTTTGCATAGGTATAAAAATCTGAAAAAGCACCGAAACAACCTTAAATATGGCAATATAAAGTGCACAAATTTACTTCTTTCATAAGTTTTCTCACTTTTGCTTTTTGGGCATGATGGATGTTATTGACTTTCAAAATGAACCAATTTTTCAAAAATTTGCTAACAAAATTGGACCCTTTTAAAGAATTCTAGAGGTTCATATAAAAAACTCTAAGCTTGCTATCATTAATTAATATTTTTTTTTCACCTTTTTTTAACAGATGGTTGGGCTAGCTCAAGGTGCTTTGGATAGCACCATTCCATATCTGATGGAACGCAAACAATTCAAACAAGCCTTGTGGGATTTTCAGGTAATGTTTTCAAATAATTCAGAGTTTGAAATACCTTCCAAAGTTACCTTCAGTTTCAAATGCTTGCACAAAACATACAATAACACTGTTCTTTATTTTTGAGACCAGAAGTCTTTCACTTATTAACGTAGTTCAATTATTTTTAAAGCTTGCAGTATTAGAAATAAACGTGACAATTTGCCCTGATTTTTCAAAAACCTGTCACACTTGAGCTGTTAGTGTGCTTTAAAGGGAATATACATCATTTGCTTTTGCTGTAATTTTCAGAAATGGATGGAATTGGGGGGTTGGAAATATATAGCAAATATAGTTACGCTGATTTTTTGAGGTTTTGGGTTCGAAAATGCTATAAAAACCAAGAAAAACAATCAATTTCCTGTAGTCTGGTTCCCTGACTCCATGTAAGAAGAAACGGAGCAGTTTACATTATATTGGGGAATTGTAAGGTCAGGGAACCAGTCTAGCTGGCTTGTACCCGTTCATAGGTGTGTAATCGATTGCAAACAAGTGCGATGGTCAACTGGGGCCAGTATTTGAAAAAAAGCCAGTTTTTTCCAACGCTGATCGGCCGATCAGCGTTGGTAATTGATACAAAAATACCACTTTTCTTGAAAATGACAGTATACCGGGGGCCATGATTTTACAGGATGCTTTACACTGTCATTCACTAACAGTCCAGCAAGGTATTTCAAAATGATTCGGTAGTTTTTTTTTTTGATGTTTGCAAATGTTGTATTTTCCCTTTAAGACTATAAACTTACAATGATGTATGGCTAGGGTGCATTCCACTGAAGCGAATGTGGCCAATGTCCCCAATCGTTTTGTGTATTGCGAATGGGAAATCGTTGACAATGTTTGTTTGTTGTATTTTGGAATGTACCTCTTCCATTTCCACTTTCAAACTTTAAGCTAAAATTTCCGTATGTGAAACAGCAGTGTGATGACTCATAACAATATGACACGGAAGATTCATTTTCAATGTGATTTATGTATGCAGGCAGTACAACACCAAGTTGCCCACCTCAGCACACAGGTTGAAGTGGCTAGAGTCATGACGTACAATGCAGCTCGCATGAAGGTAAGTACTCTAAATGCAGCCCAAACAGTTACAAGAAACTCGCTTCAAGAAATAGTTCCAATGTACAATTCTGACTTGTATTGTTACGGAACATACCGGGTTAAGTCATTAGCCCCGCCCACTTTTGTTTTTTTGTACATTCCTCACAGTGATCATGACCAATTTTGATTAGATAACCATAATCACCTGACCAAATGCCCTGTTCCAATTGGTCAATGCGCACTGTTTGATTAACAGGCAAGAAGGATCCAGCTACTGGCTTGGCTCCTGTAGGCAGTCGCGCGCTTGGCGCCCTCAAGAGTTAATTTGCAACTAACCTGCTGTATGTTGACCTTTAACCTATAGGACGCAGGGCAGTCAGTCATCAAGGAGGCTTCCATGGTCAAGTACTTTTCCGCTGAGGTTGCCACGGAGGTGACGTCGCGCTGTGTGGAGCTGATGGGAGGGGTGGGTTTCACCAAAGATTACCCCGTGGAGAAATTCTACAGGGACTGCAAAGCTGGTGAGATTTTTGCTGTTGGCCGGGGGGAGGGGGGGCATGGCATTCTGAATTGATTAAATAGAATAGAGTACCGAAGTGTGACGTCAGCTGTCATTGGTTCACTCTAGTTCGCGCGCTGATGTCTTCACACACTTCAGCTGTGCACGTGGAACAGATTATGTGGTGCACGTCAGTACTCTATTGCGTGTACTTTAAAGCTTGTCTTGTCTTGTTTCAAGTTGAATATTGAGGCGCATTGAGTCAACTTACAAGTCAAATCAAACAGAGGATACTCTCTAACAAAGCAACGCCTCTGTCACAGTCCATTTGTGACTTGAGATTGGATGACTTGTGATTGACTTGATGTCTTGTGACGACTTGTGATAATTTAATTACAACTTTGTTTCGATGGTCTAGCTTAGGAGTTTTTTTTATTTACTTCCTCCGCAGGTTGCATCTACGAGGGTGCTAGCAACATCCAGCTCAACACCATCGCCAAGTGTCTCCAGTCTGAACTCGCTAAGGGCAAATAAATCCACTTCTCTTGTAGACAAGTCCAGGCGCGTGATCACCGTACACTCACGAGGCCCCCATCAATGGAGAAACCACTGTGAATGCTATTGTACAAAGCAGCTGCCCGTGACGGATTATCTCACCAATAGCTTGACAATACTTTCGCCGTTGAAGGGGGCCTCCGTGATAGAATTGCCAGCGTGCCCGGATTGGTCCTGGGCCAAATTTCAATAATTTTGAAATTACTGCTAAGCAAATTTCTATGCTAAGCTTAAGTCAGACAGGAACCAGCCACGAGCAGTATGCATTGCATGACTTTTTAGCTGGTAACCAGTTTTTTCCAAGCAAGTATATTCTATGCTTAGGCCGTGTCCAAATTACTTGGCTACGGCTAGAAATTACACACATGCCTATGGAAGCGGCTACAGCCACTTCCCATAGACCATGTGTTATTTCCAGCAAGGTACTTCAGATGCCTCAGCAGCTCCATTCGCTCAAAATGTACACGTTTCATCATGCCGGTAAGCTACGCTACAACACTTTGCATTTCCTTCACAATATTTTTGCAAGAGATACACCACTACCAGGATAGGGCGTGGGTACCCGCAAACTAAACAAAGAGTACTTTCTTCCTTTTCTGTTATAAAATCTCAAGAATGAATCGTGCGTTTTAAATTTACAGTTTAAATTTACAGAGTCAGATTTGCTGTATGTTTTGTATTAATGGGCAGTTTGGGAAGGATCTTTACAATGGACCGACCCCACCATGGTCACCTGACCAAAGGACGTGATGTGATTGGTGAATGGCATGCAGGAAGGGTCCATTATAGACTGTTTGTTGATAATATAAATGCTAATATAAATACTTGTAAAAGTTTGTACAAATCCACAGATATATCTTTGTAAAGTAGGGGTGTTTGATATTATTTAGTAGAATATAATGGGTTTTCAAAAGATTGTTCAGTATCGCTAAAATTTACTTCAATATTGCGCAGCTGACGGGGATGTTTGTTACATCTGACTGTTTGGTATAGTAGAGGCCGTTATAGTGGCATACTACTGGTTTTTTTCCCCTTATTATTTTAACCAAATGTTTCATACAGAGACTGGTGGTTGTTATAGTGGCACTCCACTGGGCTTCTTTTGGGAGGGTAAACAAAAAAGTGGGGTTTTTGGGGTTGATGTCTTTTGTTAAGAATATGTATTCCCCAGTTTACAATTAAATGCATATTGATATTATCTACCACTGACAAATGTTCTGGTTTTTATCATTAAGCCCCCAAATCCCAGGTTTTTTTAAAAAAAATTCTGGGGGGGGGGGGGAGTTGGATAATATTTCAGGGAAGCTTTGCTGGATTATTGATTTCCAGTGTAAAATTCCTCAACCGTGGTTTTTCTGATGAATTTTCAATCTTGTGTTGCACCTCGAAAGCTGGCCCCCAAAAGATCAAAGTCTTTTATTTTGGTTCAGGATGATAATCAAAGACAAATTAAATTTCAAGAAATAAAATCAGACGGAGAGCCAAAGTAAGTTGACACAGTGAATGTTTACTGTTACCATCTATTTAACTACCATATGTTTAATAGTAAGAATATTAATAATAAGCCTAGTGTTACTGTGTAAATGCCTGCATTTTTTTTTCCTTTTAAATTTCATCTCCTTGTACATGTCAAAATAAACCAGAATAAAATTTAGAGCAGACGTAATTTATACAGTTCACTTGACACCCACATTACGAAAAAAAATTGCATTTCTTGTGAGTGTTTATTTCTCCTCTGGACAGACACATACAAATGTTCTACTTACAATGATTTTTCCTTAGATTTTTTTTACATTAAAGAAGTCTTTAAAGGCAAGACAGTGCCATTTGCCTTACCGTTTCAGAAACAAAGTTCTGTCATGTCCTTTTAAGTCGGTCACAATACGATGCGTAATAAATTGGTCAACAATAATAAGGTTTTCATAGGGACAACCTGGCCAAGATATCAGGAAGCTGCTAAATGGAAAATGCCGCTCAGCGAATTTTGTCGCTGAGTACCAGTCACGTGTAATATAAATCAACACATTTTGGGTGGTAACCATCTGTTGTCGCTAAGCGAAAGTTTTTTCATGCTTAGCAAACAGCTCCACGACACACGCTAGTTTTCGTAAGCATGGTTTTGTTTCCTGTATGGTTCATTTTGTAAACGTTGGGGTCTAATTTTTCCTGTCCAGCATTTGCAAATGTACAGCATTTGCAAACATCGAAAAACAAAACTACCAAATTATTCTGAAATACCTTACTTGACTGTAAGTGAATAACAGTCTCAAGCATCCTGTGAAATCATGGCACCTGGTGTGCTGCATCTCCAAGAAAAGTGGAATTTTTGTATCAATTTCCAATGATGGTTGGCCAACCATCGTTGGGGAAAAAAAACCACATTTTTTTCAAGTACTGCCCCAATTCATCAGAGTTGAGACCACGTTTTGTTAACAATCTGTGAATGGGTGCAAACCAGCTTGTCTGGCTCCCTGACCGCTTCATCTGAAGTAGGGTCTGGGAACCAGACTACAAGAACAGCATTTCTTGGTTTTTCCAGCATCCACGACCACAAAACTTTTAAACAGGTCAGTGTAACAATATTTGCTATCAGTCTATAAATCCATCCATTTCTGAAAATTACAGCAAACGCGAATGTTGTATATTACCTTTGAATGTCTTTTTCGACGAAGAGTGATCATGTAAGACAAACTACCTACCCACAAATAAGAATGGTTTGAACTCATTTTTAATTATACCTGAGTGGCATATCACAGAGCTCAGAGGTAACGGGGACAGGAAATATGTCATATTTTGGAACCTAACTTAATAGCAAAAGGTGAACAGTTTGTCCTTATTTCAGTTCAATTTGGGCAAAAAAACATTCCAAAACATATATAAAATAAAAAAGAGACAACAAAGTTCAAGGTTTATTTGTAAATTAGCAAACAACTAAAATACATTTTTCATAATTTCTTTATATTTTTAGCGACAATTTTTCTGTGATAATTTACCTTGAGCTGACAGTACTGAAAATCCTTCATTTGTTGCTATACCAATGTGTCAACAAATTGGACTTAAGATTACCCAAACACTTACATTTTGAAGAGAAAAAAAAGTCAAAATTTAGTGCCTCAAAATAAGAAACATTACAGTCTATTTTATCAGAGGTACCTGCGAGTAATTTCGGCAATTAAATAGTCTGCTTCCTGCTCAAAAATGGTAAAAATCTCTTCTTTTTGTGTGTGTGTGAAAAACTACACCCACTAGACTTCTAGTAGTTGTTTGGTTGGGACATCACAAATGGTGGACTTAAACACTACAGAATCAAATATAACAGCATTGAGGCAAGGAAACATTCATGGCGGAATTTTCCCACATTACTTACTCACAAGATAGTGCCTTTTTTTCACAGAGTCAACCCAAAAAGTGACAAAAATGCAGCCTGAGAAGTCTCTACCAGCTTGCACTGTGACTTATAACGTCTCAGGAGAACGTGAATGAACTATTTGCTTTGTAAATACAGACAGTCAAGTTGGTAAGTGGTGCGTCATTAAAAGTCCAGACATGCAATATACTGTACCCTAACAGTTACGGTAAAAAGACTACAAAGTTAGGACTGTGAATCTTAAACGTCACTTCATAACGAGTAAACACACAAAAGTACTTAATTATGTTTGTGAAATCGTAAAGTTGCATTCTTTTTTTTTTTCTTGTAATAATTTGACAACCCTTTAAAGAAAATCAAAACCACTTACAGTGATGGGCCACTGTCCTACTGTGCCTTTTCAAAGTAGTATTTTTTAACCATTTATCGTGGTAGGCCCAACTTAAATCATGACCAACAGATTTTGCAGAACAAAAATTCCAGACCGTAAGTTCAGCAACTATTCTATTGACAATTACATGTATATAACTTACCATATAGAAATTATCTTGGGATATGTATTTACAAAAAGACCTGTATTTCACCAATTTACCCAATATAGGTCCAAGAACTATTTTGTGGTTGATTTAATTGGGTTTTCTTTTTTTTTCAAAATAATTTTGTATATTTACAATCGAGGAAAAACGTACACATGACAATGAACTTCTTCAAAACTGGTGCCATTTAAACATTCAGTAAAAGAAGTCAAGGTTTTTTCAATTTAAAAATCGTTTAAAAATGCCGAGACAGTGACAGACTACGGTCTACTTGTAACCTAATCGTTTGTACGAGTACATGTACTTGGCCCAATCCCACAACGTGCTCCATTAATTACACATTTGGCTGCATTACAATTCACATATTAAGTTGTACTGTTCACTTGTCTAATTACAAAAAGGCCAGAACATTGAGAAGTTCGCTAGTCCAAGCTAGTCCAAGCTGGCCCAAACCAGTTCTATCTAGTTGTCACCTCAAACTACAGGACTGTATGTGCATCCTCGTTAAATCAGTAAAATTTTAAGATTAACATTCAGTGGGATAAATGCAATTTCCAACCAAAACAAAGACAAAACAAACTGAGTTAAATATCAAAATTATACATGTTCTTTAAAAATCCCAAGCTTTTACGTGTATGGATTTTTATGTATGCACCAAATCCTGTACAAGAAACGCCATTAAAACACTGAAAGACAACACATTTAAATAAATCTGCAACATCTGAAAAAATAAAACTGATATTTTTTTTTTTTAGTGAAACCCACACTTGGATAGCTCGTCTTTTTGTACAATGATCAAAGTTAATTCTTACATGTTCCATTCAGAAGGCGCAAAGCTCTCATTGCCAACTTCCAATCCAAACCTACTCCAATACTTAACTACATTGCATGTAATGCAGGGCTCTATACACAAACGTGCATCACCTGTGCACTGTATTGGACATGCAGGCGGCAGACCCACCACTAGGCGATGCTAAGTACCCTCATTTCCTTCATAATTGTCAATTCATTTTCCTCAGAATTGTCAATTCATTTCCTTCAGCATTGTCAATTCATTTCCTTCAGAATTGTCCATTCATATATTGTTACCGCCGTAACATTACAACAGGAACTCTGCAACCCAAAACCACACAACAGAAGTCACTAGTGTTGACGGTAACGTGTCACACCTCGCAAAATTTCCACTCCAAGTTGTAAGTTCTAACTCAGGAATTGACATTCCCATTCGAGCAATGCTTCAGAACTGAAATTCAACACAGCAGCTCCAAGTTCATTACAAAGCACAACCTGTTGCATGAACGGTAACACGAGTCACACTCACAAAACAAGTTAGCATGTCACAACTCTAGTCACGCGAGTCACATCTTGGGTTTAAGACAATGCAAGTGTCGGCCCTGATCAACTCATCTTGAGTTTTTATTTTATGATTCCTAAACTATATGAAGTCAATGATAACAGAGTACTGGGTAAACAAATGCATGCTGGACGCTCAAAACCCTTCATCTTGCAGCAGGAAAACTGAGTAAACAAGAGCAGCGATCACCTTCCAAGTAAACAAAAACAAAAAATAAATTTGCCCTCTTAAAAGATATCATACACATTGCAACCAACCCACACCAAATTACTATACAGCCCTTATGGTTAAAACAATTACTCTACCACTTGAAACCCCGCCCTCCCCCAAAAAAACAATCAGGATATTTTACTGTATTTTACTTGTTTCTAAAACTGTATAAAAATAAAATAAATGCGCTAGATTACTTATAATACATGAGTCAGGAAATCTTGAGGTGGTTGGCCAAAAGAAAGGGGGGTATTAGCCATGCCTTTGATTTGTAGCAGGAACAAGACAACGTAGCAATCTCTGGATATAATTTTTACAAGTTACAAAAGCAACATAACATCTCTGAGTTTTCCTCTTTTGGGTGCAGCAAAAGAAGCACAGAAACTATAAATATTTGTCCAAACATTTCTTTGAATCTAAAATCACAAAGAGCCTAGTTTCAATTGAAGGTGGTTTTTTTATTGGACCCCAAGTGAGAATCTATTTTCTTCTGAGTCACTGACCGACTGACTGAGTCACTGACTAAGACAAACTGAGATCACTGACAGACCAACTGACTGGCTGACTATCAACCAACCATGCAAGCCTAGTTCCCGGTACTTCCCATCATAACTTCTGAAACCAAATATAATAAAGTGGCCAAAAAATATTCAAAGGCAAAAAGTGTTGTTTTTTTTTACGTGTATTGTCAAGGAGGATTTGCTACTTCTTGTTCTCCCTTGGCCCCCCCCCCCCCCTTAGGACTACCAAATCTACAGTAATGCTGGTAGCGCATAGCCAACAAGGTAAACTTTTTAACACAATTATTTCAGACTGTTACAAGAGTTTTGTAAACATGCGTATGAAACACTATACACGGGTTCAAAAGTTAAATCAAGATGAAATCTGTTCCTTCTGGGGGTTTGTACATGTTGTGGTGTCCCATCCCCGCAATAAAAAATATCAAGGTCGCAAAATTGCGTCCCTTTTTGAGCCCCCTATCAGCTTGCCCAGTCTGTATACTATCCTTCTTTAAGCACAGACTCCATCATTATTTGTTTTTTTCCATCCTGAATTACATACACAATGTAATTCCCAACCAACACCTCCATATATTTTTCAAAAAGTTCATTTGTCCGAATAAATGGTTTCCATCTTTTTGTACAGAACCATTCTTGCACGTTCCTATAACGTCTCATTTATGTGCACATGTACATGATCGGCAGCAATGAATGCAAACTCGGATGAGGAATAATGTCACTAATGTACTGGTTCATGGAGTTTACGGAACGGCAGGAAACATGAATGCACAAAAGTGGCGGGTGAGTCTCTGTACATTCTCGGCAGATATCAAGCTACATTCCCTGGTCAAAAGTCCAGTTGAAACCGGTTCAGCCGGTTTCAACTGGTTTCAACTGGTTTCTACTGGATTGGTTTCAACTGGTTCTAGTTGAACTGTAATAAGTGACTGGTTATGAACTGGTTTAACTGGTTTTGAACTGGTACAAAATTGTATAACCAATTTCAAAACCAGTTAAAGCCAGTTTAAAACCATTCACCAATTTCCTGTTCAACTGGTATCAGTTGAACTGGTTTCACCTGGAATTTTCACCTGGGAATTGAACTTGGGCAGCATTTTGGATTTAGATAATGCCTTTTCGTTGTGCAAGCTTTGATTCTAAGAGTTTATACAACATCCCTGCCCATTTAAAGCAGTATAGTGCCACAGCTGCAAATGATTACAATCAAACTTCTTTGTGTAGAACGTGCTTTTGTGAATTACTGACTGAACTGCTGCATTCGTGAACAACAGCTTAGTTACGCTAAATAATCACAAGACATTTCAAAATACGGGCACTTTTGTTTTTCCAATGTAAACACCGACAGTTTAGATACCAGTTCAATTAAAAAAAAAAAACCTTTGACATCTAGTGATCTTGCAAAAGATACAGTGTAACATTTGTGGACAATTACGGAATTCCAGTAAAGAAAGAAAAAACTATCTTGTGACTAGACTGACCACAGAGAAATCCGTTTCCTAAAACCCTCAAACTTATCTTAAATCTACTAGCTATAAATATTTTTATCATGTTTCAATATGCGTCCGTAGGGATTCTTTTTATATCTTGTACATATGCATATATATAACACCCATGATATTGTGACTGCCACTACTTTTTTTTCAGTTTTTTTTTTTTTGGATGCAAAACTTCTTTTGCAACAAATACACATATAAACCCAAAATGCCGTGGCAAGATTTCTTTGTACAGACTTTACATGTATGTTCTAAAACAAACCACCATTTTTTTGTTTTAGTTTTTTTTTCTATGCTTTTCTTTACATCTAGTTTCTGGAAAAAGATTTTTACATGATTTTTTTTTTTTGGTTGTCATTGTTTTTTTTTACGTTTTTTTTTTTCAGTACGGTCATGACAGGTAACTGTAACAAGGCTTCAAATAAAGTCAGTTTCCATTTTTTTTTCTGTTTAATTATTCATTTTTTTTCTTCAAATTTTGCTTTTGTTACAGTTTCCCTTTTACGTCGCCATGGTAACAAAATGAGCAGTACTCATCAGTCTGTTGTTGGGGTCGGTCAATTTCGATTGGTCGTTCATCCAGCTCATTCACTTCGTCCAAATAGTCTCCTCTGATTGGTCAAACTGGGTTCCCCATTTGCTGGTATTCCGTGTCAGTGGTTCTCACTCCTCTGTCGAACAAAAAAAATAAACAAAACATAAATCAGTTACAGCTGGAAATTCAAGAAAACTACAAATTACAACCACTACTGCCAAAGACGTAAATGCGACATCTTAATCCTTTAGTCAATGCGACATCTTTATCCTTTAGTCACTGTAGTGCCCCAAACCACCCTGCCTATTACTCACTAAAGCACCAGAAACCACAGCCCTGGAGCACTTTATGGTTTTATTGATTTTTCAGTGAATAAATACATTGTATTACAATGTAATACAATGTATTACAATGTATACAAAATGTAGTACAGGTGCTAATGGGTTAACCAATACAAGAATTTTGACAGGATAATTTGTCATTAATAATCAAATTTTTTTATCTAAATATTTTTTTTTTCTTATTACTTGAGCAAAACATTGAAGTCTTGATCCAGACGTGTTTTTCAGACATTTCAATAAATTACGCCAAGAAAAGAAGATGCCACTTTTTCAAAAAAATATAAAATAACTTGGAAGCAAATGAGAATAACAGACAGAATCGGGAGATAGAAATCATCATTTTTGGCCTTTTCAACAAAAAAAGCAGATGGCATGCTAAACCGAAGAACGTAAACATGAGCTGGTCATGTTAATGCATTTCAAAAATGCTTAGCGTCTTTGCTTAGTAGTGGTGCACTACAATTTAAGCAGATCTGTACCACTGCTACATGTGGACAAGTCAAAGCCTTAAGCAAAAAAAGAAAAACACAAGAAAACTTGACGTATACACGCACACCGCTCTATGTACAACATAATTGGTGCAGCTTATTTTTGCCATTGTGAATGCAATGACTTTAAGTACACAAAGGCTAAAGTGAATGTGAATGCTTTACTCCTTGAACGTGCAAGCTCTACATAATTAAGAGATGTTATGGAAGAAATAAAATCGCTTGAAAAATACAATTGCTCGACAGATCACCCAGGGATTCTAGATTTACTGTATCACAAGTTGAAGACGTTATTTATTTTATTTATTTTATTTTATTACCTTCATTGCACAAATACATTAGAAATGACATGTGGTGCAAAAGGGAAACCCCGAACAGGCACACAGGCCCACTAAATGGGGACGTTATCATTAAAGAGATATTTGATCAATTAAACCATAAACCAAACATCTATTTCATTTTGCGATTTATTTAAAACTTCCTCGCACTTTTCCCAACTAGCCAGTGATGAAATGTCAGTGTGCCAAACAAGTGAGTCTTAAACACCATGGATAAAGTAACACAGCCTGAAGTATAACCCCAATGAGAGCAGCCATCTCTAACTTTCCAACAATGACTTACAAGAAGCCTGGAGTCTCTATGTGTGCAAGCCTGTAAATAGGCCAAAAATCTGTCCGCCGAGCTCATGAATAAAAGTTATACCCTCAAAATATTCTATATTAGAGAGTTTTGAGAGCCATAAAATTGGGGAATTGAAGAGATACGGTATGGTAATGAACCTCTGGCCCGGACTTGGGGCTTCCAATTCTGAGCAGTTTGGATGCTATTGGGCTCGAAAGTGGCGCTATTTTGCCATGTTGTGGAGGGATCGTTTTTCAAGATGGCTACTTTTCCGCTTTGGGTGAGAATATCTCAAAAAGTCAATGGTCAACCCACCAAAAATGTAAAGAAAATGAAAGATGACACATTGATAATCATTTTTCTGTGCAGCTTGAATACCTGTGAGAGTTCTGAGTATTTTTAACAGAATTTTGAAGTATGCGCATTTAGCACTAGTGTCTATGGGAATTTTTCTTGCAGGGTTGCACCCCTATGGCAGTAGATCACAGTACAAGTGGCATACATGTACATGTAGGATGGTCCTCAAGTGTGCAGCCTTGGAACGTGACTTTGAGACAATTGTTTTAGTCACATTCATCAACCTATACCAACTATCTTCCCATGACTTTATGTTTAGCACGAAGTGGTGAGAAAATATAAAAATATGGTGCAGGTAACAGCTGAAGCCTGGCAAGTGAAAGATATTAGAAATCAAACAGCAAATAAATACATATTCACTACAAAAAAGGGCTACCAAAGAAAAGTGTGCATAAGAAAAACATGTATGTAAAAGAAACGTGTCTTGAACTTTATGACTTTTATTGTTGGTAACCAAACATTTTAAAATTTGTTTTTCCACTAGCGCCCATGAAATATGAAAAAAAAAAATGTGGTGCGTTCTGCGTCTCGTAGGCAGAACGCTCTATGCTTTATCCCTTGCGCTCATGACATAACTGATATGAAATATTAAATCAAACTCAAGAGATCGAGGGAAAAAAATATCCCAATATCACACCTAAAACCGAAGACCTTAAAGACAACATAGGTACAAGTTCAAGTTCATTTCTGATAACGCTAATCCACATATACATCCATGCATGCCATGTTTTCATCAAATACAAAAAAAACTGAATATCTACAAAATGCTAAGATGGTGCTGTGCTGTTGGCTAAAGAGTTATAAAGCGAGTATCTAAAGAGAAACTAACTACACATTTAATTGCTACAGTCAGATGCCACCACCGTGTACAATTGTATTTCTAATTTTTTTCCCATAACCAACCAAATTTGCTAACTAATTTTTAAAACTGCTTAAAACTAAAATGTCACTATGTACATGTATTCCTGTGAGCAGACTATGCTAATTAGTACTCCTGTAATTTTGTAACAAGTCTGAAGACGCAAGCAAAGAAAGAGTGTGATGAATATTGTATTGACTCAACGAAAATAGGCGATGCAAAGCTGCTGGATATGAAATATGAATATAGCTAGTTGGTGCTAAGAGGGGTGGGTGGTGCTGGGGAGGGGGGGGGGGGGGCTACCTTGACTCACTCTATGGATGACACATCACTCCTGATCTGCCCCAGATGAGGAACAAGGGCACTGTGATTACAAAGGAAGTAAGAAAGGACACAATTCATCTCATTGGTTTATCAAAGGGCCCTTTTTTTTGTTACGCTAATTACTGTTCACTGCCATCCAATGAGTAAGTAAGATAAGACTTGAAGGACCTATTTGTTAAGCTCCGGCTCATGTGTCGTCCAATCACAGCCCTGATTGAGCAACCAAATGTCCGATAGATGTCTGCTGTAAAGCGCCACCTTGAGACAATAACTGTACAGCATGTATGATTGACAGATGACGACAGTTTCAGGATGATGGAAGGATACATGATGAGCCTCCCCCAACCGAGTGAAACACTTGTGAGTTGGGCTTTGCGACACCGCATTGGAATCAAACAGGACTGATTCAACAATTGGAATCCTGACTCCACTTTGTCCAGGAATCAATTCCTGTAATCATACTTTACAGGGTAAACAATCAAAAGTCAAATTGTGTGGTGAACACATCTTGTATTTCCGAACAAAGAATTAGCTATGTTAAAAAAACGTACTCGCTACATGAAGTCTATCGGCGAAGTTTGGAATTCCGGGGTTTAGGATTCTTGAGTAACCACTTTATAACCCAGGGGTGGCATAAATGCAGTGTGAAGGCCAGATTGTTTAAAACAAAAGTACAAGTTGAAATTTTCCCTTTGTTCGAAGCTTCCCGAGTTCAACTATTTCGTCAAAGTTAATTCCACAACAGAATAGTTAAGAACCTGATTGGGGAACACAAGAAGACAGCATACACGAGTAGTTTCATAGCTATTGAGGAATAGTTCTCAATATCACCAGATACCTAGGGCGGACTACGTGTTCAAGTATCTCCCTAAACAGGAACAAAGGGAGAGTTGGGGGACCAATGGGAGGGACATAAGAATGCATTGCTGGTAACGTCTGCCGCTTGCGTGAAGACACTTATGTGTTTAATGCTGATTCAGAATAAATCACTCGTGCGTACATGTACTTCACAACATATGCCAGTACGTGCCCATATAGACCTTTATCATGCTGCCACCATTTCAGTCATGTTCCCTGTATCCAATAACAGTCATGAATGATATTTTTTGTGTGCAAGAAGGAACCAGACTATTTTTCCTTCCAGCCTCACTTTGGTTACGTTGATTTGAATGGGAAAAAATCAACATGGCGGCAACATGAGAATGGTTGTGTCCCTTCTAGTGGGGCTCCAAAAAGTAGTGGCGAAATGCTACATGTATCTAGTGTTCGTGCACGGAGTCTAAACAGTTTTCAGTGATGGAGGTCCAACATCAGGCTTTTTAGACGATGAAGTCAAACACGTGGAACGAATACTACTGGCAAAAGATAACTACTGACATAAACTGTTGAGCCAGATGATGCTGTATCTGGCCTGCATGCATGACAATGGATGCAATGAGATTTCTAAACGAGCATGATCATCTACTGGAACATAAAAAGCATCACTAAAGCAGAAAAATTGTCTTTTCCCTGCTTTTGAATAAATATGTACAGACATCTGTAAACATTTTCCCCTCCCTATTCCAAGTATAAGAAAATTAAAAAATGGTCAATCTTTGGATGAAGACTTAAGAGTAATTAAGGTTGTTTCATTAGGGAAACTAAAGAAAGGACCCAGCAACTGAAGATAAGGAGAAAACATGCATGCAGATCTGGGATGTCCCATGTTTTTGTTTTTATGTTAATTTTGATTTCTTTCTTGTGACGTGCATACTGCATAAGGTGTCACAAAACACTAAAACCAAAAGAAGTTATTGTGCATATCACTAAAAAAAGAAGAACGTCAGCTAAGAATTGATTACTTTCTTGTTTGTGAAGGACAAAGAGTAAGGGATGACGAGATTCTCCTTACCTTTAATTTAAAAATTCTTCTAAAGAATCCTTCCCTTGGGGGCGGGGGCGGCTGATCCATCAGCAGGTCTGGTGTCCTCGTCATGTTGGGCCCAAAGTAGTTTAACTCTTTATAGACCTCTGTCTCTACCATCTGTCGACGGAGGAAAAATAAACAACAAACAATAACCAAAAAGATCAGAGACAACATCAACAAGAGGAGGAGAATTGGGATAGGAATCCTGGACTGATTTCTGAAGAGCTGGAAGTCATCAAAAATGGTTTTAAGAAAATGAATTTATGATGACTGTGGCCATCATAGAAACTGGTTGCTTTTGTTTTTCTTTAAACATTTATAAAAGCTACTAAACAAGCTTATAATTGTTCCACAAATTGTTAAAATTTACACATTTTTTTCAGACTGATGATCCAGGGTCAATTATGAAATTTGAATCAAGCACATGACAAATTTGACATCAGTTGGCGTCAAGAATCTAAATCTGACCTCGTTTTGCCAGGGAATGGTCACGCAGCCCGAGTTGAATTTGCTGTAGAATTTGTCGTCATTCTGGTCCAAGTTGACGCCTTTTACTGTGGAGAACTGCTCAATATCCAGTACATCTTTGGCATACACTGCTTTGGGCTGTATGAAAAAAAGGAAGGAAAAAAATTCAATCAGTCTCAAAGCCAATAAGGAATTTCGCTGGTCCTTGTAGGTGGAATTTTCTGTGTGGAGGATGTTTTTAAAAATGTTTAGTAGGGCCAACCAACATTAGACAGCTTGGGACAGGACTTACGTCGGGCACAAATGGTGGGTCCACCTTGCCAGCTTCCAGACGTGGAAAGAGGATGCTGGAAAAGAAAGGTTCGTCTTTGATGTCTTGGGCCGAGTTGTTGCGGAACCCCAGCCTACTCTCCACCTCTTTCTGGAGCAACTACAAAACAAACAAGCAAAAGACAAAACCTTTCTAAAACTTTTAACAGTCCACTGGAAATTTGTATATTCCAACGAGCATCTTGCATATTGCAAGCATTTTGGTTGGTGTTCCCATGTTGTGTGTCCCAGTTAAATTGTGGACAAATTGGATTATTGTGCGGCAATTACAAAACAATCTAAGACAGTGCTCAATCAATGCATTTTTAATGTTAACTTCCTACAATAAACCTGCAGATGTTGTGACATTGATTTTAACAACATTGCACAGTTGGGTGTATTGCATTAGGGGAGAATACAAAATTAAACGGACAGCAAATCGATGTTTACCTCGAGGTTTTACGAGGTTTAACAGGGTTTGGTGGCGTACCTCGGGGTAAAACCTTGAGGTTCAGGTTCACCTCAAGGTTTACATGGTTTTAACAGGGTTTGGTGGGTTACATCAGGGTAAAACCTCGAGGTTTAGAATCACCTCGAGGTTTACAAGGTTTAACGGGGTTTGGTGGGGTACCTCGGGGTAAAACCTCGAGGTTTAGAGTCACCTCGAGGTTTACAAGGTTTAACAGGGTGTTGTGGGGTACCTCTGGGTAAAACCTCATGGTTAAGGTTCACCTCAAGGTTACAAGGTTTAACAGGGTGTTGTGGGTTACCTCAGGGTAAAACCTCAAGGTTTATGTTCACCTCGAGGTTTTACGAGGTTTAACAGGGTTTGGTGGCGTACCTCTGGGTAAAACCTTGAGTTACCTATTGTTTAATTTGGCATTCTTCCATTATTATTTCCAGCATGACACAAAAAATGTGCAGTTTCCTTTTTCATAAAAATTGACCATGGACTACCACAGAACCAGACTTGGTAACTGTATACCTTTCTGCATATGACTTTTGCGTCTTCGCTGAATTTGGACGTGTACTTTTCTTCGTCTTCTTTGACCCTCCTGTCCACTTCTTCTCTCTTCACTTTCTCTTTCCTTGCTCGGAAGGGGGCCTACCAAACAAAAACAATAACAAAAGATTAATTAACAAAAACAATATCATGAATATCGAATGTAGCATTCCAGTAAAGCATTAAACTTTCGTCTCAGGGTACCGAAATATCCTTTCTTGCACTGACTGCGTAATAAAAGACAAATCCGGGCAAGCGATGCTTATCACTCATGAGGCCCCCTTCAATGGAGAAACCATTGTGCACACTATTGAACAAAGCAACTGTCCCATGACAGATTATCTGGACAATAGCTAGCACAATGTTTTTCGACATTGAAGGGGGCCTTCCTGATAGGATTTATAGCGTGCCAGGATTGGACTATAGGAAAAGAAACTCATTCACAAACTGAAACTTGAAAGATTCATGATCATAATTACAAAACGACTCGTACTAAACTATGACTGAGATAAAAATATGTACTAGTCATGAATGCCTCTACTAGCTTCTAAAGATCATAAAAATCGGTCATTGCATTTCTGAGGTGAAAAGGGAAATCCCCCCACCCTTCCCTGCTGTAAGATGACTAAAACACATGTCTCTGTTTACGGTTCAGATACGTTGGATCACAGTGCTTAGTGACATCGACCCTTGGCCAGATTTCTGAGGGAGGTCACTGTTACTGTACTCACCCTTCCTTCAATCATTTCATAGATGATGCATCCCAGACCCCAGTAGTCAGGACTGTATGTATACCTCTCATTCTTGACGACTTCAGGAGCTGATCACAGACAACAAAGGGGAAAAAATGACAAAAAAGACTCGCAAGATCACTAAATGTAAGCCAGTGGTTACTTTTCAGTTGCTCGTCCCTTTGCTATCAATTGGGGAGCAACAAACACAAGCCATTTTCATGTTTAAAAAAAAAAACATTTTTAAAAAATATTTAGAGGCACAACCCAGAACAAAAAGCCAGGTTTTTTTTCAAAGGGTTGCAGACCCAAAAATAAAAGAGAAAAAGTTTCTCGTCCAAACAAAATATACAAACTGAAATTTCATTTGAACAAAAAAACAAACAACAAAAATGAGGAGGGAAACCATATTTCCTGGCTAAACAAATATAACAAGGTTATTGCATAGAAATTGTAAAAACCTGTGTTATTTTCACTCATACAATTTGACTTACCCATGTACCCAACTGTTCCTACCCTGCCTCGAATGGATTCTCCCTCCGGAATTTCAACAGCCAATCCCAAATCAGAAATTCTTACATGACCTGAAAAAAATGATAAACAAACAGGATTTCTCTAAATGAGGTTTATCGGGTAGGAGACAACATAGGTTACCAACTGAATAACATCTAACAGATGTCTGATAAGCCACGACTTAAAGGAAGAGAGCATGAATATCAATTTGCATTCCAGTCACAACAGCAAACTGACTTTAAAGTCAATGCAAAATTGTCATATGGATGCATTTATACAGTACATGTTATAAAAAAATCAGGCCTATGAAGGGAAAACCCAAATATTACAGCTCCTGAAACTTGTTTAACCCCGACTCTCTGAGACTGGGGAATGACACCCTTTGCTGCTGCAATGTGTAAAGAGGCAATTGATGTAAAGTGCATTGCTCAAGGACACAAACCAGACCACGAGCCGATCAATTCAAATCACAGGTCAAATCTGAAGATAGGTCATAAGAAATAGGGGAAAAATTGTTGCAACCTGACGCCACTTCCGTGATTGTGTACAAAGTTTATGGAGAGTCAAGACAATTTCCTAAGTATTTCCAAACAAAATTGGAAATGCTTCTCAGTCCCAGATTCATGTCTTATCAACATTTTTGCAACGAATGACCTTAATTGAGATAATATATGAAGAAATAAGTGACGTCAGGTTGCAACATTCTTCTGAAATAGGGGATGAGCAATGAGGACGGAATGCTTCTGTCAATGTTGACTTGAAAAGCTTGATACTTGATTGAAACTCGACTACGATCAATTTGTGATTTACAAACACATTTGTCCCTGTACCGCCCAAGACTGACCTGCCTATTACTCCCTGTACCGCCTCAAAACCGCCCGAGTATTCAATGGTTTGATGAACAATCAGTGAATAAATACAATGTAATACAATAAAGTACAGAATTTCACTACAGTCCCCATGGCACAAGGTTAGGCATGAATCCCTCTCTTTATCTTTGAACCGGAAACCTAGGCTACAAGCGATCGTTACCGTGGTCATCCAGTAAGATATTCTCAGGCTTCATATCCCTGTAGACAAAATGGTGTTGGTGAAGGTGTTCCAGTCCGCAGGTGATCTCGGCGGCGTAGAAGCGCGCTCGTTCCTCTTCAAAGCCCGGCGCGCCCAGATTGTGGATGTGAAACTTCAGATCCCCACCGTTCATGATTGTCAGCACCAAACACAGGGCATCGCGGGTCTCGTAGGCATAGGCCAGGCTGACCTGTACAAGTGAATTGTAGAAAAACAGGCTTGCTATTAAATACAATTGAAAATTTCATTTCTACTTTTATAATCTTTCTGTTGAAATGTGTTTTAAAGCCAAAAAACAGCACATTCAAGACAAAAGTAGTCTTTAAAGGCTTACAAATAAAGGATGGACTGAGTATGTGCATATTATGCACTGACCTGGGAATAAGAAATCTGCTCAAAAGTAGCCCAGTGCCGTTTTAATTTTATCAAGCAATTTCAAATCACACTCAGGTTAACTTTTTACTTTTTCAGCTTCAACTTTTTATTATCTTTTCAAAATATTTGTCCCAAATCTTACCACTGGTACGTTTCATTCACTGCACCGTTCGACTATTGTCAAAACACTGACCTGTTTTTTTGCAACATCGTGCATGTACAACTGGGTCACAACGTAAAAGAAAAACATCTCATATGTATGGCCCGACATACATCTCTGTGTTACATCTTTCAAGTGATGTGTTATGTGAAACAAGGACGAAGGCCAAACAGTTCAAAAATGCGGTCGGGGTAAAGCTGATCCGATAACAAAGGGTGCGCATGAAGATATCAGCCCTGCAGTGCACGAAGATATTAGCCCTGCAGTGCATGAAGATGTGGTGGTGCCGACAAGCAAATTATACGGTATCAATCTTATAGCTCCTTTGAATTGCAGCTATCTTTGAGGCAGATGGCTTTTGTTCCACAGCAATATACGCACAGCTAGACATCTTGTGTGTCATTCTTATGGAATAGACCTGGATCACAATGACGTCATGCTTCAGTTACATGAGCTCCTTCTTATGGGAGCTTGTTGGCTTTCATCCCGCCTGGCTCCCATAGGAAAGCATGCATGCAAACAAAGTGTGACGTCATTACATAGATGACTGCTAATTGTCTATTATTGACAAAGGCATGTCCCTTAACGTGCTGCACTGAGATTTTTTGGCCCTCTACCATTGTGACCGAGTAATAGCTTTATGACTCAAGAAAAGATTAAAATTCTTGCAAGTTTAAAATGTTCATTCAGAAATCTTGAGTTCACTGACATTACGACAGCAAAAATGTAAACAGGGTGGACTCATCTGCCCCTCCTCCACCCCGACCCCGTTTCCCCAATATAGCAACAACAAAAAATTTCTTACAGAAAAAAAAATCTCAAATAAAACAGTTTTTGTAAACAACAAATTTTGAACAGAGGGTAAATATTTTCAAAAAATCGAACACATAAAGTCCCTGCAAGCTTCCCATGGCATTAGTGCAAGTACAAAGAAAGATTATAACCAGTCATGCGAGGACACACTACTGAGAAAATCGACCACTAATAGCGATCACTAAATTCTTGGACCATGATTTCTGAAAACCCTGCCCCATACTGACCACAAATCTGCTGTTGACTTTCTGCAGTAACAACTTCTCATTCAGGGCCATGACCTCCCCCTTCCGTTTCTTTATTCTCTTCTTCTCTAGTTTCTTGCAGGCGTACATCTTGCCTGTCGCCCGCACTTGGCATGCACATACCTGCAAGGTCAAAGGTTAAAGATATACCGTGTTAATGGTGGTGGTTCAGGCGGGGTGGGGATGGGGACAGGGTTGGGTACGGGGTTGGGTGGGGTGGGGTGGGGTGGTGGAGATGGGATTTGGGTGGTTGAGCACGATGGTTGAGGGTGGGATAGGGTTGAGGTGGGGGTTGAGGTGGGAGTGGGGTGGGTGGGGTCGGGTGGGGTGGGGTGGGGTGGGATGGGTGAGGGTTGGGGGTTTCAGAGAGAGATATGACAGACACTTCAACACCACTTCCATATGAAGGACAAGTTGCGTGCTGAAGGCATGCAACTAGGAAGTCACACAAAAAAGAGGAAATTCACATCTTTCCAAGACTTTGTACAGTGTTTTTCCATCTTTAATGGCACACATGGGAAGGCAAAAAAAAAAGGAAATCAGCTGATCCGAGGAAAAGTGGCATGCCTGGTGGGGGTACCGGTCCAAGGGAATAGCAAAGTACGAACAACTACTTTATTCTGAATGTGCAATAACCTGTACCATCTTTGAATGAGCAACGGCGTACAGCAGCAATGCGTTACAGTCAATCCCGACTCTCCCTTTATCATCAAGTGAGGGGGTACTTGAGTACAAAAACGTGGGCAGGGTAGATCAATCATGCTGGTATGTCATTTTACTGACTGATTGAAGTTTTTTTGTTTATTCAGCTCTTATTGTAAAATGATGTTGTCGGCAGTAACTGAAGTTTTTCATGGGGGCTGATGGCTTTGGAATACGTATGCTTTCAAGAACATGTGTAAATATGCATACCCTAAGTTATCTTTCAAAGGGGAAATTAATATCAAACGCAGTAAATGTGCAGGCAATCTTGAACAACATGATGTACATGTATATTATAAATTAATACATGATAACTTCAATTTCATATGTACTTGTACCATAAACAAATATCCGATTACTCGGCTGTGGTAAATAATTTAAACAAAGAATGACGCACGTTATGTTACAAAAATACATGGACACAATATGCAAGTTTCTGTCATGTACTGCCCACTCTGTGTATATTGCATTTAAAGTAAAAAAAAAAATACTATGAATGATGAAAAAATCCATGTTATAAGATTCATTTAAGTAAATTGTTTAATGTTAATCAACTATTTAGCATAGATGTTTCTAAAACTGAGTAAAGAAGAAATCAATAGTATTTTTTAAGCTAATCAATGTGTTTTTAGCTAACACTCCAAGACTAAATCTCTTGCGCAACTGACATTTTGTGCATTCTGTAAAAAACACTTTAAAAAAAAAAAAATTAAAATGCAAAGAATACCATAAGGCATGACTATATAAACAAACAGATATTCATCCAACAAAAAAATGAAGTGAAATTAAAATGCACAAATAAAATCATCAGGCATGACTGCATAAATAAACGAATATTAATAAAAAAAATAATAAAATTGACAGTCCAAAATGAAATGAAAGACACAAAGAGTGAAAATGTCAAAGTCCAGCGAGGAGTTGATAGAATGGGTAAACAAGATGATGAGGCGGCCGCTCATGTCTCGCGTGGCATCAAGCCTTGAAATATATACCCAGAACCCAGCGAATTCGTTCCTCCCCAACCCTACTCGTTTTCTTCTCTCTGTTTCCCCTCTCTGAACTGTCAAATGCCAAGCGGTCCCGCCGCGGGATAAAACATTGCCCACTCCGGGCCAGGGAGATGGATTCCGAGCGTCGGCTGAAAATGTGCCATCAGTCACGCAGGTCACTGTAAACAAGCTGCACGAGAAATAGCTGTCCTCGACCAATCTAGGATTCTTAGAGCGGATTTTTTTTTTCTTTTCCCCGTGTGTGAGTCAAGTAGTGTATCTTGGGTCTTGATTTTGGGCGCTGCTTAAACAGTGCAATATTAAAACTGCTCTTGTCAGGCACGAGTGAAAGTGTCGTGTGAGGATTGCAACCCACAAAGTAGACTAAACAAACCTCTATCATCCGTTTCAGTTTTGCGTTCAGAGTCGCGCCAAACTAAATCGCATCAGAAGCGAGTCAGGTCGACTAGAATACATTTTGTTTCAGACAGGAAAATTGTAATTTTTAAAGTACACAGAAAGTCCTCTTTATTTTTTTTTGTACACATGATCATTAAGGCCTCAGGAAACTGAACAAAATATCTTGCTTTGTTTTACTCCAATGTCCCACTCTCAAGTCCCAAATTTGCAGTCAATTGCACCCCATTAGTGTGGAAAGACCCCACTGTCATACACAAGTTGCTAGGAGATACATGCACTTTAATACATGGGGGAGAACCACAATACTACGTTTCACAGATTGAACAATCTAGTTAATCAATTCTTGGAAAAACCGCTCACCTCGCCGAAGCCGCCCTTGCCCAAAACTCTGTACTGTCGGAACGTATTCTTGGTCACAGCTTGGCTGCGGGATAGAAGAAGCCAACAATGGAGACAGAAATTAGCATAATTTCATGTTCGGCGAATCTATGCCGTGCACAAGGCATCATTACAGTGTACAGCGGCGCATGGCAGCACAAATCTGATCCATCCGTAGTAATAACGGGGCGCCGCGTAACTCAAGTCAACTGCGCAATATTATATTACACGGTCAGTGTTCTCCAACATGTAGAACAAACCTGGCGCCCCGCCATGCTTTCTGCGGCGCCCGCCATGTTTAAGAAGTCCCCGCCAAGCTTTAAAATCCTGCCGCCAGGTTTAATTTTTTTGACTCTACAGTGTACATTTACAACTAAAATAATTGATTTCAGTTGTTTTTTCACACATTATGTATTTCGATGTCATCCCAGCCCGATCGGGGTTGTCTTAAAATCTCGCTGAATCAATCACACGCCGCGGCCGGCCGTGCAAACACCAGCGATTCCCCATGCACTGTACGTACTACGCGCGATGTACACACACTGACAACTGAATCCCAGTTCCGGAGTGTGCCGATACTTCAAGTAGCGACAACCCCGCCGCAAAAATAGATATCTGTATTAGTACACACACACACCAGCAGGAGTACGTACGGCAGATCTTACGTGCAGCCAACCGACTTTCTTTTTCTCAGTGCAATTGCACGCGCGGTACACAATACGCATTGATGTTTTTGTACGAGGCAAACGAGCTCGAAGCCAAAACACGCGTGCACATGGTGTTCCGATCATGCCGATTGTCAAAAGTTATAAATCATGTAAATGGCGATCGTGTATGGGCCCGGTTCCCTAAGAGAACAAAATCCACTTTTAATTTATTTGACTTACCAAACTAGTTGGCGACATTTAAGAACATACAGGTAGGTCATAAATAGAGGGAAATTTGGGGGGAAAATGACTCTGACAACGACAAAACGCAACATGAAAATAAAGATGACGATCGCACGCGCACGGCACCGGCACCACCCATAAAATCGCGTTAAAAAAAACGTAATTTGTATCCCATTTTGTTTTTCAAAATTACAAAAAGGTGTCATTTGATCTGAGAGAAGTCTGCTTTAGGTTGAAAAGGAAATTTTTGAATGCTAAATAAATCGGGGGAACTGGCCTGGAGAATCGCCTCAGATTGCACCACAGAACATCTAGAATCCAAAAATTTTCCGGGGCCCTTAAGCGGGCCCCGGACCCCACGCCGTAAGGGCTTCGCGCTTCGCGCTCGCAGGAGTCCCCGCCGACCCCAGCGCCAACCTTTAATTTTCAAAGTTGGAGAACACTGACACGTGCAGGGACATGTGTGTCATTTGACGGAACTCTTATGATTTCGTCCGTCGATTACAGCCGGGATTGGCTATTAATTAATACGGAACGCAATATGGGATTCTAGGGAGGAAAACCCAAAGCTCAAATATATCTTGGACTGAGTAGAACATGGGGCTGACAAAGAAAAAAGACAGAGTAAAGGTCCGACGTGATGACTGGGTTATTTTTAAATATTAACCCAGGCCAAGGCTGTGCATTGTTAAACATGACAAGCAACGTGAGCACGTCACCAGGAAGAAAATTATGAATATGATTAGTTGTGTCTATAGGCAAATGATGAGGAACTTGGAATGTCTGTGACGTGCTGTCAAGTGCATTTCGGTTCTACTCTGAATGAGGAAATAAAGTACATTTTAAATACGTGCATGCAACGTAAATGTACTTCTCCATTGTCCATGTAGTACAAAAATGTTATTGTACATGTATGGTATACACTATCTGAAGAAAATGTGACAATGTGTTGTCTGCAGGACAACATCATTGACTCATTTGCAGAACATGATGTGAGCTTTTGTGTTGTTGGCCAGTCAGAAACTGAAGTCTAACTAAAAATGTAACGGTAACGAGAATATGTACAGGAACATGTAAGAAGCATGTTAAAACTAGGACGTTTAAAACCCTAACCCCCTCGAGTGATTTACAATGTACATACACTAGGAGCCTTTCTCACTCTTGCAAAATCCAACACTATATGGTAAACTCTACTCCCGAACTGTTGGTCTCTGATTATTGTGGTACACCTGACCATTCGTAAAGCATAATCAGTTTACTAGTGCAGTCCTCACTCCAACAGAATCCAACAAAACATGCAGTTAGATTTTGATGGGTTGGGGTGGTAAGGGTTAATGGAGTCAGTCACATTGGTACAACTGTAATTTTATTGATCAATTAAAGCGTCAAGCCCATCGGAAAGGTATGCAAAGCGCGCGTCACATGACCTGTAGGGCGTGTGTGCCGCAAAAGAGCATATCACTAGAATCAAAGGTAACAATACTGTGAAGTTTACTTCACTTCTTGCAAAGTCACAATTTGGGCAAGTTTCTCATTTTGATTTACTGGCTTGACGTAACAAAACAAATGTTGACTGCTGTGATGCGGGAAATTTTGTTTGGCTAATTTTTTTTTTTTTTTGGGGGGGGGGGGGGGGGTTTCACAGCTTTGCACCCTCACCTTTTCTCCTGCACTGTTTATCTATTAGGTGTAGGAAAGCCATCTCATGTCACCCATCCCTCCCCACCCCCTCCTTTCAGGGTTTTCTCTGTCCGACACATTGACAGACTTTGTACAAGAACTGCACACTTTTCAACATCACTCAGACTTCTCCGGTTTTTTTTTCTCTCTCTCAAACCACAAAGATGGATGCGCCGACACAAACGTCACACAGCCGCGCTAAGAAAACAAATTCGAAAGTACACCATATTCTGAGCAGATGACGGGCTGCCCTTTTAGATGCAGATAAAACGTAAACAGAGGAATTATCAGCGCTTCACTGGCCTAAATAATTGAAATTTTAATGGCCCGATAGCAGCCACAGTCGAGTAATAACTGCTGACAAAAGGGCAGGCTGTAAGAGGTTACACTGGTGTCATCCAAAGGGCAAACTCATTACAATCATTTGCTTTGAGACTGAATTCTCAATTCTGAAATGCTTATTTTCTGATTTGTCACAATGTACAACTCGTGTTTCCTTTTTTTCAGTAGACATACTTTTAAAATTTTAGATGACTTTACAGTAAGTTTGAATGAGAATATCAAGCTTACACAAGCACAATATGAATCATGGTACATCAAGGTTTGATGTGCAGCTTGGACATCTTGAAGACTGGCATTTTTTTCCCCAATAGTCATCATTGTGTCTACATGTTACGGTAGTTTATTAACTGATCTTCAACTTAACATCACAACATTTTAGAAAGAACACAATCTTCACAAAAAGGGTACGCAACTTCATATCCACTTGTGTCGTCCGACAGAAAATGAAATGTCTATCATGTCGTAGACAAAATATAATTAGACAAACAAAATTCATCACTGGCATGCTTTTTTTTTCTGTATCATTTATGTTATAACGATTACCTCAATCGTCTGTGTCATGACTTGCGTCAATTCAAGACCGAAATAATTTGGTCCTATTTTTACTTCCCCACCACTGAATCAACTCCCACATGTCTCGGCAAAAAAATTCCAGTTTGCGTACATCTATACAACCGATGTTCACGCTTAAGCATTTCTGCCAACAGCGTTTTACTGCTTTCAAAACATGGACCGTAAAATGCCATGATGTCACCAATATCGTGATGACGTCATTGCTAGAGAATGTCATAACATAGTAACGTTTGTGTGTCCATCCATTTTATGGCATAGAGAAAGCCGTGTTGTGTTCATAAACTTTTACTTGCTTTATACCCAAAAAAGGTTTGCTATGCAAAGATGAAGTTCGGCATATTCTCACAGCCACATGAGGTCTCAAACTCAAATACAGGTCTCAAACACAAATGCAAAAATATATGAGAATAAAAAATATATTTACATGTATACACATGTCAACAAAATATATCACATATAAAAATATAAAAAAATATATATCTTACCCTTCTAACCATTTCCACTGTAATAATCTGTCAAAGAACATACTGTTTTGGAATTCTGTGAAAGGTTCTCCCGTCAGGTATTCTCTCACCGCTCTGTCAAAATAAATAAATATGAATATTCATCAATCCAAAAGTAATCCATGTCATCCCAAACTGCAGCTTCTGATGAAGGCCTCTCACCAGAATCGCTAAAGGCATCCCCCCTCCCATCCGAATAATTGTTTGGTTGTTTGTTTGGTCCCGTCTCCAAATATGCCACAACAAATAGTGCAACGTATTGTCCAATAGTGTCCAAGCGTGTTCAGCAACGTCCCCAAAAGTCACATGGTGTCCCCCTCCCTCTCCCCTCCCCCATAATTTTTGCAGTGCCTGGGTGACGGAACAAACTTCCTGGCTATCTCCCAGCAGAGAGGGGTCTGCAGCAAATCTGTTGTCACCCCGCCCCCTCCCCCTCATTCACATTTGTCTAGCAACGCCCCAGTGGCCTCGTAGCTGTGGATAAGCTTGTCTTGAATCACAAATGGAACATACATGTTCAGCAATTTATCCTCTTGTAATCAAATCACCATTGATGAAATATTAGTTATTGGAAAATAAGGTGAAAAAAGATGATTTGCTATGGATTTTACATTGATGCATTGCAAGACATACATGTATCCATGCTGTTCACATACATGTACATGTAGCGATACATGTAGCGATACATGGACATAATAGATAGTGAGTCCCATAGTAGGATGTAACACGATCATAGTTCATACAAACTGATGACATGGGCTCAATTTCATGCTTCTCCATACCGTTAGCAAACAATCTCTGTTTACTGTAGCAGAAAAATATGCGTTACGGTTAGCATCTTTCACATGTTAGCAAGGAATTTTGGCTTCCAGGTTTTTGTGCTTACATGGTTAGAAGAGAATTTTTGTTGCTAGCACAGTTTTAGCAAAGAATGGTGACCACAACCGTTCTTATGCTAAGAAAGTATCCTAAGGACAAAATGATCATGCACGACAGGGACACTTACGTCCTGCAATCGGTGAAGATTTCTTTGCTAGGGGAGTTTTGGAGGGCCTCCTGGCATGACGTCATCTCCTCTGTAGTGATCTGGGAGAGCCTCTCAGGGGACTACAAATTGGGAATAAAAGGAAAGAATACACAAATTTAGATCATAAATGTGAATAAATGAGATGAGCGTGTGAGGCAGAAACCAGTGATGAGCCATATTTCGGTTGCTGCAGACTGTGCACTCATTTTAGTTTGGCAAACCAGACTTGCGCCAAACTACATGTAAACCCCCCCCCCCCCGAAAAAAATCTGCCTCCAGTTATCCGACCAACCCTATTTTTAGGCAGTGACTCTAACAATTTTATCCGATTATTAAATAATAATAAATGAAAAAAAAAGACCCCAAAAACCAACAAAAAAAATCTTTTCTGTCATTTTTTGTCTTCACAAATACCTCTCAACAACCCTTTTGCATCAAAAATGCTTATATTTATTTCTTTGCCTACTTACATTACCTACTAAATCCATTATGTGCCACTGCATGATCATCAAATCGGAATACAGGAAGCAAGCTTCTCCCTCAGGGTTTACTATAGTCTCAAGGTTGAAAGACCCTGGGAATGTGGTTGATGCCTACCCCCCCCCCCCCCCACCCCTCACCCCACCAATTTTTTTTTATAATACATATTCTATTTTATACCAAACATATATTATGTGCTTTTTGTTTGTCATACTTTTTCCACTTTTTACAATAAGCATTTTGCATTACTAAGACTCTATCCAAATTGTGCATAATAAATGTAAAACGGCAATTCATATTTCATGTGCGGTGGTCTGAAAGCTCCTTATACACAGTCCATTTGCTAGACATCTTAACGTGAATGACACTGAATGATTGATTCGCTTGCCACATTGCTCCGAGCCGCTGCATATTTCCAATGTCATTTCTCATTTGAGATTTAGCACTTCTTTGATTCCATCAGGCCAAATACCAATTTCAATCGGGGCCATTAATTTGAATTACAGAGAGTCTATTATGGAATTAACGGCCTAGATAGGAACACAACACAGGGTCCCTGGATTTGAAATCTGATTTCAAAAGGACAACGGTTTACAATCACACCTAAAATTATAAAAGGTCTACTCCTCACGAGTGACCATTTAAGACTAGCAAATATCCAACACACGCATGTATGTCATGTATGTGTAGTACATATCTGAAGAAGAATGACACAGAGACCATTTGAATAAATGTACACGTGTACATTTTCTTATGTAGAATACATGTGTGTACATGTATACAAGCTTTTTCCAATTTTTGGCCTCCAGCAGAATGAGGAAGTGTGCATTGTTTGTAATTTCATTACAGGGACTGGGGAGATAAAACTTAAAAAAAAAAGCATTAGTCATGTACATGTAAGTGCTGATAAAATACATGCACAAGGTGCCTACTTGTATGTTAACCGTGTCCAAAACAGAAATCGTTGGCAGTAACTATAACCACAGCAACTAAACATTCAATTCCAATGAGGCCTCAATTTACTGACCCAAAAAATGCTTTCTTGGAAGAAGAGGGAAACATGCCTTCTTGGAAGTTGCTGAATTAGATTGGGGTTCTGGTTTTCGTTTGGGAGGCAGACTGCATGGAATTGGAACAATGGGAGGCATGGGGAGGGGTCTGAAAAAAAATTGGCAATTTTGCTTTATGACAGAAAATGTAAGAGCGAACATGGATGTTTTATTGTGCAAATATACTTTCACATTTATTCTTAAATAAATTTTTTTTTAAAGGTCCTGATTCAAATTCCTATTTTATTCATGTGTGTACAATACTTGTATTTTGTTATTACAGAAATCAGTTTTCATGTACATTTACATAATTTTAGAGAGATTGTGGTATTTGTTATTAGCCCTCTAATTTTTTTTGATTTGTCATTTTTGATTACATGTGCATGTACATGTATGTACATGTACATACATACATAAATGTACAATTTACATGTGCCTATACATGTACCAGCACATGTATGTCCGTTTCACAATAGGATTATAAATATATTCAAATGTATAAAAATGAGAAAATGCTAAATTCAGCTAACACAAAAGCTTCACTTCCCTTTTCTCTGGATTAAATTTTGTTTTAATTGAAGAAAAAAAAGTGGACTGAAAGTTCCTCTCCCTGGAGATGAGCTCGGCAAATCCGCACCTGGCTGTTGCCGTGACAACCGTCTTGAGATCCAGCCTGCCCCTTCGATCCGCACGGACGACATTCGACAAACCCAAGCGCGGATTGTCTCACAAATATTATCACTACAGTTTGGTGGTGGTAGCGGTTGGGGGGGGGGGGGGGTGGCGGGAAGGGAGGCGGGGGTTGGGGGGGGGGGTTCAGAAAAATTCCTGAGAGTCCCCACTCTACTGGGGAGCCCCTTAGCCCACTCAGGGACGACTGTCGCATTAATTGCTTAAGTCATTGATTTCGGGCTCAGTGTGCAAATCCTCCTCCTACGCTCTGTCAATCTCAAAACATAACATGATCCTTATCTCTGTCTCTCTCTCTTTAAACAAATACATGTACTGGTCATATCCCATATACAACGTATTCTCAGTACATGTACAAGTACTGTACATATTGAATATCCCGCGAGCGCCAGTGGAACACGGAATAACGTAGTGCATCTGTCCCCTGCACATGTATGCTACAAGGCTGAAAACGGTGTGGCATATATGGAACACAGACGTACATGAGGTACTCCTTTTTTGTGTTCCAACAAAGAGAGCAAGTGAAATCCCGGATACTTAATTTCCGAGTGAAAATTACTGAAACAATTACATGATAAAATTGTAAAGTTTGTACTTCTGTGCACATGTGAAATTATTTTCAGCCTCTTTTTCTTTGTGTTTTTTTCCTGTTTGATTCCTATTTCCTGGTCTGCCACCCACCTGTCATAAGAAAACTTCATCCCTCCAAAATAAAAACTATGGAAATGTTTTATTTTAAAAGGCAAGGGAGAGTGGTTCAAGTTATGAAACAAAAGCTTGCAGATTTACCATAACCATTTCTGAACCACTCCAATCATGGTTGGGATGCAGGCTCAAATATGCCCCAGCCCCGCCCCAGCCCCCCCCCCCCCCCCCCCCCACACACCCTATACAAAGTCTGCACCTGTGGCAACGTCATTCCACCTGTCACATCCTACCACCGTGCCGTGTTCTGAGGAAACCGACATCCTGAGTAGCTATCGGAAAACCAGCTAAAGATACAAATTGCTCAAAACTACTGAAAGAGGCATTGAGAGTGATTACTTTCTCAGACGGTTAATAGTTGTTTTTTTTTTTTGTTCCCAGAAAACAATGAACTGAGGTTCAACCCTGTCGCTGGGTTCCGGTTGAATTCAAGTTGTAATAATATGTGGGGTTACGAAGCAATTCTGTAGAGGAAATCAAGCATATAGGTTGACGCTATACTTCATGAATGTCCTTCTCTCCGGGGTTTTATACAAAGTACATGAACATTATGCAAACAGTCAGACAGGAAAATGATTGGGTCGCAATAACAACCGCTTTAGACTGGCCATCCAGTCTCACACCAATCTAAATGTGTTAGCTATTCCTGAAATTTAAAATAACACATTTGAAACAATTAGAAGAAACACAACACAAAAGATCTAGTGTTGCAGTCATTTCAGCCCATGGAAAATTAGTGTACATGTACATTGTATAATTATGTGAAGTTTGCCTGTTTAGAAACTGAATTCTCTTTGGGTCGAGTCGAGTCCCTCTCATGGGTGTCAATCGGTGGGGGACAGGGGGGACATCCCCCCCCCCCCCCCCCCCCACTTTTTAAAGTAAGGGGTATATTATATCGTTTGTATCCCCCCCCCCCCACTTTTTTGTCTCCGAATAAAACTTGTAACCTACATTTGATTCTATAGCTCAGAATATCTGATTCAATGACTCCAAACTCGAAAATGATGTTTAAATTGGTTATAAAAGTAGCCAGAAATTGCCTCAGATCGCACCACAGAGCGTCTAAAATCCAAAACTTTTCGGGGCCCTAAAGCAGGCCCGAACCCCACACCGTTAGGGTTCGCGCTCAGATTAGTTCTGTTCAATGTATGTCTCCCCCCCCCCCCACTTTTGAGAAGCAATTGGTCCCTTTCAATACCTTTTAGCTTGGTGTAGATCTGGAGCACCAGTGTGGGAGTGCTAGACAGACTGGAGTCGAACCTATGACTACTACCGGTGCATGTACATGTATGTGTAGCCCAAACAACAGCCATAACAGGAAATGGAAAAGGCTGTTGCCCATTCCTTCATCATATTTATAATGGAACTCCCAGCCAAACAAAACACCTTGCACGGAAGGTACGCTGTACTTTATCCACAAACACCCCCCCCCCCCCTAACTCCCCCTCCCTCCCGTTCCCAAGGAAGCTCGCAGATTCAAGGTTGCCAGACTTGTCGCCATTAACGATGCCATGACTTATTAGCCCATCATTAGGCTCCCTCTTTTGTATAATTTCAGCCAGGGCCAGCTGGCTCTCAAGCTAGCTTGAGCCGACACGACTGGCAGCAGGAAATGTGCTAACCGACCAAATGTAAGCTGTGGATTTATTTTAAGAGCAGTATAAATTTTTGTTGGCTACACCAAAAGACACTGGCAAAACCTAGATCAGCTGTGTGAACAGATCGGAAACCGAAACAATTTTGGTTTGCCGAGACATGTTGTAAGTTGACTACATGTGTAAAGTCAATACCCTCTGCAGCAGCATACGTATTGCAGCAATCAGCAGTATGGCTGTTCAAATGTTTGAATAATACAGGAAGAGGAAATGTTCTAAACATATTGCACATGTTTAGGCATGTTAAGCGAAACCTATTCAGCTGATATCATGAATTTGCAACCAGTCATTTTTAAGGAGACTAAATTTAAATCGCACAAAACTGCAATATTTTACTGGTCCCAAAGGGCCGTCGTAGTGTCCTCTTTGTACGTGTACATATCTGACTGACTGACTGACTGACTCCCCGACACTTGTGAGCCGGGCAGTGCTATCGTATAGGGTTACCCCATAACACCAACGAATGGGGAAAATCGCACCCACTGTATACATAAGATGCATGAAAAGACTTCCAGTGAAGAGCCATTCTCAGTCATTTGAATAAAATTTTGTGAACTCTGGGACCAGCTCATTAGGTCTGCCTTGTCTTGTTTAAAAAGGAGAGAAGAGTCAAGGTAAAAACATGTTTCTTGCGTTCTGACTGCAGTAAATGTACATATGTACATGAAACCAAATGGGCAAATATTGCTCTTGCAAGTGTGCAATTCGTGTCTTTTAGTATTATTTTGCCACCTTTTGGTTTACATATTAAAATGTTTGTGACGGCAGCATCGCAGCCTTGATCAGAACAACAACTGCTTGACCATTAATGCAGTGGGCAATTAAGTCCGGTGGATTGGCCAACAACTTCAAAGTCAAATCCATTCAGGCTAGGAAGGCTCCGAGTGCAAGAAAGTACAGAGGAACTCTTGAGCAGCCCACGGGTTTCTCCCTGAGCCCAATGGGTTATAGAGTGCAGTCAACTGACGGTTAAACCGTCTCCACAGATCATATCATTCATGTTGTATTAGTACCGCCTTATCTGATGAACCTTTCATTATGAGCAGGGTACAAAAACAAGGCGTTGGCGGTGTGTTGGAAAGAACACCCAGGGTACTTTTAAGACGGGTATATTTCCACCCGATTAGGATCAGTTTGTATCAGTTTTGATGAGGGAGACAATCACGGTGAGGGGACGGCAAGTGATGACTTGAATCAAAGTGTCCTTCGCCCGCTGTAATCTGTAAGGTCTAATGCCAATCTTTTTCCGGCATCGGGCACATGTGGGTGGTTTATGCACCTTTGTGGGCAGTGCTAGAGATTGTGGGGGATAGTGAATGACGTAAAGGGGTCACATGAAAACATTATGCTCTTTTCGCTAAACAAACTTTTCACAGAAACTAACTTTTATTGGCCAGGGGTAAATATTTGCTAATTGTGTAAACTCTTGTCATAGTCAGTTGGGAAAGTACTACACAAAAAACACAAGATTTGCCCCCCCCCCCCCCCCCAAAAAAAGAGAGAGTCTTGAATCATTCCTTAACCCTAACCCCTTGGGCTCTTTTACTAGAAAGCATCCTGAATCCGCTGAAATCCATCAATTTTGCCATGCAAAAAAAATGTTGGTGGCCAGTGAGTCCATCAGAATCCATCAGTTAGGCTGGAGTAAATCTGTTGAGATCCTGAATCCGCCAAAGTCCCCCAACAGCTCAATACAGAGGTATCCTGAATCCATCAGAATCCTGCAGTTCCGCTAGGCTTACAATCCTGAATCCATCAAAATCCCCCAGTTTGTGCAATATGGCGGTATCCTGAATCCACTGAAATCCCCCAAAACAGGGGTGTGGATTTTGATGGATTCAGGTACGTCAGGGTTAAGACTTCTCCATTATATTCTCTCTTTCAGATCTGTTCCGTCTTTAGTTGTACTACCAGAACAAAAATGGAATCTTGATGAATAATTTAATGAATACACTTACATCTGCATAGAGATATTTGAGGAAAATTTCATTGCCGAGACTTGGTCTGTCCTCTGGTTGAGCCACTTCATAATCGTTCTGAAACAAACGAAAAAGAACAAATATAAATGATGAGGAATTCAAATCTGACAAAATAAAAAGACGCCTGTATCACTGATCATGTGGAGGGAATGTTCAAGTCTACATGCAGCAAACTGATATTGTATAGACTTGCATCAACTCGCAGATAATTTAAAATTGTTCAAGAGCTGAAATATTTTATCACTTAGAAAAGGACAGGTGCTATTTTCTCCTTTAGCGTCCCCACCCCTACCCCAAAATCCACCCCTTCACCTCCACCCCTACACCTCCACCCCCACAAAAGAAAATGGGTATGGGAATATTGGAAATGAAATCTCTCACTGGCTGAGCCCCATAGGCAGAGTGGTCTCGTGTTGCCCAGTAGTCTAGTATTTAAACAACAGGATTATATTTCAGATGCAGAAATATTGGCACCGACAAGATTATTCAACTCGGTCAAACACTCAAATGTATTGCAACCGTATCTGTCAATATTATCTTGGTAAATAATTAACCGTTATCCTTCAGGAGTTATTTTGGCAGTATCTTCCTAATTTCTTTCTTAAAATCGATCTTAGCATTACGTGAAAAATATATTTTTCGATTCACGAAGACGAAATTGGCTGGCATCACTTCTCAGTTTTCGATCTCACAAAATTTGTTATTTCTCTTTTTACTCTTGTAAAAATACCACACTGGCTGACCGGCATAATATTGACAATCCAGTCTCACTTTACGCAGGCCTGAAAGGCAAAGTGACTCTCAAGTGTAGAAGGGAGCTATCGGGATATTTTTTTTTTTTTTTAATCTCGCTGTAAGTACGTGCAACAATGGCTGCCAATTTCCTCCAGATTTGACAAGGCTGCCGTGAGAAAAAGTGCACATAATGCCGGAGCCTTTTCAAACTGTCAGCTGTTTTAAGAAAGCACTATAGCAGTGAAGGGAGGATGTACGAGTCGTACTGGTGCAGATTATTTATAGTCCTGTATGTAATTTCCACCCACGCTGTTTTCTACCCTTTGCTCCATCCCCGTGTCGTCGTGTGGGGGGGGGGGGGGGTGTTTGGCCCCCAGGATGCAGCTGACAAACGATGAGGACGATACTAGCGATCCCAGGGTTCAATCCCAGGGTAAGAAGGGGAGTTCAAAGGTCACGGCAAGGATGCAATAACAGAATTGGGTGGTAATCTGGGAGTTATTATCTGCGTGACGGGTCAGCGAGTGTGGAAACGCCAGCAGATCAGCCGAGCTCAGTTATTTTATCATTTTCATCTAATCATGATCTGCATTAGCGATGCAACATTCGGTTGATTGAACACATACATAAACGCCAGGGATTAAATTTCAATATTTTGTTCAACAACGTGCATATGCTGCGATGATATAATGCCTACCATTTGAATAAAGCTGGTTCCTACCGCTGAATGCATTTTTTTGTTTCACTACCAACAAATGTCACTTGCAATCGCTGCGCAGGGCTGCAAACTGAAGTCATCAATTACTTTCCACACCGTTTTTTTTTTTTTTTATTTCAACTACATGTACACGTTTTGGCAGATGGCTGCTACATACATGTGACGTTTCCATTTTAATAACATACTTTTTAAAAATATTCTCTGTAATTTTTATGCAAGAAAAGACCTCCACTTGATTAGAATTTGGTTAACAATTTGAAAAAAAAAAAAAAATTAATGAAAAATATAGATCCATGTATGCGTGCCAGGACTGATTCCAAGCAGCAAGGGGGAATATATTGTTTTAAATTGTAATTAATTTAAAAAGGGAGTGTCATGCGTTAACTTTTTTTTTTCTTTTTTTACTCTTGAGTGTGTACACATCAGTTGTACGTTACCATCGGATTTTTTTACATTGTTTTTTGTTTGTTTTTCCTCTCCTTTTAAAAACATGTAAGAAAGGATATGCCTGAAACCAAATAATGTCAGGTATACATTTGCGCTTTCTTATGGGAGCCATAAGAAAGCGGACATGTACAATGTAAACAAAGCGTGACATCATTATGTCGCTTAGAAGGGGCTGACACCACGTGACCTTTATTTTCTACAAAATAAATGCACAAATAAAAGGTCAATAAAGTACATGTAAGAGCTGATGTGTGTGTGGGTACTGATGTGCACTTCAGAGACATTTCCGTTGTGGGATTGTACTTTGGTGTATTCAAGATACGTGACATGTCAAATACGTACGCCCCGGCTTTAGTCAGCTGAAAGTGGTCATACGTACTGCGTGTCACACCACCACTCTTTAATGGGACAAGCATGCTTGTGCGTGTCTGTAGAACATTTAATGCCATTAGATGGGGTGAATTGTGAAAGTGTACTCTAAATTCAACGCGCATACGCCAACAACGTCATGACGGTTAAAAAAATTGTCACGGCAAAATTGCGCAAGCGTTTGCATTGTTTGCGCAGAGCAAAATGAAATGCTCATTTACTGATTGTGTGATTCGGTTTTGGGTATATCGGCTTCGATAACGCACCTGTATAGAATACAAACGCGGATCAAATAGCCGTACAAAAGCCGTACAAAAGTTAGAGTTTTCCACTGGTTTGTGCACAAACATGGATCACCCATCGGGGATCACTTTGAACATCAAGTCAGTGCTCTAGTAATTTAACGTAGCTCTACGGTTTCAATGTATACTTACAACTGCATCCAAGAAATTGATAGCTGTGTGGTAGTCTTCATTTGTCGAACAAAAGTTTTTGAAAAGTGCACGTCCAATTGGTTGTTCTTCACATATACTGTCAAAATTTCTATCTGCAGAGCAAAAAAAATAAAACAAAGAAAGAGACACAGAAAGGAGATAGTTACTAATTGATATCTGCAATTTCCTTAATTTATTTTCAATTTATTTTCACTGCAGCTTCATTTAAACAAATTGCTTCTTTCAACTTCAATCCAATTCTTAATTTCACACAGTATTTCATCACAAATACTGCACAGTTGACTGCCGAGCAGTTAACTGTCGAGTAGGAGACAGTGACCTCTTAAAGAAAAATACGAAATTTACATCAGAATCAGTTTCCAGTTTTTTTACAAATACCCCAAAAGGTTAATTGAAAGTAGCAAATTTCAATTGCTGTTTGTAAGGAAGTGACGTTTAAACATTTAAACAAAACAAAACTTCTAAATCCATTTACAAAGTTTCCAAAACATTGTAACGAAACCAGAATTATAAAAAAAGGTTCCTATGTACTGGTATGTTCACATGATCTTATTAATAAACATAAAACAAATAATTAACAATGTTTTCAAACCTGTTTAATTTACAAAACCTTAGAAGCACCGCTGTGCTTGATTACATTCGGGGTACACAAATTTAATGTTAATTTTTTACTTTTTCAATGACTGCCTGCTATTTATTATGTCAATCATTGTCGATTTATCATGTCAATCACTCCCGTCTGCAGACATACATGTAATGGGCAGGGGTCAGCCCTTGTGAAATGGAAAACTTTTTAAAAACCTTTCAGCGGTTCTTAAAACTATTTGCAAAACGTTTACAATTTTAAACACAAAGTCACATCCTTAGCAGTTTGAATCAAAACAAGAAGATCGTAGAATCTTTGAAATCCAAGATGGACAAATTTCAAGGAGCTGCCGAATATAAGCAAATTGCTTAGTAAACTTATGTGCATAACAAAAAAATCAGAGGGAACCAATACGGGCCAATATGGCGACAACAGACACACAAAATGCCATGCAATTTATTTGACATTACATGTACCGGTAGTTTGATAAAACAAATTCTATAAATCAAAAAAAAAAAAAATCTACTCCCAGTAATATACAATGTAAGTCACCGCTGTGGAAATTGAATAATGGAAATATCATGTGCAGCAATGCGCAACAAAGCACAATGAAGCAGCACAGCGTTCAAATGTTCTATTAATGTCTGCACTGCAACACAAGATGGCCGTACCCTCTTTGTCAAGTGTAAAGGCCGTTTCCAAATTACTTGGCTCTGGCTGGCGGTAACACACGTATCTATGTGAAGCGGCTTCAGCCTTTTCCCATAGGCGCTAATGTCATTACAAGCCGTAGCCAAGTAATTCAGACGCGGCTACAGACATGGCACAAAGAGGCTTATAATTGAATGACTCCACAGCGGTTCAGTAATAACAATTTAAAATGGATAATGCCATGCTGGACATCTGCTTGGCAACACTGGCTGTGCTGCAGGGAACCGGCTACTGCTACGGGGAACCGACTCGACGCAGTTAAATCATTTCTAATGCAATAAGCTAGGGCCCCACGTACATGTACATGTACATGTTCGCCCTCAGAAAAAAAGGCAACCCAAAAAAAACCCTGCCCCAAACATTACGAGTACCGGTACGTGTTTCTGTACCAAAACCATTATGTACAATGAACATACATGAATGCACATCGAGTTACGACACAACAACTAGGCATAATGTACAATGTACCCCGGTACAGTAGGTAACTCATTCAGAAGATGCTGAACGACATGTATCGGGGTACATGTACATGTACATGTACATGTACATGTACATGTACATGTACATGTACATGTACATTTATGCCTTTAGGGATTTCTAGCTCCGTTTCATTTACATGTACCGGTATTATTCAAGAAGAAAAAAAACCATTCTACTATTCTGGATTCTCAGAAATAAAAAAAAATATACTACTTGAACCAGGAAATGCTTCCTTGCAAACCCATAAGTTCTGTTCTTCACAGTTGCTGAAAACCTTTTTGTGTGTGTGGGTGTGTTTATTTGCTTGTATTTTTATTTTGCTTCTCCCCTGGATATATGGACAGTACATGTAACAATTGTTTCATTTTTTTCCCCCGTTTCTTTTTCAATTCTTGTCTTCTTTTCTTCTTGCTAGTTGCCTTCATGCATGACAGGATAACATAAAAATTCTCGGGCCTGTTCAGGCTGCGTGGGTTTCATTGGGTGACGTCAATGCATGCTCCATGTGGCATGGCCAAGTGGTACATGTATACATGTACATATGAACATGTATACGTCTTACAATGCACATCTTGTACCACACATGTAGCTGTGTAGCAATCTTGTTGCATTAGATGTACACAATGTATAAATCCAGGGACAATGTGTACATGTATACAATGTACTGGTACATAAGAGTTTTAGGGTCATTCTGTACGTTTTCATGGCAGCATTTATATTTTTGTACATAATCCATTCCCAATCCTTCCAATGATACAATGTACATTACAATAAGGGTAACATGCATGTACAAAAAAATTGCGAATACATGTACATTAAAATGCGCATTTTTGTATACATGTATGCAGATAGTATAAAATAAATACATGTGGATACATGTAACAAGACATCAAGTGACTCAATCAAAAATAAATGTGACTTGGAAGCCTTACATGATCAGCAAATGATGGGGGGGGGGGGTTGGATGAGCCAGGCTCCATTCATCAAAACATTTGTTTTAATCTTTTTTTCCAGTTTTGCTAAATATGAATTTTCTTCTTTTCTACATGCTCATTTAACTCCTATTTTAGATTTCATCTCTTGTTTGGAAAAAAAAGCTCTTAAAGATAATTGTTGAAGGGGGACATAAAAAAAAATATGAGAACTACATGCATTCAGATGATTGATGCATGCGCATTATGGTAAGTGACTGTACTATGTTGCAGAAAATAAAATGCTTGCTGCCAAGGTGACTGCAGTTTAATTCACTCTCCTTGGTGTTCATGTGCAAGGCTGACAAGCTTGGGCAGTAATACCCGGGATTTTCCATCCTTATGTGTGACCTTATTCGTCCATCACAGGCAATTCAACATCAGCCTTGGGTTGGATGAAGCCGCACAGAGGAGGATTCCGAGAGGAGGATTCCGTCAAAAGAAAAAAAAGAAAAAATCTGCCAATAGCTCGAGCTTAGAGTGAGCAGCAACGCAGCTCACCATCTTCTTCATACTTTGAGACGTGGGTCCATAATCGTATTCCCTGACCGATGTATACCACTGACATGAAGCTGTCAAAGATGCACTCCTGTGCTGTTTTTAAGTTTAAACTTTAATCCCGAAAACAGATTCCATTTTTTTGAACTTCTATTTTTCTAGCAATGTGAAGCTTTTCACTTTGGCACAAAGGATATTCACTTTTGAAACATGGAAAGAAAAACATTCGCCCGCGCATAGTTATTGGTTAGGGTTCCTGACTCATGATCAGAGGGTCAGGGGTTCGAATCCAGCTGCTGGCCATATGTTGTGTCCTTGTGCAAGCCCCTTTACTCCCACTTGCGTCTCTCCACCCAGGAGTACAAATGGGTACCGGCATTAGCTGGGGAGTAACCTGTGATGGATTAGGGGAATACAAAATATTCTCTGTCATTGCATGCCACTGAAACCGGAAATAAACGCCAGCCTGATGGGCCACATTGGCTCATGACAGACTAAATACCAGAGTAGTAATAGAATAAACACATCCGTTCTCGGTACAAAAATTTGCGTGATAAGTTTTCATAATATTGTTGATTATATATTGAAAGATGAATTAGAGAAGTTCAAAGCAGAATACAGGTCACCTTCTAGTAAAAATTCTTTTTCCGACAAAGTCAAAGCTTATTGATAATTTGTAAACATACTTTTTACACGCCTGTGTTCCTGGCAAGAACTTACATATGTATGTGTTTCGTATTAATTAGTAAGTTTTTATCGATTTACATTCTGATACTGATCAGGCGCGGATCCAGAGGGGGAGGGGGGGGGGTTGTTTGGGGGTCAAAGTGTCTACACTTCAGCACTGATGAAAAAAAAAAATCTTACGGACCTGACCCCCCCCCTGCAAAAATTCCTGGATCCGCCCCTGCTGATGGGGCCCACTTTTAAGATAAACTGATATCTTTGACTTTGAGCTAAAGATTTTATGCAATCAATTCAATGTTTCATGTACGTGTAAGCCTACAAGCAGGGCTTTTAAAAAAAAAACCACACACACACACACAAATTCCAGTCGCAGGATTTATTATTTTTGTGGCGCATCACTGGGTGAATAAATCATAACAACAGACAAGTGGCAGAAATGCGGCGCGTAACAAATCACATGGCTGATCATAGCGTCGACGCTTAGGACTGCCTTGTCTTTATGGCACTGCACTTCACACAAACAGTGCAGTACCATGCATGACCTTTGAAAGAAAACAGCCATCTTGAATGGCTAAGATTCCAATGACTCTCTGGAATAGCACTTGAGATGTTGCATCTCTTATGGGGATAAAAAGAGCTCCACAACAAGACATTCATAAGATCCTTAAAATCTATGAGTACATTTAGGACTTTCGAGTTTAATCCCCCCCCCCTCCCCCCCACAAAAAAAATTTTATTGCTATTTTTTTCTAGCAATATAAAAGTTATTTACCTTTGAATGAAACAATCAATGGGAAAAAAAAGAAGTAGGCCAATGTTTAGTTACGGAATAATAACTTAAGAAATTTGGAATATTGGCGGGCCGGAAATACTTTGGTTCACTCAGGGTAGAATGGTTCCCAAATCTATAAAGTATGTGTACCGGTAGGTACGAGTACCGGTAGGTCTCATGAAGTCCCATCCCAAAACAGAAGATCCTCCCCCCCCCCCAAAAAAAAAAATTAGAAGTTCAAGTGTACAGGGTCTACATGTACGTCCATAGGTTTCAAAAAGTTGGATTTGTGTTGTGTTTCTGTTAAGCTATTTGGTATTTGCTTCACACATGTACATGTTCATGTTCACTTTAATTTTAAAAATCACAACCCTACCAGCAACAAAA